GCCTTTCTGCACAGCCAGTAACTGTATGCATTTCTTGGGGTAAAAAGGGCCAATTTTGATCTGACGATTGATCTTAGATGTATCTTTCCTGTTCCTTGGCTTTATGGCATCCTTAATCATGCTGCAGAGGAGCTGTCTTTATGATGAAGCAGCAGGACTGTCCTGCCAAAGCTGCAGAAGCGCACAAAACGTCAGCTCGGGTGTTGGGGAAGCGCCTCGCACGGTGCCGGGGCTTTCCCTGGAATTGCCCAGCGGGTCACGATGCGAGCTCTGGGGCCTTCCTCCTGACCCTGCCTGCCTCCACAGGCTTCAGAGTTAATGGTGAAGACTGGGGGAAAAGCAGGAAGAACCTGGGTGGGGGGAGCCGGCAATAAATCTGATAAGTCATCAGATTGTTCCTGTGCTGAGTAGCACTAATTTAGAATCAAATAAGAGAAAAATGCCTACAGGCCAAAAGTCGAGCCTTACCGACCCGCTCAGCTTTGCCTTTATACTCTGAACCGAAAGGAGCTGTGTTTAGAAAATGAATGTATATGCCAGCTTTGAAAAATTGCTTTTCTAACTCTGTGCTTAAAGTGTTTGTTTTCCCTTTGTTAAAAAGAAGAAAAAAAAGATTCCTTGGAAGGGAGCTTGGTCCAACTTCCTTGATTCCTGTACAAATTCCGTCTTTATCTTGGTGTTTTGCTTGAGAAAACAGCATGTGGGCAGTTCTTGTGAATTAACTCTTATCTGAGGATGGTTTTGGGTGTTGCTGTCAGGAAAGCTGTTCAGATTTTTATTTTTTTTTTCCAATTGCAAATGGAAAGAATGTGGGGTCTGAGTTTCCTGAATGCTGGATCAAACTGCTGATGCTTATTGTTAATTGTCAGCGTGACAGCTGGGCTGTTTCCTTATTGCAAAACAGCACTGGTTGGGTTACAAGACAAACTGCCCGGCCTGGCTGGCACATCCATTGCAGCCTCCAAAAACGCTGCAGCCGAGCAGAGCGGGCACTGAGCGTTGTGGCTCAGCTCCCTTGAGATCATTTGCTTTGCTCCAAGCCATGGAGTGAGCAGCAGCTGCTTTAGGCCATCCTGGCTGCCAGGTTTTAATCTACGTGCTTGTGCGTTTGTACGTATCCACCTCACTTGTACTGACACGAGTGTGCTCTCGTCTGCTCTCCGACCCTCAGGGAGGCAGTGGAAGGCATTTTATCAGAACTAGAAGTATTTATCGTGGCTAATATGCAAAGTTACTACTGTAATGTTTCTTACATCTGTCCTGGAAGTGTAATTTCCTGTGGGGAAGGTGAATAAAACCGAGTAACCTCCAGTACCAAGTGGCTTCGTTATTGCCTCGGGTAGATCTGCCAGGTAGCAGAGCTGTGTGGTGCTGTCAGACTGCTGCCTGTGTCCATCCTGGGCTCTGTCCCAGGATTTACCATGCCCTGCTTTAGCCGTGTGATAACCCGTACCACTTCTCTCTTATTCACAGAGGATGGCTGATTTAGCCATGTAGAGGCCAGTGGCTCCACCTCGAAGGCAGCCGGGAGGAGCACGGGGAGCCTGGAGCCGGCGGCACTGCGGGGAGCACAGTGAGCCCTGGGCACTCCGGCCAGCAGTGTCCTCGCTCGTGTGCTTCGCAGCCTCTGTGTCCTGTCCTTCCGAATGCTGAAACGTCTACCAGTGACACTGGGGAGATTTTATCACGAAGATTTTTAAACCGCTTTTAATGTGCGTGTGTGCGCAGGAGCGAGCGCATCCCTGAGCCTGCTGGGAGAGGTGCGTGCTGCTCGGCCCCGCGGGGGTCGGGGTCATCCCCTGCACCTCTCCTCCCGTCGGATGCCGTGAGTATCTGCAGCGCGTGCGAGGACGAAGCTGTTTTCTGGACATTTCTGTACTTGCTGAAGTAGCTTTTATTGGAAGATGTTCTCAGCACGCCTAATCCCTTTTAACTTTGCTTTTGTGGCTGCTGATTTGAATCCCCAGACCTGAGCCTCTTCCTTTGGTTTGGGAACATTATTTTTTTTGCACGTGGCAATGCAGGAGGTGTGCATGGGGTCGGCTGATCCCGGGAGAAGCCCCCTATGTGGGGACAGAAGTGCCCGCTGCCCTCTGTGAACAGCCGAGCTGCCAGTGCTGCTGCCCCTGCTGCAAGCCTCGCCCCGTCCTGCTTTCTGCTGGGCTCTGTGGATGCTTTTCTCTCTTGCAACAGAAAATCCTCTCTCTGCCCTGCACTATCTTGCCTCTGCATTCCACATTTAATGTCCCTTTTCTTTTACCTGAGCCAAAACCTCTCAAAATAAGCTCGGATGTTTGTCCCTGCGTGCTCGCACACGAGCAGTGCATCCACAGGGCTTGCTTTGTAGACCAAGGTTGAGTAAGATTAATTCTGCAGAACATTTCCTATTTCTCAAGTTACTGTTGTTTTCAGAGGCTGTGGGTGCGGTGAGGAGGAGGCCATGCGTGCAGGGTTGTAAGCAGCACGTGGTTTTTTATTTGTTGTCTCTTGTACCAAGCGTTAGGCCCGCGACACATTTCTAAACTTGCACACGATTAAGCTGTGAAAGTTACTGCTGTTTAACGCTGCCTTTCAGAGGGTTGAAGCTCTTTTAGTACCTAGGACATGGTGCAACTCCTGCGGCGCTGGCTGCCAGTTGCTGGAGCACCCTGCTGAGCTGGGGGGCACGCAGCAACCCCCCAGATGTTCAGTTTTTGTCCCATGAGCCTTGGCTTGTGTTTTGCCAAACTCCATTTGTCTCACTCCTGCTGCTCTCTGACTCCTGCTGTCTTTTGTAACAAAGACAGAACTGTCAGGCTTGCAGTCCCGAGGTTAGGTGAAGAAATGAGTGTTTAGGTACAAGCAGGAGGCTGTTACGGACCTGCTGCTTCCAGTAACTCCAGGATCTGTGTGAGCAACCTCTGGGACCCAGGCCGCTTATTGTAAAGGCGTAAATAAAGCCAGGCACACCCCACCTGAGCCCCAGAAATGCAGATTTTCTCTGACCTTGCTGCCACAGAGCTCAGCAGCCTGAAGCCTGAGGTTTACCTGGGGATTTGGAGAGCTCAGAGCCAGTTATTTTAAACATTCCCTGAGCTTTAATTCTCTAAAGCTGAGACAGAGAGGGCCACGGTTACGGTGCTTAGAAATACACCGGAAAAAAAGGGAAGGAGGGAAAGGGGGAGAAAAAATAATGAAGGAAGAGGTTTGTTTATAGCCTGCATAGCATAGCAGTGCTCGCTGATGCTTTCTGCCCCTTTCTGCAGTAATAAACGCACAAAGTGGTGCCGGGACGGGCTGCCTGCCCCTGCAAACCTGCTGCACGGGAGGAGCCCGTGGAAACACTGTGAGACGTCACGCACAACACGCTGTCATAACACACGGTGATAAGGAGTTAATTCTGTTTGTATCAGTGAGTGGCTAATGAGTGTACCGAGACAGATGTCTCTCTTTACCTGCCAGAACTCACGAATGTAGCTGCTGATACATCGGCAGTCACAACTTTTAAATCACTGCTAAAAATCAGGATGGAGCCTCCCAGACCCACCCGCAGGAGTCAGGATGCGAGCCTCAGTGCTTTAAAGCCTAATTATAGCTTCTCCTCCTGCTTTTGCACTTGTAAAAGGTGTAAATATGTGTGTCTGTAAAGCAGGGCATTGGAAAATTTTGTGGAGACCACATACGGGTGATGCCAGCAAGCGCATGCCTCTCCCCATGCCCAAACGGCCGGGTGGGTGCCAGGTATTTCCTTGAAACCACCTGATTTCCTTGGCACTATTCACGCAAATACCCCAGAATACACAAAGATTGCACAATTTACATGAATTTAAGATTAGCAGGGGCTTGTGCTGTTGGTCATAGCAGAGCCGTTGTGTTCGGCTGAGCAGATCCAAGCCCTGTTCAAAGCACTCCAGTAGCTCCCGAAGGGCTGAGTGTAGGTGTGTGGAAGTGGACTTGTCTGCTTCATGAGCGTTGCACCAAGACTCGATCTGTGATTCTGTGATTTTTCTGTATTTCCCTGTCTTTCTCCATCCATGTTCAGTGTCAGAGGTGGCAGTGAGCACTGCCTCAGTGAATGCCGTCCCTGCGCTCTGGGCACTTGCTGTCACAGCAGCGTTACGTCCTGGTTTTGAGAAAAATGTCATCACTCGTGCAAAATCTGTTCAATTTCTGCTGCCAGCAGGGCTGGGGCCCTGCCCCGTGCTGGTCTCGGGGTGCTGGCAGCGCTGTGCCTCGCTGCTGCTGCATCGCTGAGCGCCGCTCGCAAGCTGCATCTCTGCGTGGCGTGCATGGCGAGGTGGATGTTCCGTGTTTACTTGCCATTTTGCTACATTACTGCTTTCTAATGATTTTTTTTTAAGCTTTTTAGGAAAAAAAGCAGTGTATGCAAACCTGTGCTGTGTGTTGTGTATTCTTTGCGTTTATGCAGAAATATCCCATGAGCGTTTATTTACAATAAAGAGATTAAAAACCAAACTGCTTCCTCTTGTGTTCCACTGATATTTGCTGTAACTACCTGTAGTGTGATGGTTTTGGGGAGATAGCACCGAGTTCAGGAATTCTGGGGAAAGCATTTGAAGGAAGAGGCTGCGCAGGGAGCAAGGTGCCCCCAGCCCGTGGGAGCAGGAGAGGTGGGTTGGGGGCAGTGGATGCTCTACCCTGGAACTGCTGCTGCTGCCAGCCCACTTTACTAAATTTTCGGGGGAAAAAAAAAGCTCAGATCTGACAGAACAAACAGCTAAGTGCAAGAAACGCAATGCAGGGTAACGGCCACTGTGGAGTTCATGGTGGCAATGCAATCCTAAACGAAACCGTGCAGCCAAAGTGCAAAAGGAGCAAATGGTTGTGGCCTCTGCCAGAACTGTTACTGGAAAACGGGCTGGCAGCGGGGCCCAGCTGCTTCCCATCGCTGACCTGCGCACTCCCTGGGGCCCCGAGCGCTGCTGAGCCCGGCGCTGGCTCTTCGGCCACTGTGACTTCAGTGGGATGAGAGAGGGCTGAGGAAACCCTAATTCTGAGGCTGGCCGTGAGGCTTTTGGGTCAGGAGGCACGAGCCGTGGTGGAGCTGGTGTGAGCCTCTCGAGGAGGCCATGGAGCGGTGCCAGGCTCTGGGTGCCTTCACCTCCAGATCATTTCAGCGCAGCGCTGGCAGCTGGGCGCAGAAAGCAAACGATTTCACCATCCGAGTGGGCTGCATTCAGCTGCCTACAGTGTTTCGTTTTGTAGGCTGAACAAACGACTTCCTTCGTGCTTGGAAGAGTTAATAATTTATAGGCGAGCTGGCACAAGCCCAGTGTCTGCAGAGCGCGACGCTTCCCGCAGCTCGGCACTGCCCGGTGTCGGGGGCAGCGGGCAGGAACTCGCTCCTGTGCCTCCAAGGAGCCCAGGCTGGTCGGCTCCCCCACTGACGGACCCCCAGGTAAGATGAGTTGAGCCGCCCAGCTTCGGGTGCTGTTGCTCTCGGAGCTGTGTTGGAGTTTTGTTGCAGCTCCAGCGGGCACAAGGATGAAGGAATTCAGCCAAAAGCTGTGGTAAGGACTGAGGGAAAGCCAGAAGTGTCAGGTTTAGGGCGAAGGGGTGGAAAAAATAGGGGTGCAAGCTGATTAGAAAGAGGTGCTTTCCTTTCTTTTAGTTACTAATTGGTTGTAAGGGTCACCTTTGGTCTAAGCCTGTGCAATGTAGAAAGCATCAAGAAAGGCTGCCTGGTTTGCAGAAGGAAGGCAGGCACAGTGCTGGGAAGGTTTAGGTTCATAAATGATGATGGGTAGTTAGAGATTAGAGAAAGTTAGAGAGGGTTCTGCCTGATCACCAGCACAGCCAGGTTAGTCAAATTGCACTTACATTCTGTTTCGTAAAGCAGTCTCCTGAATGACTTGCATGCTTCGGAGCCTTACTTCAACTGGTAAAATGTGACAATCTGCGCAACCCTTTTGTGCATATACTTGTAGCTTTCTGCTTAGGTATTTTTTCCTTTCTCTGCATGTAATTTGTTACTAGGAGATTGTATTGACTACAGCAGGAGGATTTCTCCTACCTGTGGATTTGCTTCCCGGAGATTTATTGCTAAAGCAAAATGTTTTGTCCTTAAGTTACGTTTCAAGGTAATTTTTCTGGAAGGATAAATGAATTCAAATGACCCTGCAGGTATTAATTTGGCTGTTTGGCTGGGAAGAACTTCTTACTGGTTTTAGTGTTCTTAAGTAAACCCAACAAGCTATGAAGTATTTGTTACAATCAAAGTGGAGCTTTTTTTTTTTTCCCTATCTTTTAAAAATTTTAATTAAAAGCTTCTCACACAACGTGAATGAAGGACTAGCGGAGGAAAGCCTACGGGATGCTTAGCATCCACAATTGGTTTCCCTGTTCCCGTGCTGCCAGTGAGGGGCTGTTGCCAAGCTTCTTGTCCCCTGCTGGGGCATGTGCAGCTCCTCGTTCCCTCCTGCCCTATGGGCACTGCATGGAGACAGAACTTCATCCCCCCCTCTGCTATTTTTCACAGGTAGTTGGCCTAGAAAAAGAATGTGGTAACGTCTGCAGGCTGGGATGAGGATGATGCCAGCTCCAGGGGCAGGGAGGCCGAGGGGCCGTGCCGCTGTCCTCAGGCTGCTCCTCGCTGCTGCCCTCGTTGTGGCCGTGCAGGGTAAGTGAACGCAAGAGGGGAAAGAGTCCATCACACAAACCGAGCTCCCTCAAAGGGAAATTGTTTCCCAAGGTTCACAGACTGTTGATGCTCCTCATTTCCTCGTTGTTTGCATTTCAGGGATCTGGTCAGAATCCATCCTCCTCAGCCTTTTTTCCTTTCCTGTGCAGAACGGCTGTCAGGTTACTCTAGCTTAAAAAGGGGCACTGGTTTGGAGATAGGGAGCAGTTAGTCTGGACTTTGGCACCAGCCTTTCAAACTGCTGGATGAAGTGTGAGGAGCGAAGAACACCGGGAGTGATGCTCCTTCCCTTTCCCTGGTGGCTGTCCTGAGTCACAGACTCCCTTCCTCCTCTTTGCCTCTAGCTTTAAGGGGTGTTAAGGCCACCAAAGCCTCCTCGCCTGGACCTTCAGAGCAAGGCAGACCCAAACTCCCGTTTTTTTCCTCACATCTTTCTGAAGGTATTTCTGCTGGCAGGTTCCTGCAATGCTCCGCCACGTATCCCATCCGCAGAACTGAAGGAGAGCTACCAGCGCATCACCAAATTTTCCTACTCGGAGAAGGTGGAATACACCTGCCGACCAGGTTACACGAGAAGTAAGTTCCGGGCCAGCCTTGTTTGTGGAGAGGATGGTAGGTGGAAAGGATCGACCGACTTCTGTTCACGTGAGTACATTTTCAGTTGATTTTGATTCTGTGCAGGTGCTGTCAGCATCCCAGGGGCTGTGTGGGGTGGCAGGAGCTGAGCGAGGGTGGCACAGCACCGGCAGTGCTCTGCTGAGCACCAGCAACGGTGGCAAGAGCTGAGATCTGCTGCCTTTGACCATTGACTCTGACTATATTCAAAGGCAGGTTCTTCTGCTCAGGCACTTAGTAACTCTTAGTTCAAAACAAGTTTTTTAAACTGTCAGTAAGAGAACCCTTTAGCTGTAAAGAAATGCTTGGCAGAGGTCCTGCAACCTCCCTTAGGCTGCAGAGGCTGACTGCAGGTCGTGATACAGGGTAGGATTTAGGGCGTGAGGGTCGTCCATCCCCTTGTTAAATATTGGAGGGGTCTTCTGCTCTCCTGCTGGATTTTCCTGCTCCTTCAGGAGCCAAGGCCCTCACCCCGGTCCTGTTGTCCCTCAGCCAAGCAATGCAGCTACCCCGGAGACCTGGCCAACGGCAGACTTGTGGAAACGGAGCTGTTCACCTTTGGCTCAATAGCCAACTACACCTGCGACATGGGGTAAGCCAGCAGTGCTCAGGGCACAGGTCCTTGTGACCCCGAGGTGATGCCCAGTCCAACTTTCTGTACAATAGTGGCTGCAGAGCTAAAGCACGGGCTCTGCTATCAAGCCAGCTTGTCGTGATTGACTTACAACACGCTGCCTGGAAACTCCTCCGATTTGTGTTTAAGGACCCAAAAGGAGAGTCCAACACACGGTGCAGTTTTGGTTCTTCATGCTCACCGTTAATTACAAGTCAGGCACCAGGAAAAAAGGCATTTGTCCTCCCTGGTGATAGCTCGTGCTAGCAGAAGCCTTGTACTAGTGTATGTAATTGCAGACTGCAATCAAAGTGTCTCCTAAACTTTCCTTTGAAAGTTTGAAGAATGAGTTTTCTTAACCTCATCCTTTGAGGCAGTTCTTCCCAAACTCCAGCTCTCCAGGGCCTTTCTAAACCCTTCCCAATGTTCCAACATTTTCTGAAGGAAATACATCAGTACTGAAGTCAGAGCTTTACTGATAGTTACAGCCAGCTGAGCAGCCTGCAGAGGGGAATCCTTATTTAAGAAAGCGTGTTTCTGAATCGGTCACACCGCTGTAGTTTTCCTGCAGCTGCTACTGACCGTTCTGCTAGTTTGCTTGGGGCTGATGCCTGGTGAGACAGGGCCACCTCTAACCCTGCCTCTTTCACAACAAGGACGGGAGAGGAAAGTGTGAGATCTCCCAGGTGCAAATGTGATGAGCCATCATTAACTGCATCTTGATGTCGCACAGATAATAAATACAATAATGGACATTTTCCTATGGAAACCATGTAATATTTTGCTTTGTCAAAAAAAAAACAACAACAACAAAAAAAAAAACGGCATTGATGGCAAGTTTCTGATCAGCTTGGATTATAAGGAAGCCAAAAAAATCCTACTATTGATGTTTTAGGTAAAATCAAAAAAATCAAAACTGAGCTTGACAAGAAATTCCCTCCCCTCTGTTTCACACAGGTACAGACTGATCGGAAATTCCCAACTTCATTGCGTGCTTAAAAATGGGCAAGTTACGTGGGATGGAGACGTTCCCTTCTGTGAGCGTAAGTCAAGTCCCCCAGCTGAGCTGCTCGTTAGATGGTACTGGGGATGCAAGGAGAAGCAGTCACTTTACCCCATGGAGGGCTTTCAGAATTCATGGCCTGGTGAAGCCTGGAAAAACATTTTTTCTTGGTGTTTTTATTCCTGTGTCACCCTGTGAAAAAGTCGAAGCAAGGCAGCTGCACGTAAGAGGGATTACCCCAAAGCCACCCAGCTGCGAGGCAGAGCTCTGCTGAGTAGGGCCTGGCACGTAGGGGACCTGCCTTGAATTTCTGACCCCTCACTCATTGTATTTCAACTTCTCTTTTACCAGACCTTTGATTAAAAGGAGTCTTTCACCTTTTTTTTTTTTTTTTTTTTTTTTAGCAATCCCATGTTCACCCCCTCCAAAAATAGAGAACGGAGAGCACAACGGAGGCGACGTTACCGTCTTCAGCTACGGATCCTCTGTCACCTATCATTGCAACTCTGCTGGCAGGGGGGAGAGAGCCTTCTCGCTGGTGGGGGATCCCTCGATTTTCTGCACGACTGTGGATAACCTGAACGGCATCTGGAACAAGCCAGCCCCGGAGTGCAAAGGTGAGCAGCAAAGAGCCCAGGCACCGCAGCAGCACCAGCCGGGGCTGGGGACTTTGGGGCTGGACCCGATGATCTCTTGAGGTCCCTTCCAACCCCTACAATTCTGTGATTCTGGGTCTTATCTGAGCTTTGGGAAGAAACAGGGTGCCTGCAAAGAATTCAGAAATCTGCTGTGGTGCCTGCTGCCTTTCCTTTGCTCTTGTGCTTTGCCTTAATAAATGCGTGTAAATAAATAAATAAATAAATAAATATAAAACGCTGTAGTATAGAATTAAGAGTTCAAAAACATCGTGTCAGCCTGCTACCTTGTCCTGTCCATTTTCATCCCTTTTCACAAATGTGTGCTACAAGAAATGCTTTTAATAATCTCTTCTGTAAGCGTGGCTGCCCGCAGGGCTGAGCGCTGGTGTTTCTCCACAGTGGTGGGCTGCCAGCACCCCCAGATTGAGAACGGGAAGCTGCTGAGCGGGTACAGGGCCGAGTACACGTACCGTGACACCGTCGTGTTCGACTGCGAGTTCCGCTACACCCTGCAGGGCAGCGACACCTCCACCTGCAGCGAGGCCGGGAGCTGGGAGCCGCCGCTGCCGCTCTGCCAGCGCAGTGAGTGCCCGACCCGCACAGGGCTGACAGCAGAGCCTCCAAGCGTCAGCCGGCAGGACTTCATTTTTCATACTTATTTGTTTCATTTTACTTCACTTCACTTTAATTCCCTTTACTTCACTTTACTTTATTTTTTATTTTATTCCTTAGCAAATCTGTTGTGCCACGGTGGCTTTTGATTTCCTCTTTCCTGGCAGCATGCTGGAGATGATAGAGGAATGGGATATAGGAACGTAGGTGTAGGAATTTACAACTTCGGGCCACAAAAGCTAGAGTCTTGTCCTGCTCAAGCTGGTGAGCATTTCTCAGTAGAATTCAAAGCGACTAAGCTGACCTTTCTATATTTAATATTTTTAAAGGTCATTGGCAGGTGAGGGCAGAGCCTCACACAGTATAAACTTTGTTCGAAATCTCACCTCGTTATAACATAGTAGTGTAAATTACTGCATGGTCTGAAACTCTTTGTACATTTTCATTTATTTCCGTTGCATTCACTCTCCAGCATCACTGAACTCAGGCAATTGCCTTAAGTGGATCTCAAAGAACAACGTGAGCCCCTGTTTTTCCCCAAATTCTCTTTTCTGCGTGCTGTTACGGGCCTCACTGGTTTATCGCTGGCAACGTCCTCAAATGGCTGATTTCACTTCTAGGCAGCTGCGATGACCCTCCTGACGTGTTTAGGGCTGTTAAAGCGAGACTCGCGGGCAATTTGTTCCCTGCTGGTACTGTGGTTACCTACGAGTGTGAGCCGGGCTACGAGTTCAGCCCCGGACAGAACACGCGGCACATTACGTGCCTGGCAGACCTGACCTGGAGTGAGGCTCCCTCTTCTTGCAACAGTGAGTGCACGTCCCTTCAGCTTCATTTCCCATGTGGTTGGGCAAAGCCGTTCCCAAATAAACAGTCTGCAACCTGCTTCATTTACCACCACGTCTGAGGCATGGGCTGGCTTGGTGCTGCCCCACCAGCAGCTGCCAGGGCCCCCAGGAGAGGAGGAGGAGGAGGAGGAATGTGTGTCCAGGAGAGCTCCTGATGGGCCTGCCTTGCCCGTCAGCTATTGTGGGAGGATGTGATGACTGGTTGTGTATGCCCAGAAAATAAAACTTCCTCTAGGAATGTCAGAAAATGGACATTTGTTTGTCTTACGGAGCCTTTGCTATGATTTCTCTCTTGCTAATATTCAGCATTTCTCAGAAATTAGTTGCCCGGATCCAGTAGTCGGGAATGCAAGGCATGTAAATGTGTGGTATAAACCCGTCAAATACATGTATGGAGACACCGTCAGTATCAGCTGTAACGAAGGCTACACTATCCGGGATTATGGCAGTGACGTTGTGCTTCGGTGCACAAACAAAGGCACGTGGGACCCGGCAGTAACAGAGTGCACCTCAGGTAGGCAGCTGGTGGGGCGTGTTGGCTGGCTGACTGCTGATTTCTGCCTTCCGCAAAGATTTGGGTCACTGTACGGTGTCCCTGTCTGCTACCAGCACTGGAAAAATGTGTGCAGAAATCTACAAGCCTTAGATGATGATAGCTGTCTTTTCCATAGAAAGCCTCTTCGCTGGAGTTCTTTCTGAAAATATGTGAAATCCTTTATTTTCTTCTGTTTCTAGTACCTCACTGCCCACAGCCCGTTACTGACCATGGGCGAGAGGTTTATAAGAGCAAAAACGACTACAGCGTCGGGACCCGCGTGACGATGGCGTGTGATGAAGGCTACGTCCTCAGAGGCGACGAGCAGATCGAGTGCAAGGCTGACCAGAACTGGACTCCCTCGGTGCCGTTTTGTGACAAGGGTACGAGCTCAGCAGCGGCATCGCCAAGGAGAAATCATGGGTGGTGGAAGGGGCTGCGCTGGGGCCTGACCCAGCAAGAAGCTGGGCAGTGACCCTACATGTGCTTTTGTTCTTACAAGCATGAAGTTGACCCCTGCACTGATTTCTGATTTGGGTCTCACCTGAATGCGACAATCACACATTTTTTTTAAGTTTTATTTATTTTGTATCAATTCCCGTTGTTTCATAGGCTGTGACCCCCCTCCCCAAATCACCAGCGGGCAGTACACGGCCTCGAGATCAGGGGTCTTCCCCTACGGATCGGAGGTGACGTACAGCTGTGCCGCGGGTCTGTCCCTCATCGGGGACAAGTCCATCTACTGCACCTCCACCGACGGGGAGAACCTGGTGTGGAGCGGCCCTGCCCCGGAGTGCAGGGGTGAGTCGCTTCCCCATGGGGTAACGCCGGGACCTGGGTGTGCAGGGGGACCTGGAGCAGGGCTGCCGGCTCCTCCTGCTTCCCCTGAAGGCTGTGGTGTGAGCTCGGCACCTCGGGGTTGGCATGGGGAGAGGAGATGCTGGTTCTCCTGCGTTGGGTGCCCCAAAGTGCTCAGGGCGAGCCCCGCTTTGTGTCCCGGGGCAGGGCACCACCCGGCCTGACGCAGCCGTGCGCGCTCTGCCCGCAGTGGTTCGCTGCCCCAGGCCTGATGTCGAGCACGGAAGGATGGCTCCGCTGAGACACACATTCCCCTACGGGGTGTCCGTGCGCTTCTCCTGTGATGAAGGCTTCGTGCTGCGTGGTGATGCTGAGATCTGGTGTACGGCCAACAGCACCTGGCAGCCGCCGCTGCCCTCCTGCGTCCCAGGTGGGTCCGGCACCGCTCATCCACCGCCCTGGAGCTGGCAGGGCGTTTTTTCCTCCTGTTACATCATTTTTGCCAACTGTTTTCCTTCCAGTTCAATGTTCCGTGCCACAGACTGAAGGGAGTATGAATTGGCCCTCCTATAAGCGAACGTACAAGGTGAATGACATCCTGTACAGCCCATGCGGGACTGATCCCTATCGCCCACAAAATTTTCCAAGCACCTGCTCAGCTGATGGCACGTGGATACCACCACCCAAGTGTGTGAGTACCACTTTCTGCCCAGGCTTTGCATTTTGCCCCATTCGTAGCCTGGAACAGCACCAGTCCGACTTCATTAATGTGCCTCGTTACCATAGGGCTGGCACGGTGGAGGGGCTGCATTAGGAGGGGGATGCGTCCTGCGTAGGTCCCTGCCGTGTAGCCTCACGCCCTCTGTCTTGGTTCTTTTAAAGAAAACGCTTCTCACATGCCAGAAGATTCTTCAAATCAAAGAAACTTTCCTGTGCGGCGTTCCTCTGACTGAACTGAAAACTTTGCTGGAGGTGCAGAAGCTGTACCTGGAGATCCAGAAGCTGGAGAAGGAGCTGGGAAGCAGAAGCAGGAGCTGACTACCACGGCTGCTTGATTTCATGAGAACCTTCTCCTTTGCGTGACAAATAACGTGATGACTGAGGATTTTGTATGACCTTGTAATTCACCCTAATACTTAAGTAACCAGAAAAAAAAAAAGTTGGTGAAGGAATAGATTTTATTTTTTTTCCAGAAAAGGAGTCAGAAAGTCTTTTGGCTCGTTCTGCTACAGCTCACTGGGTTAGGTTTGTACATCACTTCATACACTTTAAAGCTTTACTTTTAGGTATGTTTGTTAGCCTCTGTTCACATATGTTATGTGCATTGCTGTGAACAAGTATTTAACTGCCCAATTATCTACAGCCTTCAGAACTGGTACAATGAGGAAATCTTCATAGCCTGTTTTCTAGCAAAACAAGAAGCCCAAGCAGGACAGTTCTGATGGAGCAGAAGTGCCACTTGCTGCTTCTTTGTGTGTCCCCCCTTGCACCAAGAGCAGTTGTTGCAAATAATTTCAGCTGCTTCTTTCTTTACAGTTTAATTTCTGCACTGTCCAGCAAAGGGGAAGTGCTCCACTGACATGGATCTTGTGATCGGAGCAGTATTCCTTCTCTGCCAGATTAAAATAAAGCTGCAGTTCTGATGACAACTGCGTCTTGTTTTCAATAACTCTGTCCTCTCTGCACTAAAGCAAGGGCACATTCCGTACTCTCTGCTTGCTCAGACACAGTTTTGCTGTTTCCCAAGCACAGGGCTGCCTGGAACAGGGTGTGTGAGGCCATCTGCTGCCTGTCCCACTGCCCCTCCTGGGTCCAGGTGAAAAGGCAAAGGGAACACACAGCTCTTCCCTGCGTGCCCATCAGCAGCTCCTTCTGCTCCAGAAACGAGGCCAGCATGGTGCAGAGCAGCTGTAGCCACAAAATAGCTTTATTCTGTGTTGTGCCCACTGGGGAAGAAGGCAGAGCGGCGTTCCTTCCCTTACTACAGCCTCGCTGGAGGATGCAGGGTGGGCAGCCCTTACCCCGAGCAGGACAGAAGCACCACCGTGCTGTCGGCGTGGCTGCCTGGCCTGGCCCCGACTTCCTACAGCTGCTTCCCCTTCCCCGGGGCTCCTCGCCTTCCCCGGCACAGTCGGTGCTCGCCCAGCAGCTCCTGCACCATGCGGGCGCTTCGCGGCTTGATGGGGCCACTGCTGGCAGTGGCAGTGCTCGTGCTGCAGCCCGCTGGGAGTCTCGGTGAGTGTCGCTCCCCTGCCCCATTCCAACCCTTCCATGGCTCAGCTTTGCTTTTCAGTCAAATGGGGAATCATCAGGCCAGGAAAGTTCAGCGGGAGACCCGCCTCTGGCTGCAGGCGCTGCTGATTTCTTTCTGATGTTCTGGCAAGGCTGCCCTGAGCCCAGTGGCTCCTGCTAACTGCGCATTTCTCCGCTCAGTTGTGCCTCTGGATGCTCGCAAAGAGCCACCCAAAATTCCCAAATGCTTTCCCATAGTCTGGCTCCCCCCAGCCTGCGCCCTTGCGAAGTAAGGCAGCTCAGGGGCTATCAGCTTGTCTCCGGGGTAGCCCAGGGCCAGGTCCTTTGTCTGCTGAGCTTCTCACGGGCTGAAGCTCAGGACTTTATTGCAGTGAGCGCATCAGCCGGGGGCTCACTTATCTGTGTGGTAGCCGAGAAGTTGTTGCCAGGGTCAGAGGATGTCCTGATGTTCTGAGGCTCAAGATGAAGATGGTGGTAAGTTGGGGAGACTCAAAAAGTGATAATAGTTTGTATCATTTAATTACAAGGGTCACAGTTTGCAGTTTGAGTGGTGTCAGGAGCGAGGCTGATGCATAAGCACAGAGGTAGCCTGCAGACATCCTGAAGGCAGCTGGCCCCTTGTTGTCGTGCATCCCACAGGCTGGCTGCAGGCGTGAGAAGTGGAAGTTTGCTCGCTAATGACCCTCAGAAGAGGAATAACTCGCAGTTTCTGTCTGGAAGTTGACATTTCCTTTGAAAACAGGCTTTATAGGAAACTGCTCTGCTGTGCTAAGTGCTCCCCGCTGCCTCCTCTGCCTTGTGCAGCCGCTGCCCCCAGCTGAGCACCCCTTTACAGCTGTTTTCTTTAACTCGTGGTGATTCTCAGACGCCCCCTGCCCCAGCCAAACCTTACCACTGGGGTGCAGATACCTAAGCTGAGACCTGGGGAAGAAACAAGCAGGTATGGGGACTTTCCACTGAGTGCAAGCCTGGGTAGGGTATCGAGGGCAGGTATGCTGGTGCATAAGGAACCCCAGTTTTATCCACCTTTAATTTTCCCCAGCTATTACAGTTTGTAACCAGCCCCAGGATGCTTCTCGTGGCAGGTACAGTAGCCAAAGAAGGTTTTTGTTTGGGCACCAGTGATGGACACACAGGTTGGAGGTTAAGTGTTGTTTGCGAGCCTCTCGTTTACCTTAAAGCTGGAGGCAGGGCTCCAGCACAGCGGGGTCGCCCACCCAGGGCATGCAGCGTGGTCATACCCCAAGCTGCCGGAGCAAGTGGTGTTAGGAACAGGCAGAAATAGAGATCGGTTGTCTGTGAGCGATGGAAGGGCTACACCTCTGCAGTCCCGGTGATGACAGCTTCTCAGGCGTGCTCGTTAACCCTTAACCTCTCTGCCTCGATTGCTGCAGTTGTTACCCTGATCAGTTCACCAGGTGGGAGTGCAGTGACCGCAGCTGCGATCAGTAAAAACACCCCCACAAAGTCCTTGTCTGTCCTCTGCTCTGCAGAGCTGCAGTGTCAGGTCCCACTTATCGCACACGGACGGCTGAGACCCGTGCACAACTTCACCTCGGGCGGCGCGGCCATGGTCGAGTGCGATGCTGGCTACGTCCCCGCGGGCACCGGCACCGTGCGGTGCCTGTCCAGCGGCAGGTGGCAGCCACGGGTGCCCGCCTGTGTCCCAGGTACGTGCGGGTTCCTCTTCTCCCTAATTCATCTCCTATGTGTCTTTTTGTGAGCTTCTTTTGCTAAAAGTGTGTTGGGGTGGGCTGGGTCCTGCCAGAGGCAGGGCTCAGCCCTATCTCCGGTGGGTCCCGGGGAGCCCCGGTGGCTCTGAGCATCCTCCCTGCCCTGGCTCCAGGTCGCTGCCCTTCGCCTCCTGCCCTCAGCTACGCCGACCGAAGCCCTCAGCGCGAGTTCCTGGTCGGTTCGACCGTCACCTACTTCTGCAGAAATGGGTACACTATGATCCCTGAAGTATCTCCGACAATTACTTGTCTCAAAAATTTCACCTGGTCCTCAATCCCAACGCTTTGCCAGAGTAAGTGCACCATTTTCTTTGCCTCGCCAGCAAAGCAGCTATTTAATGGTGGGGAATACCATCATTTTCTAAATGCCCACCAGCAGTGCAGTGCCACAAGGCACAGCGCTATATAGCAGTGTTTTGGCTCTCAGTGATAATAATTTTGCCGTTCAATGGGTGGCATGGATGAAAAGAAATATCTGAATCTCATTCTAATCATTTAGTCTTTCAAACAATGACCGTAACATCGTTCCTCCAGTGCCATCTCTAGCTAATTGCAGGGTTCATACAGCTCTGCCTTCCAAGAGAAATGGCTGTTATCCTGTAATTGCAGTCCCTGAGCACGCCAGGGCTGGCTGGGGACGTCTGGCAGGGTCCCTGGGTTAACGAGCCACCCCCATGGGGAACACCCTGGTGTGGATGTGTCCTGCGAGCACTGTGAGACCCCATCCCCAGAACCTTTCTGATGCCGGTGTTCCTCAGTGGTGCAGTGTCCGAACCCCACCATCAGCCACGGGCAGGAGATCAACGTGAAGGACGCCAAGTATACCTTCGGGCGCCAGGCAGCGTTTCAGTGCGACCCTGGCTACGTGCTGTGGGGCAGCCGGAGGGCTCAGTGCGGGTCTGATGGGACGTGGAGCCCCCCTGTTCCGTTCTGCGATAAGGGTGAGTCCGGGAGGTGTCTGCTTGGGGTGGAGCTGGGAACTGCATCTCCTGGGGAAGAGCAGTTAGAAAAATGATATAAATTTGAAATCTCTGATCAGAGAAGGCCGTGTTAGAAGGGGTCCAAGTCACAGCATTAAATGGTTTTAATGTATACGCTTTCTAGCAAAACTGTAATCAAGGTGCTGTGTAACGAGCCTGCAGCCACTTTCTCAGAGGACTGTTCAAAGCGTTTATAATGCTGGAAAATCCCTGACCCAGTTTATGAGCAGGCTCTTTTATCACAAGGGAGTGGAGGGGATGGAGACCCACACTGGGGTGTGGGGTTGGTGGGTGAGGGTGCGTGGCTGCTCCATCTGGGAGAACCGGCAGAGCTGGGGCTGAACCTGGCAAGGAGCTGGGAGACTTTGAGCCAAGCATAATACAGAGACCTGGCTCCTCCTGGTACTGCCAGCACTTCTCCACCTGGTGACAGGCTGAAAAACAGCTTAACTTTTCTTTTCTCCTCTCTCTTGCAGTCTGTGACCCCCCTCCCCAAATCACCAGCGGGCAGCACACGGCCTCAAGATCGGACCTCTTCCCCTACGGATCAGAGGTGAAGTACAGCTGTGCTGTGGGTCTGTCCCTCATCGGGGATGAGTCCATCTACTGCACCTCCACCGACGGGGAGAACCTGGTGTGGAGCGGCCCTGCCCCGGAGTGCAGGGGTGAGTCGCTTCCCCATGGGGTAACGCCGGGACCTGGGTGTGCAGGGGGACCTGGAGCAGGGCTGCCGGCTCCTCCTGCTTCCCTGTGGTGTGAGCTCAGCACCTTGGGGTTGGCATGGGGAGAGGAGATGCTGTTTCTCCTGCGTTGGGTGCCCCAAAGTGCTCAGGGCGAGCCCCGCTTTGTGTCCCGGGGCACTTGGCCTGACACAGCCGTGCGCGCTCTGCCCGCAGTGGTTCGCTGCCCCAGGCCTGATGTTGAGCACGGAAGGATGGCTCCGCCGACACACACGTTCCCCTACGGGGTGTCCGTGCGCTTCTCCTGCGATGAAGGCTTCGTGCTGCGTGGTGATGCTGAGACCTGGTGTACGGCCAACAGCACCTGGCAGCCGCCGCTGCCCTCCTGCGTCCCAGGTGGGTCCGGCATTGGGGTGCAGCACGGCACGGTGCTGCCTCCTGCTGCAGCTCCCCTGGTGCCTTCTCCTCTCAAGGGCTGTTCTGCCCTTCGTCAACCCCTCCTGCACACCCTGGGGGTGTAACTTTGCCTTAATGTTTGGTTTTGTGACTCTGTAGACTTAATTTCACCTGCACTGATTCATTCTTCACTAATTTCATATTTTTTTCCACCAACATAACGATGATCCCCCGGCTGTGCTGCCCTCTGCTGTGTGCTTTACTTTCAGTTCAGTGTCCGGAACCGCAAGTTGTCAATGGAAGGCTGAAAAACGCCAGGGACAGTAAAACGTGGTACCCAGCAAACACAACTGTTACTTTCGAGTGCCTCCATGGGTACCACTTCTCTGGTGGAGGACCCGCTGCTTTCGGAGACACCGGGACAGCCACGTGCCTGGCTGATGGCAACTGGACACCGCTGCCCAAGTGTGTAAGTGTCATGGTCTGAGTTTCTGGGTGAGTGCTGCCTGATTCCTGATATAAAAAAAATATGGTCTGAACCTCTTAAAGGCTCTGGCTTTATGGCCATGCTGTGGGATGCAGGCTGCGTTAGGGCAATGCAAGGCAAATTGGGCAGACACGCGGCCTCAGAGCTGCAGTGTTTGGCTCTCCGTCCACCGCCGTGCAATCATACACGCCTGTCTCTGCTTTTTGTTCTGCTTTTTTACAGAAGAAGCAAGGAGAGGCTGATATTTGTGAAGAGGTTGGGGATATTAAAGCGGCCTTTGAGTGCGGTGTGCCCATGGAGGAAGTGAGAACTCTGCTGGAAGTACAAAAACTATTCCTGGAGATTCAAAAACTAAAGGTGGAACTTGGGCTCTCGAATAAGGTCATCCTGTAACACACACTGTAATGAATCACCTTTCCTTTGGACACAGTTCACGCAGTCAGAGCATCTGTAAGAAGACTCTTAGTGACTCCGTAGTTCATGCTTGTACGCACAGAACCAGAGAAATAATAAACACTGTCTGGGAGGTTGCTTTTGTCATGCTAGGTGCTAGAGCTCAGGGAGGTTTTTGCTCTGTTCCTTAAATCCACAGGCTTGATTTGCTCTATAACAAACTATTTTCACTTTTCATTTTAGCAAGTGTAATAAGGTGTTATGTTGACCTTCCTTGAGTTACGGAATAAACCGTGCTAGGCCAAGGGCAGTGGATCCGGAGCCCAGGGAAGCAAATTCCTGGCAGAGCCGAGCTGCCGGCCCCTGGAGGCGGTTCTGCAGCCCCTGCCCACTGCCCGGCGTCAGCACACCTCACCTGCCCAGAAATAGCCCGGGAGGGAATATTTAACTGCGTCGTTTCCTGGTGACCCAGGTCATGGCTTCTACGTGTATTCATCTAGCTAAGGACAGTTATATTTAAGTGTGTTAGAGGAGGCTGGCAAAGCCTATTTGCTTATCCCTGGGATTTAAAAGAGGTAACAGGTTCTGGCAGGGTGCTGCCCTTGACAGATAGCTGGGTTGGTGTCGTCTTCCACATCCCTGTGCTTGCAAGCAAATGCTAAGAATAGATGTTGTAAGTTTAAGTGGAACGAATCAGACAGCAATGATTTTGCTTATTCAATAAACGATCATCCTCTCGCTGTGCCCGCGTGGTGAAGGAATCAGGCTTTCTGTTCAGGTGTACGATAAAAATGAAGATGTGTGTGTGTTTTGTAACCCCTCACAGCAGCCATAGGGCCGGCAGGGTTTTGCTGTGGCCAAGCAGCCCTCGCTGAGAGCCGAGCCTTGGTGTCTGGGGAGGGCACGGGGCAGGCAGCAGGGCGCAGTGGGAGCTGGGAAGTGCTCAGCTCCTGCCCAAGAGATTTGCAGCAGTACGTCCTGGTGAGCCGCACACTTTTAGGAGTTACCAGCTCTGCTTTCAAGGTTACTAGAGCCCAATGCGCAATGCCGTGGGAGGAGATGGCATCTCCCACAGGATGCACAGAAGGGTGCCTCGATCATACATCCTGTGCTTCACCGAGGTGTGGCGAGGGGACACGATAACGGGGGCAGAGCCCGGTGTCAGCAGGAAAGCCGTGCTGCGCCCTGGTGCTGCACCCTGCTCCTCCCACACTCTGCACACCTCTGGCTGCAAACAAAGGTAGAGCATCGCCACGGGCAGTGCTCAAAACGCGTCAGCAGGAGTGAGCTGGGAGTTCCTAGCAACGTGCCGGAGTGCTCCTAACAGACGTCAGGGGATGTTTCGGAGCGTTAGTCAGTGCACAGATGTATCCGCTCACAGCCCGTCCTAATTGCACAGCGCCTGACTCAGGCAGTTAGGAAAAAATATCAGATAATAAGATAACAGGAAAAAAAGGTGACACTTTTATTTTGCAGTTCGCCGACATGGAGGAGCTGTGCTGTGTTACCTGCCAGCAAATGACTAAGCAGGCATTTTTCTGCCTTAGTTACAGCAGGGGTGGAGGGCTTTTCTGTCCGGGTAGTGTTTGGTTTTGGTATATCCATGCTAGTCAGGGCTTACTGCAAGTCTCAGGACAAAGAATAGGGCTGAGTTACCCCCCCAGCCCCTGTGTGGGGCAGGAGGACCTGGAGGCTTTGCCTGGGCCCCCTGGGTGACTGCTGTTTGCCACCCCTGGCTGCACCCCTCGTCCCAGTGGGAGGGTTGAGCTCCCTGTGTGTTCTGGATACGTTTCCACTGCTCCACAGGCTTGGCTGCTGTTGCATCTCCTCCCAGCTTTCGTTTCTGAGCAGCTGGGAGCCAATAAGTGCTTGGCAGAGCAGCGCAGGAATCGCTGCGATGAAGCCTGGAGAACCAGGGCAGGGGAAATACCCGGGCACCTCGCGCTGCTGGGCTCCCACCATGCGGCAGGGATCCGGCTGCCCCACGCTGCTCCTGGCCTTGCTGGGGCTCCTGGGCACACCTGCAGCTCACGGTGAGTACGGGCACATAGGATGCACTGTGGGGAGCAGCGAGACCTGCCCGGCTCCCCCCTCGCTGTTTGGGGGCTGGGGAGGGCGATGGCACCACCCTCAAACCGTGGTGATCCCAGGGATGCAGCCCAGCACGGTGCCTCTGCTCGGAGGGAAATCCAGAGCTGCCCTCCTGGGATGCTCGCTGGGGCTGGGGAATGGGGAATGGGATCCTTACCCAAAGAGGTTTTTCTCCTGCACAGGTGACTGTGGGCCCCCACCCCATATGGCCTACTCCAAGCCGTCCGTGGCAGAGCAGCTCAGCAGCTTCCCGGTGGGATCCAGGGTCACCTACACGTGTCTCAAAGGCGCCATCAAAATCCCCGGGCGGGCGGACATGGTGCAGTGCCTGCCCGGGTCCCGCTGGTCCCAGCTGCCCGAGCCCTGTGGCCGTAAATATCCCTTCCTCCGAAGCAGCTTCAGCTTTCTTTTGCTTAATTAAAGCTTTTGTGCAGCTCTGCAACGGCACCCTTAGGTGCAAAGCCGCCTCCGTTAGCTGCTGATGATGGGCGCGGGGTCTGCTCCTGCCAGTGATGGGGTAAGGGGGGCCGCAGCCCCTGGGGCTGCTGTTTGTGCTGAGCCTGGGCTGGCAGGGGCTGGCTTCAGGGGGGGCTGCAGCGCACGGCTTCTGACCTGCTGACGGCTCTGCCTGTGCAGTGTGAGCATCCTGAGCTACGAATGCATTCAGCGGGGTTGCAGCTGCTAAGAGAGAAGAGGCAATCTGCGATGAACACGCAGAGCTCTCCAAAAGCGCCGTAGCAGGAGCATTTCTGCAATTACAAGCTCTGTTTTTCACGCCCCCTTGCTGGCCAGCTCTCTCAGACCTGCTCTCCTTGATTGCCAGTGAGCTGCTCTACCCCGACAAGGTTACACTTTGCTGCCCTGTCCGAGGTGGACGAGAGGATAAATTTTTTTCCTATTGGGTTCACTGTGAGCTACGTCTGCCACCCCGGCTACGAGAACATCTCGGAAAGCTCCCCCACCAGCACTTGTCTTGAAAACCTGACGTGGTCGGAGGTTGCTGAGTTGTGCCGCAGTGAGTACCTCCACCCCTGCTGTCAGTGAGCAGCCCCCAGGGCTGGAACCTGCAGCCAGGCACCTGCTCCTTGCCTGTGTGCTGCAATAAACCCCAACAGCCACGTGCTTAACCCAAAAGCAGGTGGATATTCCTAGACGTTTACCTGTAGCACCCTGGGGGTGTTTGGGAAAGGTTGGACGTGGTGCTTAGGGACGTGGTTTAGCGGTGACATCGGTGGTAGGGGGGTGGCTGGACCAGGTGATCTTGGAGGGCTTTTCCAGCCTTGATTTTAAGACTTAGCAGTGAGAGTATCAAGAGTGTTATTTATTTTCTGTTGGTATGAAAAGATTTGTTTCCATTTTCACATAACGTTCACATCTGGACACAGCCCATGCACAGGACAAACATCGGTGTGCAGGGAGTATTTCTAGCCTTGAACCTCAGAATGTAGACAAAGCATATTTCCCCATGAAATCCGTATCGCATTAAACAGATGATGTGGCAGCAACGCACTTTTCACTTGCTACCAAAGCATCGAGATGGAAATCTCCCTGCAAATATTCCTTTCTGCCCTCCAGGGAAGTGTTTACAGGTGCCGGCTGTGAGCGTGGAGCCCTTCTGGGGCTGCACAGCTCGGCTCCCTCCGGGTGCAGCCTTCTCAGTCTATCCCCGTTAGCGTTCCTCGTCATTGCAGCAGCCGTGGCCGCTCACTTTGGCCTTGCTCCCCTGCAGGGAAGTCCTGTGGGCAGCCGCCGGCGCTGCCCGGGGGCAGGACCCTCGCCCTGACGGACTTTCTGTTCGGTGCCAGAGCGAGCGTGGTCTGCGATGAAGGGTGAGTCCCGGGGTGCTGATGCTGGGTTGCAGGCTCTGCTCTTACACATGAGATGTGTAACATCTTGTAACACGCTCAGGGCTAGAGCAATGAACCTGCTGGGTGCTCTTTCGCAATCTAACCCTGGTGCAGCGCTGCTCCAAGTGGAGAGCTGAGTGCTTCAGTTCGAGCTTTGTGCTGGGAAGGAATGAGAGCACAGGGGTGGGGAGCTGAGTTTATGGCAGCCTTTTCCTTCAGGTGTCATCCAGGAGAAATTCAACTGCCCCAGGCTGTCTGTCCCAACAGGACTACCTGTGCCATCAGTTTGTACCTACAGACTTCAAAACAGGCTACTTGAAATACTTCAACTTAACGTATTCATGATATATTGAACAAGAAGGGGTTATGTATGAATTTTAAAACTTATTGGATTTTCAGCTAGAACACTGCAGTGAAGCACAGTTTCCATTAGTCAGTGCTCTGAGTCATGCTTTCTGCCTGCTCCCAATCAGGGCACACACGCACTGTTTGCAGACTTGCTCCCAAACCCTTGACTAGTACTCAGCTAGGGCTGGAAAAGCTAGGGCTTTCCTTCCTAGCAAGAGCTTGCTGTCACCGTCTGGCTTGTTCCATCCCTCTGTGCAGCTGTTTCAATTACAGTAGAGATTTTTCTCCAGATACTCCCTTAGAGTGGACTTCGGGGAAATGACAGCACGTTCCACCCTTCTGTGGTTCAGTTCATCTTTGGAAATACCCATCAGGGTGGAGGGGTAGTGTTATTCCTTGAAGCACTACCAGATGTCACCACTTGTATCCAAATGATCAATCACACCCTTGCATTCTGAAAATTCAGAGATCTGGGAAGGTGTCAGTGCTGTCAGGAAAAGATGTCTCACCTTCCAGCAAGCAAATCCAGAAGCCTCTGTAGTGAATTGTGGGTTCATGTTGCTCCCCACCTGTCCCTGCTGTGCGCAGAGGATGCATTTGAATATTTGCAGAGATGAGCTGAGCAGGTTCTGCTTTTCTGGCAACACTCCAGCAAAACAGCTACAGCCTTATAACCCCAAAGCAATGCGCAGATGAAGAGGTGGCACTGCCAGTGGCGAGGATTTCAGCAGATCCAGCTACCCTCGGTAACAGCTCTGCCGTGAGCAGGCAGGGGCTGAGCAGGCTTCAGGCTTCCCTGGTCTAACAAATCCCAGCCCAATGCATCTGAGTGGGGATCCACGCCTGCCCACAGCCCTGCCCAACCTTCCCTGTGCTCGCCTCGGGACGCTGGCCATGGTTTCTCCTTTCTTTGCACTGGGAGGAGCGCTCTGCATTGAGTCACCTACAAGCAGATTAGCGAGGATCCTAGCAGAGAGCAAGGTGAAGGAGCTCTGCTGTTACCCAGCTCGTATTTGCACGTCTGCTGGCTTTAAAGCTGCCTTGTCTCTGCTCCTGGTCACACTGGCACTGAGGGGGAAATGCTCTCAGTTTCTGGGTAGTTACACGTTTCTCTCTTGTATTTTCACTCAGGTACAAACTAAACGGGAGGAATCTCATCCAATGTTGGCTGAAAGGAGATGACGTTGAGTGGAGTAAACTTCCAACCTGTGAATGTAAGACTGATTCTAGTACAAGCCTGCCTTCACAGGTGTTTATCTTCGTATTATGTGGCAGATCTGTCACCCACACTGCAGCTGAGAAATATCCATTTTGCTGCTGACACTGCATTTCAGCAGTTTTGTTTCCACAAAATCAAAATATTTTCTCATGAGCTACGATTAGCAGTGAGGGTGATGGGATGAGATTTCTAGGGCTCTAGCCCATGACAAGCTGCCTGTTTATTTCTGTGACACGGGAAGAGAGAGGGAGAAGGAACTGGCAGGAGAAACACTTCAGAAACAACAGAGATGATCAGAACAGAAGGTAGTGCTAGTGACCCATCTTCACTCATCCAATAGGTTTATTTTCTCCAAAAATCTTCGGTGAACTCTTAAGAAACGTTTTGTATTTCCATTGCTTTTAGCAACACTCATGTTGACCTTCTTTCATGCAGTAATTACCTGCTCTTCACCTCCTCCAATTAGCAACGGGAAGCACGATGGTGAAGGTGTAGAAAAATTTGCTTACAACTCAACAGTGACTTACGGCTGTGACTCTGGCTTCCAACTCATCGGAAAAGCGAGCATCCAGTGTACAAGCACAGACAAAACAAACGGGGTCTGGAGTGGAGCAGCGCCTAAATGTAAAGGTGACTTTCCCTGGAGTTTAGGACTTGTAATATGAGTTCAGTATTTAGTATACACCAGATAAACATACCCTGATTGCTTAGTGTATGATGTGTCAAGTGGGAGTCGTATTGCAACTTGAAAAAATGCAGTGCAGCTAAGTGAGTAGGGAGTGGACGGCCTGGAATGGAGAGCTTTTACCAATACTTATTCTTTTTACTACAGAGAAAAGCACATTTGTCAAACTTGGAGCAAAAGAAGTGGAAAAGAGCACTCCGCCCCAAAGTGAGTTGAAATGACTCTGAGTTTAATTAACCCCACATTTCCAGACTTAACTTGCCCCTTTATGACATTTATATGAAAAAGCCATTCAAGGAGCTTCATGCTGTGATCTTCATTCTTTTCAGATTTCCAGGGAAATGGCATCCAAACAGATAAAAAGGATTTCACAAAGGAAATGAAAATCAGCCTTTATAAGGAGTTACTCCAAAGCAGCAACTCCTTCTCCCATTCTGCTTCCTTCTCCAGGCCACGAGGTGAGTCCAGCTCGTCCTGAGACTCGTCAGGAGTTCGGGGGAGCTCATTCATAGGGCTCAGAGTTTATTTTCAATCCCATATCTGGAGCTTTCACTCTTTCCCATGTTTCTCTTCCGTGGTAGGGAGCTGTGCTACCTCAGCATTCAGATTTGTTGTGCCTTTTTACAAAACCCAAAGCTACTACTCTCCTGGAACCAGACGAGGACCACGGTGTCCTCCAAAGTACATGGGGATCTCGGGCATTCTCCCCCAAGCTGGCTGCTTTGAAAGCATAAAGTGGTCTAAAGTTGCAGCACTTTGTGGAAGTGAGTGTTTTATTTGTCTTCTTGGCATCTTCTCTAAGTTTTCTGGGGGTAATTTGTATTTTTTACTGGTTGGGCACCAGGTTCAAAGTTCAGGCCTGACTGCACTGACCTTCTCTTAAAGAAGCTTTGTTTTGTTTGCGATGTATTCTCATGCGTCAGCCATTTCCTTGCCCTGCTGTTAGAGATTTTGAGATTTTGCTTGACCCGTTTTTTGTCGTATTGAAAACCAGCCGTGCTATAAGGTGTAGCCTGAGGAGCGCTGGGTTTTCTGTCCCCGTTAGCAGCCAGCTAACGCTTACCTTGTTCCACGCCAGCACGGTCGTGGGCAGCCAGGAGAACCCGGACGTGGCAGAAGTGCTGCTACCACAGATTTCCCATTCGTTGCAAAGGAGTTTACCTGTAAAAAGGGTGAGTGTCGGCTGTGTTGGAAGCAGTGCCAGGGTGGGAGCTGTGAGCACAGAATTGGGAATGACGCAGCCATACAGGAGGGTTTCCTGCACAGCCAGCGGTGTGATGAGAAGCCTTTGTTGGGTGTGAACTTGGGCCGTCCTGGAGCTGTGTCCCTGGGGTCAAAAAAAAGGAAAATCTGTCCCCATTGTGGGGATTTTGTGGCCCCACACATGCTGAGGCTGCTACAGGAACGTGGTGAGGTGGTTGGTGAAGCCTGGGTGTGGAAATTTCCCCTGTGCCGGCACAGCATGGCCAGGAGGGATCTGCCCCTTGCTGTGTCATTTCCCAAAGGTGGTTTGTTTGTTGTTTTGTTTGTTTGGTTGTTTTTTTTTTTGTTTTTTTTTTCCATGCAGTGCTGCTCCATCCTGTTAGCATTGCCAGCCTGGTGGCTAGCTTTGACCAAAACCTCGGTGTATTTGCCTAGACTGCTAAACAGGGAGCTGACCTATTGGGCTAACATGGGGAACTGGGCTGCATGGCTGGGTACTCACAGATGCATGTGCAGGAGCAAAATTGTAGTGGTGTCAGTGTGTGGACAGAGCTCCAAAGGGCTCTGGAGCCCTTAACAGAGAGGAAGTTTGGGGGCACTGGGGCCTTGTAACAAAAAAGAAAAGGCTGAAAGCCTCCTCAATAATGCAACAAGGAAGGAAAGGGGCAAGCTTTGTGCTGTTTATTTCCTAAAAATGTCTACGTTGCTCTATCATATGCCTTCAGAGGGAAGAGAGATCTAAAAACCTCTTCCTGTTGGTTTTCCTTTTTTCTACTGTTTTGTCACTCTTGGCACTTCTCCAGGAGATTGTGTAAAAGCAGCAGCTTGACATATGCTCTAAACCTGGCTGCAATGTGGGAAACGCTGCTTTGCTTTGTGCTTCAGGAACTCGGCCCTCCTGCCCCAAAATAGGAGCCCTCTGCAGCCAGCCTGTCGGGGCCAGCAGGCAGGAGCAAGTGGTGAGACAGGGAAAGTGGCACAAAGCCTGCGAACAGCCTCTGATGTTCAAGCGAGGGGATTGCTTTGGCTTTTCTAAAGGTGGCTTTGGTGTTCTTTAATGTTCTGGGCAAGAGTCACCAGGCAGAAAGCGTAAAGCTCAACTCTCCTTGCGCCTCCAGCCAGGCCAGCCTTCATGTGAGCGTTTCCTTCCCTCAGGCTGCGCACATGGCCCATGGGAAGCACGATGGCAAGAGCACAGAAAGATTTTCCTGCACCTTTGGAGCACTTTGTGGGATGTGGCTTCTCTCCTCCGGTGACACGGTGACAAAGGGACACCCAAGGCAGAAATCCCCTGCCAGCAGGCGTTTGCACCTTGTTTGCATGGTTGCACAGACAACTTTCTCATGCTGCTCTTCCTGATGCCTCACTGCAGACATAAACCACAGGCAGTTCAGTGGGATGCCACTGTCTAAATATATTGTTTTCGTTTTGAAAGAAAATAACCCTGCTAAGTGCAAGCCATGCAAATCCATCACCGTGTTCTCAGAGTGCAGTGGTTGTACTCATCAGGACTCCTTCACTTTGGTTTAAAACAAAGAATAAGCTATTTCAGACATGTCTTAGGTACGCGTACAAAATGTGTTTTTCTAAATTGTGGTACGTTTTAACATTCCAAGAAACTCCATGGAAATTGCTTGTACAAGAGTTGGTCAGTTCCCATAGCTGCTTTTCCCATCTGAGTTTTTCGCTAGTTTCCTTCTAATATCAGGAATGCAGTTAGGAGTCCCTAGATCCTGATCTGTCCAGCCTTTGCTCAGGCTCAGGGTGAGGCTGTGTCATTTTCCAACCCCCTTCAACCTTTCTGCAGAATTTTGCTCACAGTTCCGCGGTGTCACAATCGGTTACAGAAGGAGTTTCCACAACCGCATGTTTCCTTTCTCACTTGCAGCACAGCCCTGCTGCCAGAGCAATCACCATAAACACAGAAACACCCAGTTAGATTGTGAAGGAGACCCAAACATCTCTGCTGGGCTGAGCTGCTGCCTTAACTCCCAGGATTTTGTGGCTGTAGCAGTGGTTCAGCTGCAGATAACGCCCCTGCCAGCTGTCAGCAGGGTTCTGCCGAAACCGAACTCCTGACCTCCTTGTCCTGCAAAGCTGTGTGCTCATTTCTGTCAGGAAATCTTGACACATTGAACTGAACGTCGATCTTTAGATCTTCAGTACTGTTAGCACTGTCTTTAGCAAAAGTCTTTTTGTCTCAAACTTAAATACTGGTTCTTTGCCGCTGGTATTTCTCTTGGGACTGCACGTAAGGCAACAGCCACGAAGGGTCTGCAGCTCAGCCCCGCTGCAGGCTCAGCAGGTTGGCTGTGCAGGGACGCATACAGCTGTTAAATGGGCTCTCAGTGTTGTCATACCGCAACAGAGACACCAGAATTGTCCGTTTTATGTTGTTAGCTGACTATTATCTTAGGTCTGTCTATGCAGTACATTAATTGCCTTATGTTTAGGTGGCTTCCTGGGTCTTTATTTACATTTAATAATAAATGGCAATTGTTTCCAAAGGATCGCCTGTGAATTCAACTGCCTCCTGCTCCTTTTCTTCATCCTATGCTCTGTTTAGGAAGGTGTTGGCTTTTAGGCATGTCAACAATGTGACTTTATTCAGGTCTGCTGTGAAATCAGTTCCTTATAAGCACTCTTCCATATTTATTTTCTAAATGACCTCTTATGCAAGTTCAGTTTAAGAAAGAAAGAAAGAAAAACACTCCATGCAGTAGCACTTGGGAATATGAGCACTTCCAGCAGGTGGTCTGAAAAAGAAAGGGGAGCGGTCTGGAGGGATGTGAACCTGTCTGAACCCCACCTGCCAGCCCCAAACCCAAGCCCTGCAGGGCCCCGAGGGAGCTGTGGCGAGGAGCCCGGCTGCCCTGGCCCTGGGGGAACAGGGGCAGAGGGGATGCTGATGTGGGAGGCCAGGAGAGGTGCTTGCAGTCCCACGCATGCTTTTTCTGGCTGGTTCCAGCCAGAGCCTGGTCGTGCTTCAGCCTCCAGCAGCATCGGTGCATGGCACAGCAGCAGCCGCGCTCACCACTGCGTGCTTTCACTTCAGCCTTTGCCATCTGCTTGGCCCGATTTCTGTCCTGCGGGGAGGGGATGTCAGAGCGAGATAAAGCGAGCTGGCTGCAGCTGAGCAGAGGCCGTTCTGCTATCGCAGGGCTCAGCTGCCATCTGTGTGAGCACCTGGGGTAGCTCCTGCCTGGGACATCCCGATGCTCGGCTGGGTGCTGCGGCTGCACGAGGCAGAGCTGCAGAGGGACAGGGCTGGTGTGAGCCTGGTCTCAGCAGGGACAGGCTCCTCCTGCTTCTGCTGGACGCAGGCACGGCCTCAGGTAGGAACTCAGCCGGTTCAAGGGGTTGATCTGAGCTCTGTGAGCAAGGGGCATTTTTCTGAGTTAAAACTGCAGTGGTTTGTGGTTCTGATGGGTGCGTGAGCCAGGCTGCTCCCCGGGCAGTCTGTCTGAGATAACAACTCCTTGCCAAATACTTCTTAACACTTTATCTTGCACTGAGGTCACGGCTGTGATCTGTTAGGAGAGAATTCCCAGCATTGAAAGCATTTTTTTCCTGTTGGCAACACCCTTTTACCTTCTACACCCACCGTTCCCCTTCACACCGCAGGCGACCAGTGGCCAAGTCATCTCTGTGTAACGTCAACACTCCCCAGCACGTACTGCAAAGCCACCCGCCACCCGGCCGCTTGGCTCCCTGCTTAAGAAAACACCTCTTGGCCTCGTCGCGGAATGCCTTTGATGGAGCTTAAATTGCATTGATAAGAGTAATAAAGTGAAAAAGAAAGAAAAGGTAATGGAAGATAACCGAGATGCTCAGTGGAAACACCACTGCTTTGTGGATGAGAGGGGCAGTGGGAGGCAGGCAGGTGCTGGCTGCCCTGCCCTGGGCTGGCTGTCACCGGCCCCTCGCTGGCAGTGCAGCTGGGGACAGGCAGCACAGACTCCGTGCACATTGCCATCCACTTTTCCCCCAAGCCCTGCGGGCAGGGCCTGGGCAGGAATCCCAAAGCAGCTCCACTCTCACACCCCCACACTGAGCTGGGGCAAACAGCTCCCATCCCTCACGTGAAGGGATTGTGTTCAGCTGGAGGGTTACAGTGGGAACGCTGGCATCCCCACTGCGTTGATTTTTTTTACATAGGCATTAATCAAAGTTGGCCCAATTAGTGACTTCCAGATTTACAGCCCTCTGGTCCCCCCTGCACCCCTCGGGCTGGAGGAAAGCCCCCTCTCCTGGGTCTGTCCCCAGGGACAGGCGGGTGCCCTTCTGACGGGACGCGGGGATGCTGGCAGGGGCAGGTGCCACCTCCGCACTGCTCTGTGCTCCCGGCAGCAGCCTGGGGCTGGGGGCTGTTGGTGAGGGCTGGGGGCACCCGCTGAGGGTGGGGACATCAGGTCCTGCCCTGTCCCTCCCGGCTGCGGGGCACGCTGCAGGCTCCCTGCCAACAAAGCCTGCAGGCTGCACTTTTGTTTGTTTTTTTCTTTTTCCTTTTCCTTTTCCTTTTTTTTTCCCTTTTCCTTTTCCTTTTCTTTTTCTTTGTTTTGTTTTGTTTGTTTTGTGTGTTTGTTGTTTGGTTGTTGTTGTTTGTGTGTGTGTGTTATTTTTTGTCCCCGTTGGGGAGGCGATAGCTGCGGGAAGAGGTGTGCCCTTACTGGAAGGTGCCCAGGGGCCGAGGCGGGGGCTCCTGGTGCCGAGAGAGCCTCGGGGAGGGGGGGGGTGGTAAAACCTATTTTTGGCTTCCCGGCCAGCAAACCGCACTCGGGCGTGTCCCCCAACCCACCTCCCCGCCTGCCCACGCGTGGCCGTGGGCGAGCGCTGCCCGCCCCGGGGCGGTCCCGGACCCCCCCCCCCGGGAGGAGGCGAGGGGCCCCCGGCAGCATCCCGGGGCCGGGAGGGGCCGGAGCCGGGCGCCCCTCGGCAGCGATGGGCTCCGGGCGGTGCCGCTGGCTGCTGGCGGTGCTGGGTGTACTGGTGGTACTGGTGGTACTGGTGCCTGCGGCCCGCGGTGAGCTCCGGCTTGGGGAAGACGCGGGGGGGGGGGCACGATGGGGGTGTCTGAGTGTCTGTACCTGGGGGGTTGTGTCTGTCTGTCTGTCTGTCTGTCTGTACCCATGTCTGTCTGTACCCGTGTCTGTGCGTGTGTCCGTGTCCCTGTGCCTGTACCCGTCTGTGTGCCTGTGCCTGTGGCTGTTTGTCTGTCCTCTGCCCTGTGCCCTGCCAGGCTGCTCCCGAAGGCAGCAGGACCCTCCTGAATCCCTTTGTTTTGTTGCAGGGAACTGCGGGCCGCTGCCCCAGCTACCCGGGGCAGAGCCTCCAGAGGACTTCAAAGATCAGCAAAGCTTCTCCATCGGCTCCAAGGTAACATACCGATGCGTTCAAGGCTTTGCTAAGCTCCCCTCGAAGTCAGACACCACGCAGTGCCTGGAGAACGCCCGCTGGTCCGTCCTCCCAGAGTTCTGTGATCGTGAGTAGTGCACTGTCTCTGCAGTTGCTCGGAGATGCGGGCTGCTTGCGAAAGCATTTGCTGCTTTAGCAATTGCTGTTCAGGGGGTTTCCTCATCAGGGGTGAGGCATGAGCAAGTTGTTTGTCAGAACCTTTCACTGTCCCTTCTTCCTGACGTCCCTGGGCTGTGGAAGTGGCCAGGCTGACAGCGCTCACCTCGGCCGCTCAGTTCTAGGAGGGCAACGTCTACCATTAGAAATCTTTTCTATTACAGCTATAGAAATTATCAATCATCTTATTAAAAATATTTGTAATATTGTGAGGGAGGCTTGCTTATTACGACTTGTATTTATGGTTATACGTATCTGAGTGCAGAATACTGACATTTTTGCTTTGGAACTGTCACTTCAATTGTCCTTGTGATCACTAGGCAGCTGTTTCAGCCCACCTCGTGTGAGTTTCGCAAAAGTATCAGCAGAAGATGAAATCAAGAATTTTTATGCTGTTAATGTCACGGTGAGCTACGTTTGTAACCCAGGCTACACGAATAGCACTGATGAGCTTCCTACCAGCACTTGTCGTGAAGATTTAACATGGTCAGAGGTTCCCGAGTTATGTGAAAGTGAGTGTCCCTGCATCAGTTGCTTTTTCTCCAGCATTGTACATCCTTAGCTCTGTGTTTGGAGTTCCACCTCAGATTTATATTCTAGAATGCCTTTTTTTAAATGATGTTTATCATCAGATGCCCAGTTTGACATTGCCACACTGTTGTGAAGAGCATGTCAGTGGTTGGCGTTTGCTTTCCTGTCCTTGCAGCATCCTAAGGACAATCTTCTTTTTTAGGGGAATCTTGTGGTCCTCCAGAAAATCCAGAGCATGGTACAGTTGTTACAACAGATTACCTGTTTGGCTCAAAGGCAGATGTTATTTGTGACGATGGGTGAGTGGAAGCAGGCTGCTGTGCTGGCTGGCCCACACCCCAGCGTGCGGCACAGGACATGGGGCTCTGCCTGTCGAGTCCGTGGCACCCCTCTGGGGTGACAAGTTCTTGGCTGGTGACAGCAGACTGAGCTGGGGATGTGCCTTTTGCATCTTAGGTACGTGCTAACACTGGGGCTACCCTTCATCCGATGTCTCCTACACGACGATGGAGTTGCCTGGACTCCGCTTCCAACTTGTCAGCGTATCCAGGGTAAGAGAGCTTATCCAGAGCTTGACTGGAAACACCAAATAGGCCTATTAAAAACCACTGAACTCTGTGTTGGTTGTAGCGAATTAAGTCAGGTGGAAAGTAGACACCAGGGGTGAAAACATTGGGCATACCTAGCAGCATTGGTGGTGCCTCCTGCAGGGCACTTCCCGAGTGCAGGGCTGAGCACTGCTGGAGGATGCTCACTGCAGCCTTACATATGTTTTGTATAAATGGGATATTACGTAAAATACAATTGTGGCTGTGTGGTGGTTTTACCGTGCTGGGCAGCTAGACCCCACAACCGCTCTCTCACTCCCCCTCTTTTAGATGTTTCTCCTTTACCTTCGACCTCTACCGCTGGCGCTACAGCAGTGACAGACGCACCCAAACCGTTGGAAGAGAAGACATCAGAGTATCGCTACATCCTACGTAAGGGCTCAGGAAAGCTTCCTGCATTGCAACCCCTGTAGTTGCTAGAATTACACCCATGTTGGGCAGCCCTGACTCCACGCACTGTTGGTTTTCTGCTTTCATTGTGTCTTCCTCAACCCTTTTGGTGGGCCCATCTTCCAGTTTCGGAGGGGTTTGCACAGGTTAGCTCGCTGGCCTGATCTCCTTTTCTCTGCGCTCCCCAGCTGACCTGATACAGGGCAGGGTTTTTGGTGCTTGAATCTCCCTCTGTGCATCCGAGCATCTCAGCAGAATCTGCTGGCGTTACCTTGCCTGTGTTTGGACGTTGCTGGGGGGGGAGCAGCTTGGAGCAACAGACCTCAGCTCTGGCAGTGGGGAAAGATGGGGTGAGGGGCTCAAGAAGAGCATCACAACGTGTTTACTAATCGACGATGATTGCTTCTCAGCAGTGCTATGGTTATCTGGATTTGAATAACACTGCTGTGCAAGCATAGATTAAGGAGTCTTCCTCTTTGTTTATCAGCATCATGGGTTTCATTTTTTTTAATACCAGTTTCATTATTTTCTTCTCTAGCACTTATCATCATCCCTTGCATCATTGGTGAGTAATTTACAATTGAAAATATACTTCCCTAATGCAAAGCTGTTATTTACTGCTAAACATCTGGAGGTGGTGTTGTTGGCCTCTTCATTTTACAGCTCCTCGTGCTGAGTGTCTCCGGACAGGATTCCTGGGTTTCTCTGCTGCTGGATAATGCAGCAGCACCACAAGCATTATGGATGAATTGTCTTTGTTTTGGTAGAAAACATTATGTTAATTGTGGATGAAATGAAAGCCAAAGAGGCCGATGTACAAGCCAACCAAAAAATGTACATCCTGGCACTCCTTAATTGATGAAATTGGTTTAAAAGGCTTTGGCAGACTTTGAAATATAAGAGATTGATGAAACTTGGAACATCCGTGCTGCAAAAGAGATTGAGTACTAAAAACAGAGCGTCTAAAATACAAAATAAACAGCAGGCTGTCTATAAAAGTACCAAATACATGAGGATCATACTTTAGAGAAAGGTCAGCATGGCGCTACACTTGGTGGTTTCTGGGCTCGTTTTTCAGAGCTACATGAGGGATTTTGCGTTTTTCTGGCTGAGAAGGAGCCTCTAGGTGGGGACAGGCTGCCACAGAGCAGTGAATTTTGCTGTCAGTCTCTTACCAAACTGCTGTATTTCACTTACACTACCAACCAATATGCTGTTCATTTTTGTTTTTCCCTGTTTGTTTGCTTGCTTCCAAGGAATTGTTGTAATTGTAATCTGGACCATCAAGAAGTGTGGTGTAAGGCAAAAAGGGTAAGTGAGCCGAGCTGCTGCTCAGCATTCCTCAGCCATTGTCAGCTTTTTCTTAACTGGGTGTTTCCTTGTAAGCTCTGAGTGATGGTAATAACCTTTGGTATGTATTTGTGTGGCTTAGTACTGTCTTTCCGTGATGTTAAATTGTTGCTTATTCCATAGATTTTCTCCTTTCTTTTCCATGTCTTCAGGACATATAAGCCAAATCCTACAAATGCAGGAGATGAAGAACAGGGACCATCCTGCCAGGAGCGTAAAACTGGTCCATGAGAAGGGACAGCTACTGCTAGCTCCTGACACCGTCAGTGATGAAGTTTTGAGTGCAGTAAGGCAATACGAAGTCAAGTTTCTTACTTCATAATCAAGAATTTCTTTGTGAAGCACCAGGAGAATCAAATCTACTTCGAATTCAGCTCCCTGTCATTTTAGTGCCTACATGTTTCTTATATTTTTTTTTAGTACCGAAAACATTTTTGCAGTTCTTAAAGTGAAGCTTTTAACATTCAATAAACGTTTCTTTCCACTAGGAAAATGATTCTATAGAAAAGGCCCTGTTTGCACATCCTCCGAAGACCCACTTGTATTTTTTTAAACCACTTTTTTTTTTTTTTTTTGGCTAAGGTTCATTTCCTAGCATGCAGACAAGACTTTGACAAGGACAGTATTTATAGCAAAACCGTTTTGTAAATAAAAGGCACACGGGCTAAGCGAGACTGGCGTGCTGGGATGCTTCCTCGGTCGTTGTTCCTGCTCAAACCTTCTCGCAAAGCGCTGCAAATGGCGCTGCGATTTCCTTATCTGCCCGGGGCTGGGCTGGGGCGATGGATTGCGGGAGGTGATTGCGGGGGGTGACTGATTGCGGGGTGGTTGCGGAGGCGATGTCTGGGCTGTGCCCGGGGCAGGGGCGCGGCGCTTCCAAGGAACTGCGGCGGGGAGGCAGGGAGGAGGGAGGCGGGGAGGAGGCTGTGCGGGAGGGGAGGCCGTGCCCAGAGCGCTCATGTGCTTGTTTTGCTTTCCCATTGAGGCGGGGACACATTTACCGGGGGTACCGCGGGAGGCGCCCCCGGGCCGGGCGGAGCCGCTCGGGGGAGGCGGGCGCGGGGCGGGGGCTCCCGCAGCCGGTCCCGCACACCCAATTCTTGTTCATCCACGGAAGGAGGGCGAGAGGCTTCCCAGGTGACGGGGCTGGGCTCAGCCGAGCCCTTGATTTTCCTACGAAGCCGGAAAATTCCCCTGAGGCCGGCCCGCTGCCCGCCCACCCCGGAAAGGGCCGTGCCGGCGGGGTGCGCTGCGCATCGCTCCGACGGCACCGGGACCGGCACCGGCACCAGGAGGGGAACGGGCACCGGGATGGGAGCGGGCACCGGCACCGGCACCGGCATGGGGCTGCTGGGGCTCTGCGCCGTGCTGCTGGCGCTGCCCGGAGCCTGGGGTGAGCGGGGCTGGGGCTGCCGGGGGTCTGGGGCTGGAGGTGGGGGGCTGGAGGTGGGGGGCTGCAGGTGAGGGCTCTCCAGGTGAGGGCTCTCCTCGGTTTGCCCCCCGCTACCTCCCCGTCCCTCCCCAGGTGACTGCCAGGCCGTGCCGAGGTTCTCCTTCGCCGAGCCCCGCAACCCCATCACCAACGCGTCGTACCCCGTCGGGTCCCAGGTGCCCTACAGGTGCCGCCCCGGGTACGTGGGGGTCAGTGACAAGTCCTTCATGGTCACCTGCCTCCCCAACAACACCTGGGCATGGGACCCCGACTTCTGCATCGGTGAGTGCCCCCCCCGGCCGGCTGCCATGGGCTATAAGGGGGTCATGGTGAGGGGGTGCGGACCCCAGGCGCCGCTTGGGGCTCAGTGTGGGTTTGGGGGTGCTGCCTGGGATGCTCTGTTTGGGGGTGCTGACAGCAAGCACCTTCCCAGGGTGTCTGCGTGAGTTTGCCCTTTGAGCTGAGGCACTGTAATCTCTTGGAAATGATCTCTGTCCCACTTAATTGCTTTGCCACCTGCTCATACAGCACGTCTGCTGAGGCAGGCTTCCACAAAACCAAGGTACAGAGGGGGCAGCGGGATTGCTCATCCCTTGTCACAGGGCTAACACACTTGTGCTCCCCGCCCCTTCTCCTTTCTGTTGTTTTTTTCCCCAAAGCCTCGTATCTGTATTGGTTTCCTGCCTCATTAAGAGTTCTTTCATTTGTCCTGAGCCGTTTAACCTTTAGTTCCTCCGAAGTTAATGTGTAATTTGTGTCTTTTCTGAAAGTGCCGCTACTTGCTCTCGAGGAAGCGCAGGTGCTAGTGAAAGGGTTACCTCGTCCGTGACGGTTCTGAGCAGCACTGTCACCTGTGTTTCGTTATAATGCAATAAAATACAGCTAATGCTGAGTGCTTGCCCCCCCCCAGGAAAGTCGTGCCCTGAACCAGACATAGAAAATGGCAAATTTCACTACTCAACAGACCTGCGGTTTGGGGCGACGATAAATTTCACCTGTAACTACGGGTAAGAGTTTGCATGGGCTGCTGGTGACTCAAGGGAGCTGAGGCTGGGAGACCCTGGGGACTCTTTTAATACCTGGGGGCCGTTTCCTTGGCAAGCACGGGCCAGGTGGGAGGTGTTGAGAGCAGGCAGCCCTGGGGATCGGGCTCCCTCCTGTTCTCCTGTTCTTATTATTAGAACAGGTTATTTTCTGGGTGTGAGATCATGTTCTTTGCAAGCTGCTCACAACTTTGCTTTGAAAAGGAATTTATTCATTCCCTGTCGCTCCTTATTAGTAATTATCAATGTTTCAGGTGTTTCCTGTACATTGGTTAATGCTTGGTGCACTTTCTATCTGAGGCCCAGTGGGTGCCCTGCGGGGGTGTTTGCCGTTGTGCAGAAGAAGGGGGGGGGAGAGGAGGAATAAAAAAAAAAAAAAGTCTAAAAAAATATATATAGGTCCAGTGGCCTGGGTCTAAGCAGCCTGGGTATGCCAGTGACACCCTGCCCTGTTCGGGTCTGCTGCGCAGCCTCAGGATGGGGATGCTCCTGCGAGCTTGTACCCACCTGCTACAAGTATGAAGTCTCCCTAAACTGCATCAAATAATGCATTTCTTTAGGTACTGAGAAAGTTGTATTTCACAGGATGGATGGCTCTTTTTCCCCTAGGTTTCATCTCCAGAGAACGCTACAAGAAACCGTACAGTTTTCTGGATTTCATTTTTTTTCATTTTTTAAGAGATTCAATCTTCTCTTTTCTTAGGTACCGATTAGTTGGGAGGCCATCTGCGCAATGTGTACTTGTTAACAATGATGTTGCTTGGGATAAGGTTCCATTCTGTGAGAGTAAGTACATCTTAAATGTTCTGTGTCCATTTTTCTTGAAGCTACTGCATATCCCTCATAGTCCTGGGAGCAGCAGGTGGGTTCTGTCTTCCTGCTACCTGATGCAAATTACATCAGTCTCTAGAGACATTATCCCTTACCTCTCCCCCAGACAAGCGCTCACAGCGAAAGTGGGAGTGAAAATTAAATACTAAGGAGGATCGGTGGATGTTGGCAGAAGCTCGTGAGTCAGATCTGCAGGGCGAGTAGCTTCTGGGGCTATTTTTCCTGGCTTTTGGCCAGGCTGGTGTGGGCCCCACATTGCTTGTGTTGCACTTCTCATCAGCTGGGCACTGCTAAACTGTAAGCACAGCTCTCAATCAGCAGGGATGGGGATGGCTTTTGATGTGACAACATCCAAAATACGTGTTTTCAGAGGGGAAGATAATTTCAAGAGTTTTCTTCATTTGGGCATTGTTTGTACCCAGTGGGCAACTGGCCATCAGCTGCAGATAGCTTGGGTGGTTTGTGTCTGTCAGAAGCATTCTGGCCTCCTCCCAGCAAAAGCAGGGACTGGTATCACCAGTTGGTGAAGTTGCCAGGCTACTTAGCAAGACAATGTGTGGTGCATCCAGAAGGACTTGTCTTTGATGTCTCCTCTTGGACAATGGCTGCTGCTCTGCCGTTTTAATACCCATTAAAAAAAAGCTGAGAGTCTGAAGGAGCATTAGCGTTCAATACTGTAGGTTAAGATGATTGATTTAGGGCCACTTACCCATTCTTTGGCTTTTCTTAGTACTTTTTTTTTTTTCCTGTTTAATAGATAGATGTCAGTTCCACATATGATGAAAATGTTCTTGTATGTTTTGCTATTGCTTTCCCATGCAGTTATTCCCTGTGAACCACCGCCTGTAATTGTAAATGGGCTGTTCAGCGGTGCACAAACAGAGTACGTCTTCGGCTTAGCTGTAACTTACACCTGCAATGAAGGCTTTTCTCTCATTGGAAGCTCCACGATTTACTGTACAGCGGATGCTGAGTCCAATGGAATATGGAGTGGTCCAGCCCCTGAATGCAAAGGTAGATGTTTTCTTTCTCTCCTTACTCTTCTCACTTTGTTTCTTACTCCTCTCCCATGTGAATTATTTCTGGTAAGCTGCCAAGTATGAGAAGGTTGATTTGAGTATAAAATGATTCCCAGACTTAATGCAGTGGTTCTGAAGTCACAGTCAGAAGCAGGGCTTGGTTTAATGGATTCTTCAGCACGTAGAAAGCCACTGTAATAACCTAGATTGAACGAGAATAAGCAACGCTGCCTCATTCCACCAGATAAAGCTAAAAAGATAAAGTGGGAAACTACAGCTTGTGTGAAAGGGCCAAGAGGCTGTGTCTGCATTCTTCCTGGCAGCAGTAACCAGACTTATTTTCCTTTTGGTCTTCCACGAAGTGTAAATGAACATGAATCATTTGTTTGGGACTCTCAGAAGTCCTTGAGAAGCAGTCCTCTCTCTGCCTGTGCCCAGGGCTTTCTGCAAATGAAGCTCTGTGTGCAGTTTTTAATGGTGTATCTGCTCACAGAGTACCTTTGGCATGCAGGGGACCTGCCTCTCGTAAAGCAGAAGGATGGCAGTTGTTACCAGAGGCGTTACACGAGAAACTTCTGTAGACAGTGTAGGGCTTTTTTATTTTTTTTCTTACAACAAGTATTCTTACTGATTTACCTTCACTTGCAGTGGTGAGATGTGAAAATCCAGTAGTGGAAAATGGGAAGAAGTTAACTGGTTTTGTTGAGCAATACACGTATGGAGATACAGTGGCCTTTGAATGTCTTCCTGGTTATTTTATGAATGGTTCTCATACAGCTAAATGTGATGCAGACAATAACTGGAATCCACCTCTGCCCAAGTGTGAAAGACGTGAGTACAAACAAACTTAGATTTTTGAAGCAATTGCACTGAATGATGCATTTGTGAACTACAAATGATCCAGAAGTGTATTGAAAAGAGAGATGAAGCTGCCTTCTGTGCCTGATGGGCTTGCTTCCTGGTGGGGATGTTTGGTTTCCGAGCTCAGCTGTAGCTGGTGCTGCAGGTTGGGTGGGTGGCCACGGAAGCAGCATCAGAGAGGCATAAATGCTCTCGCATCTCCACCTTATCTCTGGCTAAGCAAACTGGTATATAAGTGGGTAGAATGGAAGCTGTATCCCAGGCACCACAACTCAAACGGGTTAAGACAGTGTGTGCTCCAAAACGCAGTTGGCTATCGTTACTGCTGGGCCTCTGGGCACTCTTCTGTAGCTGACTTTGCTTTTGCCTCCAATTGTTAGGCTACTGTGGTCGTCCTCCCAGCATCCCTTTTGCTGAGTTAGTGGGGACTGTGAGTAGCAGCTCTCCTGCTGGAACCACATTGGAGTACAGATGTAACCCGGGGTATGCTACAGGAGATGGAAAGTCTTTGGAAGTCACTTGTCTGGGGAATACCAGTTGGTCTGTAAGCTCCAAGTCATGTACACGTGCGTATCTCTGTTCCTCTCCTGGCTGGGCTGACTGTACAAGTGATCTTGATGTGCTCAAAATGTTCTTTGCTCTGAAATTTGGTTCATATCCAGCTCTGGGTTTGCAGACACACCTAGAGTTTTCTTGCTGAACTCGTTTGAAGTGTGTGTGTGCAAATCTAGCATTTTGGTCTACTCTGAGGAACTGATAACAGGCTCTGCATGCCTCAAAGTATGTTTATTACGTACATGGGCTGAGTGCTTTGTTTTCTGAAAAAACTGAACAGCTGCACTCTGCCTCCAGGCCCCCACAGGTCAAGCGGCTGTTCCCAGCGAGGCAGCTGGAATCGACTCTTCTGGTGGATCAGCTTTTCCTCTTACTTTGTAACCCAACATGTTTTGAGGACAGTCAGAGGAGTTGATGAGCCTGTGCCACGAGGTTTACTCCTTCCTGCTGCTTGCTCATAGCCTTTCTCGCTTGCTCTATGCCCCAGTGAGAGGCGCTTGCGTTGCAGTCCCCGTCCCTCAGGAGCCAGGCGTGCGGCTGGGCGTAGGCCGTGCTGTACCTGGCACAGGCCGGTGCCCTTCGTCTGCACTGGCTCGTGATGTGGAAGTCACTCGTGGTGCTAAAGCACAGGGCTGAGCCTCCTGCTGCCACAGAGGCGAGGTGGTCAAGTCCTTCCCAGGCTTCTCTCCTCACAGATGGGTTCTGGCAGGGTTGCAAAACTCTGAGGTGTTGGTAACGTCAGACCAAGCTGAGGCGCTATTGTTTGACAGCATCAGCATGTCAAAGCAGGTGAAATAACCTCTTTTTCTCTCTAGGACAGCAATGTACCCCTCCCTTGATAGAGAATGGGTTTGTAAAGGCGGAAGATTTCCTGTTTGGGGCAACTGTGGAGTTCTCCTGTCGTGATGGGTGAGTGGATCCCTGGTTAGAAGGGCCCAAGCTGGGGGTCAGAAGACGTCCTCCTGCCCTGGTTTCCCAGTACAGCTGTGTATGAGCTCTGTGGTGAGATGAGCACATGGCAACGCACGCTGACTGGTAATGCAGCAACCTCTTCAGTTCGGCCTTGTGCCCTTATCAAAGCAGCCTTTGGTGTGTTCAGACCCCATTTCATGGCAGTGGCAGCTTCTGGTTAACAACTTGTATCCGTGCGATGGCTGGGAGGAGTGGGGAGAACCCTTTCTGGGGTGTTTTTGTGAAAGCACTCAAGTTTAGGTTAGATGTTAGGAAGAACTTCTTTACCGAAAGGGTTGATAGACACTGGAACAGGCTGCCCAGGGAAGTGGTGGAGTCACCATCCCTGGAATTCTTTAAAAGATGTTTAGATGTAGAGCTTAGGGATATGGTTTAGTGGGGACTGTTAGCATTAGGTCAGAGGTTGGACTCAATGATCTTGAGGTCTCTTCCAACCTAGAAATTCTGTGATTCTGTGATTCCTCTCTTTCTTTAGGTATAAATTACAGGGGTCATCTTCTGCCCAATGTGTGGCATCAGGAAATGGAGTTCATTGGAATGTGTCTCTCCCAACCTGTAAAAGTAAGAGGAAAAGCTCTGCACAAAGCCATTCAGACAACTCCTGATCTGCTCTGGTGGTGGGCTTGGGCTGCTCTTGTGTGCCATAACTCAAGTGGCTGTAAAATTCAGGACTTCATGACTAACTCTTGCTGTGAGGCCTGAGGTGCAATATTCTCATCCAGTTCAGAAACTATGCAGACAAACTGGTGGGAGCAAGGGAAGAGCAGAAAATCTATGAAATTATGGGAAAAATGTTGATCTGATCTGTAAGTGGAGTAAAGCTTTAATTCTCTGTAGTTACCAAATGATTGAACATGAGAGCTTTGCCTTCTTAATTTGGTGTAATGCAAAAGTGCATAGTTTTACAGGCAGCTGGAAATAGTGGAAACGCTGCTTCTAGCCTGATTGGGCACTTCAGTGGCTTAGTTCATGGGGTGATGTGCCTGGAGCTGGGCTACCAGCAGTAGCTGAGGCCCAGTACCAAGTGAGAAAGCTCAAAGTTACTTCTAGATGTGTGTTGGTTGGCTAGAGCTCCTCCTCCCCACGTACCTTGTGTAAATTTTCCCTTAGCAGAAGTATTGAGACACTCTTGTTGATGTTCCAGCTGCAGGACAGCTGACTGTTCTCTGTGGAGAGCCACCTTCAGTTGCCAATGGGAGACACAATGGCACGAAGGGGGAGTTTGCCCAGGGAGTTTATAAACTATTGTAGTTTATAAATGCAATCATGGTTTCATGCTGGCTGGAGGGTCCTCTATTCACTGTACAGTAGGAGATAAGTACCATGAAGTCTGGAGCAAACTGTGGTATATAAGTGGGTAGAATGGAAGCTGTATCCCAGGCACCACAACTCAAACAGGTTAAGACAGTGTGTGCTCCAAAGCGCAGTTGGCTATCGTTACTGCTGGGCCTCTGGGCACTCTTCTGTAGCTGACTTTGCTTTTGCCTCCAATTGTTAGGCTACTGTGGTCGTCCTCCCAGCATCCCTTTTGCTGAGTTAGTGGGGACTGTGAGTAGCAGCTCTCCTGCTGGAACCACATTGGAGTACAGATGTAACCCGGGGTATGCTACAGGAGATGGAAAGTCTTTGGAAGTCACTTGTCTGGGGAATACCAGTTGGTCTGTAAGCTCCAAGTCATGTACACGTGCGTATCTCTGTTCCTCTCCTGGCTGGGCTGACTGTACAAGTGATCTTGATGTGCTCAAAATGTTCTTTGCTCTGAAGTTTGCAAACCCAAAGCTGGATATGAACCAAACACACCTAGAGTTTTCTTGCTGAACTCGTTTGAAGTGTGTGCGTGCAAATCTAGCATTTTGGTCTACTCTGAGGAACTGATAACAGGCTCTGCATGCCTCAAAGTATGTTTATTACGTACATGGGCTGAGTGCTTTGTTTTCTGAAAAAACTGAACAGCTGCACTCTGCCTCCAGGCCCCCACAGGTCAAGCGGCTGTTCCCAGCGAGGCAGCTGGAATCGACTCTTCTGGTGGATCAGCTTTTCCTCTTACTTTGTAACCCAACATGTTTTGAGGACAGTCAGAGGAGTTGATGAGCCTGTGCCACGAGGTTTACTCCTTCCTGCTGCTTGCTCATAGCCTTTCTCGCTTGCTCTATGCCCCAGTGAGAGGCGTTTGCGTTGCAGTCCCCGTCCCTCAGGAGCCAGGCGTGCGGCTGGGCGTAGGCCGTGCTGTACCTGGCACAGGCCGGTGCCCTTCGTCTGCACTGGCTCGTGATGTGGAAGTCACTCGTGGTGCTAAAGCACAGGGCTGAGCCTCCTGCTGCCACAGAGGCGAGGTGGTCAAGTCCTTCCCAGGCTTCTCTCCTCACAGATGGGTTCTGGCAGGGTTGCAAAACTCTGAGGTGTTGGTAACGTCAGACCAAGCTGAGGCGCTATCGTTTGACAGCATCAGCATGTCAAAGCAGGTGAAATAACCTCTTTTTCTCTCTAGGACAGCAATGTACCCCTCCCTTGATAGAGAATGGGTTTGTAAAAGCGGAAGATTTCCTGTTTGGGGCAACTGTGGAGTTCTCCTGTCGTGATGGGTGAGTGGATCCCTGGTTAGAAGGGCCCAAGCTGGGGGTCAGAAGACGTCCTCCTGCCCTGGTTTCCCAGTACAGCTGTGTATGAGCTCTGTGGTGAGATGAGCACATGGCAACGCACGCTGACTGGTAATGCAGCAACCTCTTCAGTTCGGCCTTGTGCCCTTATCAAAGCAGCCTTTGGTGTGTTCAGACCCCATTTCATGGCAGTGGCAGCTTCTGGTTAACAACTTGTATCCGTGCGATGGCTGGGAGGAGTGGGGAGAACCCTTTCTGGGGTGTTTTTGTGAAAGCACTCAAGTTTAGGTTAGATGTTAGGAAGAACTTCTTTACCGAAAGGGTTGATAGACACTGGAACAGGCTGCCCAGGGAAGTGGTGGAGTCACCATCCCTGGAATTCTTTAAAAGATGTTTAGATGTAGAGCTTAGGGATCTGGTTTAGTGGGGACTGTTAGCATTAGGTCAGAGGTTGGACTCAATGATCTTGAGGTCTCTTCCAACCTAGAAATTCTGTGATTCTGTGTGATTCTGTGATTCCTCTCTTTCTTTAGGTATAAATTACAGGGGTCATCTTCTGCCCAATGTGTGGCATCAGGAAATGGAGTTCGTTGGGATGTGTCTCTCCCAACCTGTAAAAGTAAGAGGAAAAGCTCTGCACAAAGCCATTCAGACAACTCCTGATCTGCTCTGGTGGTGGGCTTGGGCTGCTCTTGTGTGCCATAATTCAAGTGGCTGTAAAATTCAGGACTTCATGACTAACTCTTGCTGTGAGGCCTGAGGTGCAATATTCTCATCCAGTTCAGAAACTATGCAGACAAACTGGTGGGAGCAAGGGAAGAGCAGAAAATCTATGAAATTATGGGAAAAATGTTGATCTGATCTGTAAGTGGAGTAAAGCTTTAATTCTCTGTAGTTACCAAATGATTGAACATGAGAGCTTTGCCTTCTTAATTTGGTGTAATGCAAAAGTGCATAGTTTTACAGGCAGCTGGAAATAGTGGAAACGCTGCTTCTAGCCTGATTGGGCACTTCAGTGGCTTAGTTCATGGGGTGATGTGCCTGGAGCTGGGCTACCAGCAGTAGCTGAGGCCCAGTACCAAGTGAGAAAGCTCAAAGTTGCTTCTAGATGTGTGTTGGTTGGCTAGAGCTCCTCCTCCCCACGTACCTTGTGTAAATTTTCCCTTAGCAGAAGTACTGAGACACTCTTGTTGATGTTCCAGCTGCAGGACAGCTGACTGTTCTCTGTGGAGAGCCACCTTCAGTTGCCAATGGGAGACACAATGGCACGAAGGGGGAGTTTGCCCAGGGAGTTTATAAACTATTGTAGTTTATAAATGCAATCATGGTTTCATGCTGGCTGGAGGGTCCTCTATTCACTGTACAGTAGGAGATAAGTACCATGAAGTCTGGAGCAAACTGTGGTATATAAGTGGGTAGAATGGAAGCTGTATCCCAGGCACCACAACTCAAACAGGTTAAGACAGTGTGTGCTCCAAAGCGCAGTTGGCTATCGTTACTGCTGGGCCTCTGGGCACTCTTCTGTAGCTGACTTTGCTTTTGCCTCCAATTGTTAGGCTACTGTGGTCGTCCTCCCAGCATCCCTTTTGCTGAGTTAGTGGGGACTGTGAGCAGCAGCTCTCCTGCTGGAACCACACTGATGTACAGATGTAACCCGGGGTATGCTACAGGAGATGGAACGTCTTTGGAAGTCACTTGTCTGGGGAATACCAGTTGGTCTGTAAGCTCCAAGTCATGTACACGTGCGTATCTCTGTTCCTCTCCTGGCTGGGCTGACTGTACAAGTGATCTTGATGTGCTCAAAATGTTCTTTGCTCTGAAGTTTGTAAACCCAAAGCTGGATATGAACCAAACACACCTAGAGTTTTCTTGCTGAACTCGTTTGAAGTGTGTGTGTGCAAATCTAGCATTTTGGTCTACTCTGAGGAACTGATAACAGGCTCTGCATGCCTCAAAGTATGTTTATTACGTACATGGGCTGAGTGCTTTGTTTTCTGAAAAAACTGAACAGCTGCACTCTGCCTCCAGGCCCCCACAGGTCAAGCGGCTGTTCCCAGCGAGGCAGCTGGAATCGACTCTTCTGGTGGATCAGCTTTTCCTCTTACTTTGTAACCCAACATGTTTTGAGGACAGTCAGAGGAGTTGATGAGCCTGTGCCACGAGGTTTACTCCTTCCTGCTGCTTGCTCATAGCCTTTCTCGCTTGCTCTATGCCCCAGTGAGAGGCGTTTGCGTTGCAGTCCCCGTCCCTCAGGAGCCAGGCGTGCGGCTGGGCGTAGGCCGTGCTGTACCTGGCACAGGCCGGTGCCCTTCGTCTGCACTGGCTCGTGATGTGGAAGTCACTCGTGGTGCTAAAGCACAGGGCTGAGCCTCCTGCTGCCACAGAGGCGAGGTGGTCAAGTCCTTCCCAGGCTTCTCTCCTCACAGATGGGTTCTGGCAGGGTTGCAAAACTCTGAGGTGTTGGTAACGTCAGACCAAGCTGAGGCGCTATCGTTTGACAGCATCAGCATGTCAAAGCAGGTGAAATAACCTCTTTTTCTCTCTAGGACAGCAATGTACTCCCCCTGTGATAAAGAACGGGTTTGTAAAGGCGGAAGATTTCCTGTTTGGGGCAACTGTGGAGTTCTCCTGTCGTGAGGGGTGAGTGGATCCCTGGTTAGAAGGGCCCAAGCTGGGGGTCAGAAGACGTCCTCCTGCCCTGGTTTCCCAGTACAGCTGTGTATGAGCTCTGTGGTGAGATGAGCACATGGCAACGCACGCTGACTGGTAATGCAGCAACCTCTTCAGTTCGGCCTTGTGCCCTTATCAAAGCAGCCTTTGGTGTATTCAGACCCCATTTCATGGCAGTGGCAGCTTCTGGTTAACAACTTGTATCCGTGCGATGGCTGGGAGGAGTGGGGAGAACCCTTTCTGGGGTGTTTTTGTGAAAGCACTCAAGTTCCTCTCTTTCTTTAGGTATAAATTACAGGGGTCATCTTCTGCCCAATGTGTGGCATCAGAAAATGGAGTTCGTTGGAATGTGTCTCTCCCAACCTGTAAAGGTAAGAGGAAAAGCCCTGCAGAAAGCCATTCAGACAACTCCTGATCTGCTCTGGTGGTGGGCTTGGGCTGCTCTTGTGTGCCATAATTCAAGTGGCTGTAAAATTCAGGACTTCATGACTAACTCTTGCTGTGAGGCCTGAGGTGCAATATTCTCATCCAGTTCAGAAACTATGCAGACAAACTGGTGGGAGCAAGGGAAGAGCAGAAAATCTATGAAATCATGGGAAAAATGTTGATCTGATCTGTAAGTGGAGTAAAGCTTTCATTCTCTGTAGTTACCAAATGATTGAACATGAGAGCTTTGCCTACTTAATTTGGTGTAATGCTAAAGTGCATAGTTTTACAGGCAGCTGGAAATAGTGGAAACGCTGCTTCTAGCCTGATTGGGCACTTCAGTGGCTTAGTTCATGGGGTGATGTGCCTGGAGCTGGGCTACCAGCAGTAGCTGAGGCCCAGTACCAAGTGAGAAAGCTCAAAGTTGCTTCTAGATGTGTGTTGGTTGGCTAGAGCTCCTCCTCCCCACGTACCTTGTGTAAATCTTTTATTAACAGAAGTACTGAGACACTCTTGTTGATGTTCCAGCTGCAGGACAGCTGACTGTTCTCTGTGGAGAGCCACCTTCAGTTGCCAATGGGAGACACAATGGCACGAAGGGGGAGTTTGCCCAGGGCTCTATTGTAGTTTATAAATGCAATCATGGTTTTGTGCTGGCTGGAGGGTCCTCTATTCGCTGCACAGCAAGAGATGAGTACCATGGAGTCTGGAGCACACCTACTCCTGAGTGCCGTAGTGATTATCTCCTCTGCATGTCTTACTGTCTTGTTTCTGTCTTTAAAAATTAAAAAACTTAAAAAAAAAAAATAAATCACTTCCTCTGTGAATCCTCAAATCAGACAATTCAGCTAAGAATTAATCTTTTTATGTTGCCTGGCACAGCTTCTGTTAAAATCTCACGCCAGCAGTGTATGGTTGGGTTGTGGGTTGGGCTTACAGGCTGCTGCAACTGCTCCTCTGTTAAAACCCAGATGTATTTTTGGGGATACATCCGTGGTGTAAGGCTATGCAGGGAACTTCTATGTGTTGTTTGAATTGTCTCACGTGTGCACTGGCTTTCATTTGAGATGCTCATTGTTGTATAGTCTGAACTGTGCTGCCTGGACATTCAGGTTCACATTTTGGCTTGCTTCCTTTCCAGGTGGAGCGACCACCATCATTGTCGGTAGGTAACATGTACCCTGGATCTTTGTGCCCCCTTTCTTGCCCATCTTTACATTACTGTCTCAATTATTCTGCTTAAACCTGAAAAAGGATTAAGAGCCTTTCACTACAGTCTGTTGTCATGTTTATATTTTTGTTGATCTAAGGTTACGTGAAAAAGAGGGGAGGAAGGTAAAGGTGCTCTGTGCTTGTGGCTGGGGAGGGAAAGGGCAAGTGAATGTGTTTGGAGCACAGACTGAAGTCTGTTGTGTCTCCTGCAGGCATCCTGCCCCTCCTCCTGGCGTTGCTGGTTATGAGCTTCTAGCTCAGGGTGCAGCCGCACCGGGAATGCCCGGATCAGCTCCTCGGGGAGCTCTGAACTCCTATGGATAGTGGGACGTGATCATGCTGATCCCCGTGCTCTGCATTGCCCTCTGCTGAAATTGGCCTCGCAATAGCAATCAAGAAATCTTCGATGGAAAAAAGATGAACTTTACCCCCAAATGCTCCCTCTCACTGCCCTGGACTGCTCACACTTCTGTCTGCCAGAGCCGTGCGTTGTGCTGGCAGCTCGCTGCCACCTTGCCAGGTCTGTGGCTCGGAAACCGAGCGCAGTTATCCCCACGTGAAGTTGCAATAGTGCCAAAGACTTCTGTGCTGTGCTGCTCTGGACTCAAGGAAAGTGGGCACTTTGGGTACCTCTGTGTGTTCTGCCACTGCCCCGCTGAGGTAATGTTGTGCCTGGCACTGATCAGGGTTTTTGGGTGTCGTAAGTGAGCTGATGGGAAAAGTGTGTGTGTCTTTGTGTGAGTGTGTGCTTGAAGAAACTAGATTTGATATGTATAGGTTGTGTAAGACAGGTGCTCCCTGTCAGTACTGAAAGCACTGAAAACATTCGTATAGAAGCACATGTTGTAGCATTTACTTCAAGGCCAGTCTGAACCACTGTGCAGCCAGCCTCACAGATGGGCAATTTTACCAGAGAGAATAAAACTGTGAAAGCCTTCTTACAAAGAACAACTCTGACTCTTCCTGTATGTGCTAAAGTTAGTGCCACGGCAGATTTGAAAACTATCTCTGTGACACATCAAGGTTTTTCTCAGAGTGCCTTGCAGAAATACCCTTCCTGTCGGAGCAATGACCCGGTGCTGCTGTGGAAGTGGTGAAGCAGTCGGGTGCCTGAAAGCCCCGCGAGGAACCGCAGCAGGGTGGGTGCTCGGCAGGGCAGGTGGCCTCGGGGCCGAATGCGGAACTTGCAGCTGTCCCTGCAGATGCCACCGAACGTCAGAAGGTTGCTGGGTGTGAACCTTTTCACTTTCTGCTCGAGTGCTGCTTGAATAGGAGGCCCTGGGGCTGCTGCGATGGTGAGGGAGGAAGAGCAGGTTAGGGCTTCTTGCTCTGCTGGCAGCGGGGCTGGTGCGCAGAGCAGCTGCTGCACCTGAAAGTTGGCACAGATGCACACCAAGCCAAAGCCTTAATTTACTCATCCTTGGGGAACAAAGGCTGCATATTTTGTGTGCTTTTCTGTCATCCTGTCAAACCTGTCCCGCCTGGTCCCTGTGCTGAGGAGGACTGATGGGGCTGCAGCTGAATGAGGCAGCGCGCTGCAGCTGGGTGTGCTGTGACCCCTGCTTTTGGCTTTGGCAGTGCCATAAGGACAGCGCTCGTGGTAGAACCTCACCCCTTGTACCTTGAGGATACAGGCTTAAGGTTGAGGGCTCTGATGCAGAGGGTTAAACGACCAGTCTGTGAGCTTTGCACCATGAGCAGGTGGGAAAGGGAAGCCTTCAAAATGTCTAGTACATGCTTTTTTGTTTCTGCATTTTTACCCGTGCTTTTCTACTAACAGGAACATGCATCTAATTAGAGGGAAAAACACAAAGAACAATTTCCATCAGCGTGTTAGCCTCAAATAGAAAAGTTCCCCTTACCAGCAGAGCATCATCCTGCTCAGCTGTCACTGTGGCACAGCGGAATCCAATTTTCAGAAGTATATCTTACAAAATAAGCAGTTGCAGATTGTGTTTTCATTCATATCCATACATTTTACATATATATACACATATGTGAAATATATGTGTGAATATATATTTCACTATATAGGTGTGTATATATATGAAAAACACTACTGTAAGCCACATGAATGCCCAGGTTATCAAAACAAATGGAAAGCCAAGTACCTTAGTCATGTGTTTGGTTTTATTTTAATCTCAGCACAATTGTTTCTACTTCCTAGTCCAGAATGTGTCGTGCAAATGGTTTAGCTCCTGATTTTAAGAATCAGCTTGAAGTGACCTACCTTCAGCCCGATGGAAGGAACAGTAAATGCTGTCATATAGCTTACAGATGGGGTCACCAAATTTTACGGTTGAAGATCACTTGTGTGCTGTGTTTATATGTGAATAGAATTAAGTTGTGTATAATTTAACTTTATGATCTCAATGTAAAGAATCTAATGCATACCCAGTATTTACATGTCAAAATTGCGTGTTGTGGAAGGTCTCTGTCAATAAAAAGGATAAGAATGACTTGAGCAGTGGACATCTTGCTGCCTCTTCTAGGCTCGGAGAGCATCCTCAGCTATGCTGGCCCTGGTCCCATGTGTGGGAGGAGGGGGAAATGCCCCCTCTGCCCTTCCCTTCCCGTACGTGGGGGCTCAGCTGGTTCCTAGGAAGGGCTGCTGGGGGTTTGGGGAAGAGCTAAGGCCACTTCCCATAACCAAGGATGCTCTGCAAGGGCCTCATCCAGCTCATGGCTCCCCTGGGTGCTCTGTCATAGCTGCCCTGGGCCCCACAGTGGGTCCCAGGGGGCCACCCTCCCCTGCATGGGGGAGGAGGAGGAGGTGGGAGCGAAAATAGCAGCAGCAGAAGCTCGTGGGGACCTGCACCACCCTGGGGCTGGTGCCTGCGCCCGTGCTGTGTGGGGAGCCCACGGGTTCCTGTCCCATGGCCCCGGGAAGCCCCGCAGCTGCGGCTCCTTCCGCAAGCCTGGGGGAACTGGGGGGCCCATATCAGCCCGTGGGCCCCCAGGAGCTGCAGTCGGGACCGGAGCATGGTGCTCGCCTTCGCCCTCCACCTCCTGGGCAGCTCCGCTCTGCTCCTGGCTGCCACGGCTGGGGCTCAAGGTAAGGCAGACTCACAGGGCTGTGCCTCTGTGCCCTTCCTCCTGCCACCCTCCTCTGCCTCCTCGCATGTCGAGGCTGCCCCGTGCCCTTCAGCGGCAGGGGAAGATGGAGAGGGGGGAGCTGGGGGTGATGGGGCTGCCAGAGGCTGCGGGAAGTCCTCCACAACCCTCCCAGCTTCTCGGAATCACGGGCTTGATCTGTGTGTTTGAAGTGCCATGGTAAAGCAGGCTCTGAGCGAAGCGTTTTATGGAAATTGGGCGAGAAGCCTGCTGTAATAATAGCTTGTGTTTGGGATTTGTCAAGTTGAAACTTGCCACGTCAAATAGAAATGACTTGGGATGGGGCAAGCGAGGAGTGCAATGGCAAACACAGGCTGAGCTGCTCGGTGTGCTGGGTGCCCGCGGGGTGTGCGCAGCCTGGCAGGCAGCCCCACGTCCCCTCGGCGGGGGCAGCACAGCCAAAACCCACAGAAACTCGGCTCTGTCTCTGCAGTGGGGCTTTGTTTGCCCCTTCCCCTCTTGTAAGCGTAGATGTTGTAACCTGGCTGCCCTGACAAGGCCTGGGAAGGGCTTTGGTGCTGTGTGGGGGTTCCTGCTGATGCCCTTGATCGTGTTTGTTATTCTTGGGCATCCTCAGATAGCAAAGGCTGAACCCTGCCCGTCTTCACTGGCCAAGGTGGCTCAGTGCCAGGCTTGGAGCCAAGCATCCGCAAAAGCAAAGGGTTTAAGGAAAAAAGGGAAACTTATTGCTAAGTTAACACCTTGCAGTGCATGGGGTGCAGGGGAGCAGATGGGGTAAGGGGCTGTGGTCCTCTGCTCGGCGATCCAGGGGGAATTACCAGTGAGAGGCATTTCACCTTCTTTCCACGTGCCCATATCTAGTGCAAATATTTGCTCCATGATCCAGGCGGCTTCCCTGCTGTTTTGGTTCAAGAAGCTGTGTGGAGAGCAGCGACGTTGCACCCGTTGCAGGGAGGAAAGGCTGAAGGGCTGCAGCTGAACGCCGTGCTCCTTGTCTGAACACCCTGCTCCCTGTCTCCCTTTTGCAGTTATCCGATGCCCGCCCCCATACATCAAGAATGGGAAGAGCAAGTCTGCTGCTCGCTACATCTACAGGGCTGGGGCCAGCGTGAGCTTCACCTGCAACCCAGGCTACACCTTGCAGGGCTCCCCCACCAGCACCTGCCAAGCTGACTCCAGATGGAGCCCACCTCTGCCAGAGTGCAAAAAGGGCAAGTGTCCCAGCGGGTGTGCGAGTGGGGCGGCCGTGGGGGGAGAGCTCCCTCCTGTGTGCTCTCTCTTTCATGAGAAAGTAAGGCCAGGAGGCATCTGTCCTTGCTGCCCTTCCCAAAGCAAGGTGCTTCCAGAGAGAGAGAAGCAGCTCAGGAGGATCTAGGGTGGGAAATGAGGCTGCTGCAGCCTGCCCTGGGCTCACAGGGGGATGGGAAGAAGCTGAGGATGGGGCTGTGATGCTCTGTGGCCAGAGACTGTAACCCCCAGGCACGCCAACGAGCCGTGGGCCAGCCATGGGGAATGGCACCAGCAGCCTCCCCGGGGGATTTCTCTGCTTCTGCTCACAGTCAGATTGGGGATGTTTCCTTCTTCCTCCTGGAACGGGAAGCAATCACAGCTTCCCACTCTTCTGCTGCTTCCGTGTTCACGTTCGTCTTCTACCAAATCTGTGGTGTGCCCATGAGTTCCCCTTTCAGCGGTGTCCCTATTGTTAGCAATTCCCTCTGGCCACAATGTGATTGTAATCTTGGCGCTGCTCTAATTTTGGTTAACTCATACTTTGGCCCAGCAAACAGAGCAGAGACTGAGCAGGATTCAGGACATTACCCTGGGCTGCTGTCCTAGTGCGCAGAATGGGGAGCAGTGGATTTATGGGGTAATTTCTCCTCCCTGCAGAGGTGACGTGTCCTCAGCCGCCGAACATCGCCAACGGGCTGCACAGCGGCCAGTCCATGGACAGATTTACTCAGGGAGCCATCGTGTACTACGGCTGCAAGGACGGCTTCGCGCTGGTCGGGAACATCTCCATCAACTGCTCGGAGGCCGGGCAGTGGAGCCGGCCCCTGCCACTCTGCAAAGGTGGGTTGGGGCATCCCCACGGCACTGCAGGGCTCATGGCACTGCTGGGAAGGGAAGGAAGGGGGCTGAGCGTGCAGGATGGGGCCCAGGCACCGATGTATAAAGGCCACATCCATGTTCCTGCAGCAATCGGCTGTGAGAGACCCGAGGTGCGGAACGGGAAGGTGCACAAGCACCCGAGCACCTATGAAGCTGGGGAGATCCTGCGCTTCGACTGCGATGCTGGCCATGCCACAGATGGTGCTCAGGAGGCTCGGTGCCAGCCAGGGGGCACTTGGGACCCACCAGTGCTGGCCTGTGAGAGAGGTGAGTGCAGGCAGGGGTGCTGAGATGGTCCCACGGGGGCTTTCACCCATCCCCTCACCCTGCAGCCACTCTTTCCCCTGTGCACTGCTCTCCTGCTCACCTGGACTTGCTGTCGCCCCCTTGCAGTCCGACCGTGCCCCACGCCTCCAAAAATCAGCAATGGAGATCACGATGGGCATGGCAAAACAGAATTTACCATGGGGATGTTCGTGACCTACAGCTGCGACCCCGGCTACTACCTCACTGAGGACGTCTCGCACGTATTCTGCAAAGCCTCGGGGAATTGGAGCCAGCCCAGCCCGCACTGCGAAGGTTTGTCCGTGTGCGGTGTCCTTGTCCTGCAGCCAGCTCCATGTGGCACTGGCACGGGACAGGCCCTGCCCATTGCCCTGAGACCTTAGTAAGGGACTAAACTCTCCCTGATTATGTATTTATACAGTTTTATAACATGCAAAGAGTGATCTTATAACCATGAACCCGGATCTGGGTATTTATGAAGCCCACGGCCGGGCGCAATGCCCACAGCTGGCCCATGGTCAGTGTGTGATGCACACAGAGGGGCTGTAGGGCAGCAGCTCCTGCACAGCCTCAAGCGAGGCTGGATGGGTTTCCTTGAATCAGTCAGCACCCATTTTGGCCAAAAAAGCTAGAGGAAAGGCAGAGCAGCCACAGAGGGCTGCCAGGAAAGAGAGGTGGGCAGTACCTGGGGTACCAGCCCTCTGCCCCCCACCTCCACCTTCCCCACGTTGGGTGTTGTGCTGGTTTGAGCTGTGCCAGCTCCCCAGCATCACCTCCTCCAGACCCCTCATGAGCTTTTCTGACCCCCCTGCAGAGGTGACGTGTCCCCAGCCACCGAACATCGCCAACGGGCTGCACAGTGGCCAGTCCATGGACAGGTTTCCCCAGGGAACGACCGTGTACTACGGCTGCAAGGACGGCTTCGCGCTGGTCGGGAACATCTCCATCAACTGCTCGGAGGCTGGGCAGTGGAGCCGGCCCCTGCCGCGCTGCCAAGGTGGGTCGGGGCATCCCCGCGGTGCTGCAGGAGCAGCTGCAGGGCTCACGGCACCGCTGGGAAGGGAAGGAAGGGGGCTGAGTGTGCAGGATGGGGCCCAGGCACCGATGTATAAAGGCCACATCCATGTTCCTGCAGCAATCGGCTGCGAGAGACCCGAGGTGCGGAACGGGAAGGTGCATGGGTACGAGAGCACCTACGAAGCTGGGGAGATCCTGCGCTTCGAATGCGATGCTGGCCATGCCACAGAGGGCCCCCAGCGGGCTCAGTGCCAGCCAGGAGGCTCCTGGGACCCACCAGTGCTGGCCTGTGAGAGAGGTGAGTGTGGGCAGGGGTGCTGAGATGGTCCCACAGGGGTTTTCACCCATCTCCTTGCCCTGCAGCCACTCGTTCCCCCTGCGCTCCTCTCTCCTGCTCACCTGGACTTGCTGTCACCCTCTTGCAGTCCGACCGTGCCCCATGCCCCCAAAGATCAGGAACGGACAACACGACGGGCACGGCAAAACCTTTTTTACCACGGGGATGTCTGTGATGTACAGCTGTGATCCCGGCTACTACCTCGTCGGAAATGCTCAGGTGGTCTGCAAAACCTTGGGGAACTGGAGCCAGCCCATGCCACGCTGTGAAGGTGCGTCCATGCGGTCACCTCATCACCAAATCCTGAAAGAAAAATAATCCCACATAAAATGTTGCATGGTAGAAATTAACATCAAGCCCTCCTGTGGTGAAGGCGGGGATGGGGAAGTTTATATCGATTTCACGTAGATTTTGCTGTTGCAATATTAGCTGTCTGTTTTTTTTTTTTTTTTTTTTTTTTTTTCCCCTTGTTTTTACTCCTTTTGCACATCACTTCTGCGCATCTCCCTTTCCAGCAACAATCTGCATCAAGCCAGATGTACTGAATGGCCAGGTAGTCGATGGTGAAGGGCTCATCTACGGCCCTGGGCAGACGGTGACGATTCAGTGCCAGGACAGTTACAGCCTGCAAGGTACAGCTACAATCCTCTGCCAGGAGGACGGCAGCTGGGAGCCTCCCGCACCCCTCTGCGACCTGCTCCATCACCAGATGCTGCCCATCAGGCCTGAGCGTTCAGGTAAACGCTGACGGGGCCACCAGGGACATGCTGCTCCTTCATATCCCTTAACCCCCACCCAAAAGGTGCCTAAATCCTGTAAGAGAGTAGGAGATTTAAGGTTGTTTTGGGAACAGGAACCTGATCCTCTGGAATCCTTTGGGGAAATACGTTGTTTTTGTTTAATAATGGCTGCGTTAATCAAAATAAACAATTTTTCAAGGCAAACCAAACCTCTTTCCTCACAACAGTGTTGTTTGTGTGCTTGCACCTGGCACGCCGGCCCTGTTTGACTCTCGTATCTCTTTTCTTTCCCAATAGGTGGTTGTGGTGCTCCTACAAGGTTGCCCTTTGCTGAGCTAAAGGAGGAGCATAGGAATGAGATTGATTTTTCTGTTGGGAAGACTGTGAAATACACTTGTCGGCCTGGATTTGCTAAACACCCAGGACTGTCACCTACTATTACATGCCTTGAGAGCGGAGTGTGGTCAGAAGCACTAGAGTTCTGTAAAAGTGAATAGCTCCTTGATTTGGTGTCCGTTGTTCGAGGAGGATTAGGTGCTAGGTTCTGTCCGTGCTGCCAAAACCTTACCGTTATGCTGGTGTTCCAACAATATGTGACTAGTAAAGCCATGTACCTTTATGCTGTTCAAAACCCGTTTTGGGGCTAATTGGAGATGTGGGCAGATTGCTGGGGTTGTAGCTGTATCTGCCGAGCCGTGCTGCAGGCAGACCCTACAGCGAGTTTCTGTCTCCCGCAGGGAAGCAGTGCAACCACCCCGGGGAACCCGAGAACGGCAGGATCACCTTCCTGGCAGATCTCTTCTTTGGGTCGACCGTGGTCTACAGCTGTGAAGAGGGGTAAGTGGTGCTAGGTCCTGCTTCTGCTGCTCCTTAAAAAGCCACGGAAAGATGCATGAGGTAAGGCTCCCTTTTCCCCTCCTGTTCATTCATTCCCAAAATGTGGGTTCTGTGCAGAAGCCATCGCGTGGTTCTGCACCTCTGGGAGCACACGGGGTGTTCCCTTCCTTCTGTGTACACATTTATGCTGGGGAATTGGTACCGGGTGCTGAGCTGGGGGGAAACTTCTCCCAGAGGGTCAGGGCTCTGCGGCCAGCAGGGCTGCCTGCGCTGTCTGCTGGTGAGAAGGAGGTAACAGCTCAAACCGAGGCGACTCGGGATTAATGTGAACTCCTCCTAACCCCAGGCACAGGTTAATCGGCCGCTCCAGCAGGCGCTGTGAGATCTCTGGTGGACGTGTCGCGTGGTCCGGCGAGATCCCCACCTGCCAGCGTAAGTAGCTGACAGCCCCGGGGGCTTTACCTGGCTCTGGTGAATAGTTCCCAGCACAGGCTGCCAAATCTTCCCAATCAAAGTTTTAACGGGGAATTTCTCTGTGCTGAGGGTATGCAAAATATCAGGAGGTTTTGATGTCATAAGAAAATATTCTGGGAAAAGGTACAAGACCTCAGAGCTTAATGGATTACAGAAAGCAAGGTCTCAGCTGGCGCTTTCTCAGTGGTGTTTGTGTGCCCTGGCTCTGACTAACACAACCCTGATGTAAGAGGAAAGGAAAATATTATGTTCAGCTCAGGGGGATTAACGTTAGACACAAAGAGACCAAGTCACTGCTGTAAGGAGACGCAGAGGGCTGCGGATCAGCCAGAAATGGGATCCCAACACCCCTCGGGCTCTCCCTTTCCCTGCATGCACAGACAGCTCGTTTGTGCCCAACGCTGCCGTGGCACACCTCAGCAATTAGAGCTTAGCGTGTCTCTGCTGGTTACGTAGAGGTTGGTGACTGTTTCCTGAGGACAGAAAGGAAACATTTACAGGCACCTTCATTTTAAAGCATTTTACAGACTCTCCCGGTGCACATTAACCTAACAGGTGACACGCAAATCACTGCCTGCACGAGCCTTTGCATTGTGTGCAGCTGAAAAAACACCATTTTATGTGGGCGATACAAAAGAAATTTTCTCTTTTTATTTCTTAAATAGTAGAAAGCACAAAGCATGTAGATGCTTCCTCTAAGAGAGGCTTGTCCGACTGGTGTGCTTTCTGTCACAGAAATACTCAGGGACATGGGATCTGGCAGCCTACAAGGCCTTGCTGGGGAGGCCACATCATTGTGGCTACTCCGTCAGCAGGACAAGAGTTTGTGCCCCACAGACTGAGGGCCTTCGGGTACCTTGGTGCTGCAGTTGCGTTCAGCAGCCTCGTTCTGCACTGCTGCAGGTATCCCCTGCGCGCCCCCGCCCAACATTCCCCATGGGAAGCACACGGGGCGGCTGCTGGACGAATTTCACTACGGCACGTCGGTCACCTACAGCTGCGAGCCCGGCTACCCGCTGCAGGGAGAGGCTTCCATCTTCTGCACCACCAGGGATGGGATGAACGGGGAGTGGAGCGGACCGCCCCCGCTGTGCGGAGGTGAGGATGGGTGGGCGGCTGGGAGAGCTCGGGTGCAAGCCCCTGGCCTCGCTGCCTCGTTTTTGGGATGATGAGGGGACCTCAGGATGACTGTGCTTGTGCCTGGGTGCCTGCTGGGGTAGGAGCTGCTGCTCTGGGCATCTCCAGCCTCCCCGTCCAGGTGGATCTCCCCCACAGCTCTTGTAGGGTGGGCAATACAGCGTCTATAGGAAAGTTATCTTCAGGCTGGAGTCTTAAAAGTGATCACAGCTGGAAGCAGCTCGCAGCTGCAGAGCTGTTCTGAGGCCCTGCGTTTCCTTCCCAGAGGCGAGATGTCCCGTCCCGCAGATCCAGAATGGGCGAGTAGTGTCAGCTCCCAGCGTCACCTACACGTACAAGGACACCGTCACCTTCGAGTGTGAGCCAGGCTACACCATGCGTGGGCACAGCGTGGTGCAGTGCCAGCTGAACAGCACCTGGGAGCCACCCGTGCCAGCCTGCGAGCGGGGCAAGTGTCCGGGCAGCGCCCTGCGTGCCAGCCCGACCCCTCACCCCCAGCCCCGCTTTTCCCCCTGATGTCCTTAACCAAGGGGCTGTTTTGTGTCTCCCCCAGCTGGCTGCAGTGCTCCCCCCAGGCTGGTGTTTGCTGAGCTGAAGGAGGCGTTCAGGAACCAGAGCATCTTCCCTGTGGGCAGGGCGGTGGAGTACGTGTGCCGGCCCGGCTACAGCGCACACCCGGGGATGTCGGCGACCATCGTGTGCCTCGAGAACCAGACCTGGTCTGCGGCGCTGGAGTTCTGTAAAGGTGCGTCCTGCAGTGCCAGGCTTGGCTGGAAAATCACACTTCTTGGGTGTGAAGCCCTCTGGCTTTATGGGTTTCGTTGCTTGGGGCAGCCTGCTGTCTGTGTGAGCATCCCCGGGGGATTTGTGCGCACCACGCCGGTGAGCAGCAGAGCTCTGAGGGTGGTGGTGTTCCCTTCCAGGGATGCAGTGTGAGAACCCCGAGGATCCGGAGAATGGCAGAGCCGTTGTCCTGACCGACCTTCTCCTCGGGTCCAAAGTGAATTACACGTGTGAAAAAGGGTGAGCCTTGCGACTGGCCAAGCAAGAGGAAAACAAGTTTTAAGTGGCAAAATGGCTTTACCTGAAGGAACCTGGTTCCAAAGTCAGATGTCTTGGCTGCCACTTACAAGGGTTGTAAAGGAATCTGAAGGTTCCTCACATAAATAAATAATATTTCTGTGTGACTGCAGGTACACACTGTTGGGGCATTCTCAGAGGACGTGTGAGATCTCTGGCACCCGTGTCTCCTGGAGCGGAGCTGCTCCCATCTGCCAGCGTAAGTAGGCCACCAGAGAAGGTCCTGGGGGGCGGCTTGCCCTGGTGCTGGCAACAGAAAGGTGTGAAATCGTTCAAGGCAAAGATTTTATTGCAAAAGTTTTCATTTTTCTTTTCTTTGCGTTTTGGATATTTCTTGAAAATGTTTCCAAAGGTCTTTTATCTTGGCCCAACCTGGAAAAAATGCTGATATTTTAAACTCCCTGTTCCTGTAGCCTGCGTTTCTCCCTGGTCACATGTAGGAACGTGTGGTCAGGCTCTGTCTGCATGTGTCAGCAGTGCTTATGGAAAGGGAGGTAAGATCAGTCCCACCGCCTCCAGCCGTGGGCAGCGAGGAAGTGACTCACAGGAGGGCACAGGTTCCCTTCCCGGAAGATCTTATGTCTCAGGCCAATTCGGGTCACTTTATCGTGTGAGCTGGGCCACGCACTGGCTGGAGCCGCCTCCATCTTCTGCACCACGACGGACGGGGAGCGCGGCGAGTGGAGATAGGAAGGGAGCTGACATGGCAGGGATTTATTAACGGGGCCAACAGGAGTCCGTCGTCTCCCTCCTTTGGTTTCCAAAGGTTGGCTTGTTCTGGTTTCCTTATTTCTCACCTCTCTCCCCTCCACAGAGGTGAGGTGTCCTTCCCCTCCAGGCATCGCCAACGGGCAGCACAGCGGCCAGCCCTCGGACACCTTCCTGGTAGGCTCAGTGGTTCAGTACAGATGCAAGGACGGATACTCCCTCGTGGAGAACGCATCCCTCAGCTGCACCGCTGAGGGAACCTGGAGCCGGCCCCTGCCACGCTGTGAAGGTGGGTTTGGGTTTGGGTTTGGGTTTGGGTTTGGGTTTGGGTTTGGGTTTGGGTTTGGGTTTGGGTTTGGGTTTGGGTTTGGGTTTGGGTTTGGGTTTGGGTTTGGGTTTGGGTTTGGGTTTGGGTTTGGGTTTGGGTTTGGGTTTGGGTTTGGGTTGTGTTGGCTGCCTTTCCCTGGGTCCTCACTCCCTTCTTGCCTTGGTTTGGTCACTGCAGACCAAATCCCCAGTGAAAGTCACGCAGGCAGAACAAGCTCCATGTGCCTCCCAGATTTCCCTTTCTTCCCCCCCCCTAGTAAGGAGAGACTCACCAGCACAGCTGGATAATGATGTTTCTGGCTTTTTTTTTCATGCAAGAATAAGAATCAGTAATTTTGGCATGCCCAGTGATGGCAAGGTTCGGCAGCAGGTACTGCCCCGGGTGGGTTTCATGTCCCAAACAGCACGTTGTGCTCCTGTCTTCCAGCAATCGGCTGCAAAAGACCAGAAATTGAGCACGGGAGAACAACCGGGCTGGAGGCCGTGTACAAGCTTGAGGCCATTGCTGTCTTCGAATGCGATTTTGGTTATGCCCTGAAGGGCTCTCAGGAGTCTCGGTGCCAGTTTGGGGGCACGTGGCAACCGCCTGTCCCCACCTGTGAAAAGAGTAAGTGTAAGCAGGGTGGGGGTGATTTCTTCTGAAGCCACCCTGGCAGGGTGCAACCGCCTCACATTGGACGTAAAGGGATCCTAAAAGCCCCTCTCCAGGACTGGAAAGGAAATGCATGCAAATATCCATCCTCCCACCTTCATCATCCCCTGCAGATCGTCGTTAGGCAGGGCTTTTGCCTCCTGAAATGAATCCAGAAAGGGAGAGCTAGGCTGCTGTATCAGCTTGTTCACAACCATGGGAGGGCCAGAGCCAGCTGCTAGTGCCAAATGTTAGTGCCTCATAACTGCTGCAAATACCTAAATATGAGAAATGGCCACTCTTCATGTCAATAAGCTAGAAAAAAAAAAGAATGCAGGAAGATAGGTGTGGGCTGAAACACATTCCAGCACTGACATCCCTAACTACTCAGGAAAAAGTAATGGGAAACAAGTTAAGATGCTGTCTTATCCCACAGGGGGTGGCTGTGGAACCTGCTTTTCACTAGGTTTGATGATTTTTTTCCCCTCCTTGTAGTGCTGCAGTGTCCTTCCCCTCCGACCATCAAAAATGGCCAGCACAGCAGCAAGGACGTGGCCGTGTTCATCCCCGGGACATCGGTGAAGTACGAGTGTGACCTCGGCTATGTCCTCACGGGGAAAACCACTGTTTCTTGTTTGCCATCTGGAACCTGGAGCATCCCTTACCCCCGCTGCGAAGGTGAGCTGCGAATGCTGTCAGGGTGTCCCAACAAGGCAGCAGAGAGGCTGCAGGCAGGGGCTGCACTCACCGGGGAGCGAACAGGCGGGGATTTGAAGGCTCCGAGCCCACGCGCTCCTCCTTGCATGGCTTCTCCCTGAATTTCAACCTCATCAAAACAATGGGGGAAGCCCTGGCTCTGGCAGCCGCTCCCCCAGCCCACGCTTTGCTGCTCTCCGCTTCCAGTTGTCACCTGCATGAGCCCCAGCATCCAGGATGGAGAAGTGGCTGAAGGGCAGCAAGCCAAGTACCTCCCTGGGGCTACTGTCACCTTCCGCTGCCACCCGGGCTACACGATGCAGGGCAGCCAGGAGGCCAAGTGCCATCCCGACGGCCGCTGGGTCCCCGCTGTCCCCAGCTGTGAGCCAGGTGAGCACGGGCACGGCTGCTCCTGGCACCGTGGGGACCCAGGGGCTGGGCACCCCCCAGCTGTGAGCATCCGAGGGGTCAGGGCACTGCCCCGGGGGGCAGAGGGGCACCCAGGGATCAGAAGGGGCAGTCTTGGGGCCGTGCTGCAGGGCTGGTGCTTTCTCCCTCCCTCACATCGCCCCACATGTGGAGGTGTTTTGTTGTCTTCCACGTGCTCCTCCGCTGGGCAAAACCTCTCCAACCACGTTCTCTCTGCCAGCGCTGCCTTGCCCGCCGCCGCCTGTCATCGCCCACGCCACACACACTGCGGAGCTCGGGGCCAACTTCACCAGCGGCATGGCCGTGAACTACAGCTGCCAGCCCGGCTTCTCCCTGCTCGGGGCCTCCTCCATCTGGTGCACGGTCACAGGGAACTGGAGCCGCCCGTACCCACGCTGTGCAGGTGAGGGGCCACCATGGATGCTGCTGGGACCAGTGAGCTGCCCCCCAGAGAATTTTGGGGGGCACTGCACACCCAGAGACCCCCACGGGTCTAAGCTTGCTGCTGGCACACACCGGGTGCTGTCGTTGGTGGCGTTGGGAATAAGCTGGTGGCATTGCCAGGGCTCTTGCGTTCCCACTGGGAGATGGTTTCAGTGCTCTCATATCTGAGACTGCAGATTCCTGTGCTCCAAGGCCCACAAACGATCCCTCAGCATTTTGGAGATGTGTGGAGCTTGAAAACACCAAACTGGCTAAACTGGGGGTTTTTATAAATTGGGTGCATGTGTGCTTGCATGCTAAGTGTTACTGATGGAGGTGAATGTCAGGATACAAGCAAGATGAGTACCCCAGCAGCAGTGCCTACCGATGCTCTTGTTTCTCTTTAGCCACATTTCACAGCCAGCACTAATTTCTCTCATGTCCCTTTTGTTTCTTGGCAGCTGGATGTGGGACACCACCACCGTTATTGTTTGCTGAGCTAAACAAGGAGTATAAGAACTGGACCGAGTTTCCTGTTGGGTCGACAGTGAAGTACAGCTGCCGGCCAGGATACGCTAAACACCCGCAGATAACCCCCGCTGTTACATGCCTTGAGAATCAGACATGGTCAGAGGTCAAGAAGTTTTGCAAACGTATGTTGGGTGGATGCTTCTGTTTCATTTAAATTGTGGTGTGGCAGCTGAAGCCTCGTAGCTCGGTGGAGGTTTCTCCCTTTCAGTTCCCTCCCCTAGGAACTTGGTCAGGCTCCTAGGATTTGTGCAACTTTTCCTACTGCACTGAGTTAAAGAAGCCTAAAACCAGCTCTTGTTCTGTTCAGGGAGGAGGTGCAGCCATCCAGGAGAACCAGAAAACGGCAGAGTTATCGTTACAACAGACCTCTTCTTCGGGTCAACAGTGAATTACACGTGTGATAAAGGGTGAGTCCTCTGCCCGTCTGCGGCTGAATCAGCTGCCCCTCTGCTCTCTGCACCTCTCAGGCAGAGTGTGAGTTCCCTGGAGAGCAGAGCACCAGCAGCACCTGCACTGATGCTGGGGAGGAACCCAAATCCCCTGCTGCAGGTGCTGAGCAAAACCCAAAATGGTCCCCGTGGCCAGGGTGCACCTCGCAGCCCTTCAGGTGCTGTAAAGCAGTTCTGGGCTGAAGCAATTCTGGTCTTCACCATGGTCTGTTTCTAGTCTAACTGCTAGTCCAGTTGGCAGCAGAAATGTGGAGAAGGGGATTTATTAATAAATTTAAGTGTCAATTAGAGGGCACAACCACCTGAGTGTGTGAGGGGAAAAGGGACCTTCGTTTTGAAGGCTTTGGCTGACAACAGACTCCATCAAAGTGGGCATTTCTAGCCGTAAAGTGGCAGTATTTGGTGGCAGATGAGGCTGTACTTGGTGGCTGTGAGCTGCCACCTCCAGAGAGAGTCCCGTAGTAACAGCAGCACCTTGGTGTAACCCCAGGCACCGGCTGGTCGGAGCCTCCCAGCGGCACTGCGTCATTTTGGACTCAGGGACACGCGTGGGCTGGACCGGAGACGTTCCCGTCTGCCAGAGTAAGTGCGCTGAGCGGAGCAGAGGCTGGTGAGGAGCCAAACACAGCACAAAGAGATTCGCACAGGTGCTCTCCTTGGGAAGGATCTCCCAAGGCAACGACAGAGGGCATGATGCTGGGATGGGTTCACCCTCACCCGCTCCATCCCGGCAGCGTGCGTCCTGCTCACACCCACCTTGTGCGTGCCGCAGGTATCCTCTGTGAGCCGCCCCCGGACATCCCCCGTGGGACACACAGCGGGCACTCGCTGGACGCCTTCCCCTACGCGGCCGTGGTCACCTACACGTGCGAGCCGGGCCACGCGCTGGCTGGAGCCGCCTCCATCTTCTGCACCACGGTGGACGGGGAGCGCGGCGAGTGGAGCGGGCCGCCGCCGCGCTGCGGAGGTAGGGCGTGTGGGGCATGGGGACGGCACTCGCAGGGGACAAGCGTCCCCTCCTCTGTGCGCCCAGATGAGCTGAGCCCCCCGGATGGGCTGCGGCAATGAGGGCAGCCACGGGACACCCGGCCCAGGCTGATGGCTCGGCTCTGATGTTTCTCCGCACCGAGTCCTTTCATTTTTCCCTTTTCCTTCTCTTTCTCGGCACTGATCTATGGCTTTGCCCTCTCCCACAGAGTCGCAGTGCCCTCCCCCTCCAGACATTGCCAACGGAAAGCACAGTGGCCAAGGCCTGGCAGTTTTCACCAGTGACACGTCCGTGAGCTACAGCTGTGATCCCGGCTTTGTTCTGGTTGGAGAGGCACACCTGAACTGTACCTCTGCTGGAGCCTGGAGTGCCCCTGCCCCACGGTGTCAAGGTGCTTTTTTCACCTCTGGACCTGGCAGTGATACAAAGGGATTGGGGGAGAACTTAATCGAACTGACAGACTCTACTCTCTAGTAATAAATGGGAAAATAAACAGAAAAATCAAAATTCTTTCCCAGCAGGGCACCTGTGTCCTCCCCCACCAGTGATCGACCATGGCCAGCACGACGGCAAGGCCATGGACGTGTTCAGCCCTGGGAAGTCCGTCAATTACAGCTGTGACCCCGGCTATTCTCTTGTTGGGAAATCCAGCCTGCACTGTACAGACAACGCGAGCTGGAGCACCCCGCACCCCCGGTGTGAAGGTGAGCTGCTGTGGTGGGCAGTGAGAGGGCAGAGACCATCGCGGGGGCTCAACAAGAAGCGCTCCGTGCAGAGGGGCTCCTGGCAGCAGCTGCAGCAACATTTCTTGGGCATGGGGGAGCAAACGGGCATGGATTTAAAGGCTCCAAATCCAGGCACTCCTTGCATGTCTGCTCCTGGAGTCAGCAAATTGCCACCTACAGAGTCGGGGGACTGCAAATCCAGCGGCCCCCATGAGTCCAAGCTTGCTTCCAGCACGTGCTGCATGCTCTGCTCGCTTTGGTGGCATTGTGCGTGTAATCCTTGCTTCACAACACCCCATTCGTGCTCTTTTCCAGTCTCTTCAGTCCTGCAATGCCCTTCACCTCCAAGCATTGAAGGAGGCAGTCACAACAGCCAGGAGGTGGAAGTTTTCATTCCCGGGATGGTCGTAAACTACAGCTGTGACCCTGGCTTCAGCCTCCTGGGGGAGGCATCAATTTACTGCACCGAGTCTGGAAACTGGAGCCTGCCTCCTCCTCAGTGTGCAGGTACATGGGGTGGGCAGCTAAGGGCTGGGGTAAGGGTTGGCAACCTCTGCCACCAGCCCGTGGGTCTGACCCTTTCCCTCACTCCTCCCAAAATGCTGAATCGCCAAGTCCTTCCCTTCTGCTGTCAGTTTTGCTTGCAAACTTTTATCTGTGCATACTCGATGCAAATTCTAACACAACCTGACGGAGCTGATGGACATGTCCAAGTTTCCCTGCACTCTCTCCCCCCACAGGTGGCTGCGGCGCACCTCCAAGACTCAGCTTTGCTGAGCTAACTGAGGAGCACAGAAACCAGACTGCATTTCCCGTGGGGAAGACGGTGCGATACGCCTGCCGGCCGGGATACTCGCGGCACCCCACAGTGCCCCCAGCTCTGACGTGCCTCAGCAACCACACGTGGTCTGAAGCGCGGGCGTTCTGCAAAAGTGAATAGCTCAATCCGTTTGGTGGTGGTCTCTGAAAACTGTCGCAATTGCGACAAATTTCTGGGTCTCTAAAAGCAATCTTTACCAAAAAAAAAAAAATCATACATGGCTTCACTAGTCACATAGTTTGGGCAGCTGTTGGTTTGGTTTGGTTTTTATACGAATGCCTTCTTTACTGGTGTCTGAATGTGGACAGATCCTTAAGATATTTTCTCGTAGCGCATTACCAGACCGCAAGAGAGGAGTTTAAACTTGGCCTTGTTCTTTCCCAGGGAAACAATGCCGTTATCCAGAAGCACCAAAGAATGGCAGAGTTGTTGTGCTAACAGATCTCCTCTTTGGGTCCATTGTGAACTACACATGTGAGGAAGGGTGAGTCCCGCGCTGCCTTTGCTGACTCCATTTACTGAGCTCGGTGTTGGGTGACTTACAGCAAAGGGGCACAGCACGCTCCTCAGCTCCTGCCATTCTTCACAGCAAGCCAGGATCTGCATTTTGGGTCCAGTTATGCCACTGGTGCCTGCTCAGGAAAGGGAGAAGCATCTCCTATTTTTCCCTGTCTGTGCTCAACCCGCTGCTTTGCAGACTTCATTTTCAGCCTGCCTTCGCAGATGGCCACCCAGCAGGAGCCAAGGGTGCAGGCAAAGCACATGGTGCAAGGAGGCTCAGGAATCCCTTGGGTCCGAGCCCTGGTTTGGCACCTGAACAAACCAATCCAGAGTCCTTTGGGATCACCGCTGTTCCTCTTGGGTCCAGGAAGAAGGAGCTTGGTGTCCTTCATTCCAGTGTGCCAAACCAAGAGGGACACCTCAGTGACCACAGGAGGCTGCAGAAGGAAGCGCTGGGGGCAGCGTGATGGAGGGAGTGCAATCCAAAATGCCCTGGTGCCAGCTGGTGTTTCCTTCTGTGTGACTCCAGGCACCGACTGGTCGGGCAGTCTCTGAGGCGATGTGAGCTTTTTGGAGCAGATGTTGCATGGAGCGGAGATCTTCCCATTTGTCAGAGTAAGTGGATATGCAATAAGGTGGTCATCAGCTAACGCCTGCACACGGCTCCCTCTCTGAGATGAGGAATTTCTCTTTCAGAGGTGGTGTGTCCAGCCCCACAGATCCAGAACGGGAAGATATCTGTTATTAAACATCGCTACAGGTACAAGGACACCGTTAACTTTACCTGCCATGAAGGTTTCACCCTGCGAGGCCACAGCATGGCCCAGTGCTCAGCCAACAGGAGGTGGCACCCCCCCGTGCCCGTCTGTGAGCAGGGTGAGCATCATGCTGACATCGCGCATCCTCCCTGATTGCTGCTGAAGCCAATTTCGCTTTTACATTTCCTGTTTGCTCTGAGTGCTCTAAGGAAAAGCCAGCTATTGTTCCTTTCACTTGTGACTCTTTTCTGACACAGGAGATGTGCCAGGTTGAAGGCCGTGCTCTAAGTGTGTTTTTTCCTCTTTGCTCCCCCTGCTTGTTGCAGCCCATAATCCATGTTGTTATTCTTCCTTTTCTGAAAGTCAGGACCTTGGTAGCTACATGGCAGGACATTGCCTATCAGAGAGGAGTGATTTTTGCTGGAAGTATAAAGCAAAGATGATAGAAAATGAAGGTGCATTTGTGCATTGCATGTGTTCAACCAAATGTGTGTTTTCAACTCCTAATGCTGCATCTAGATGGGGTGGCAGAACATTATCATCATCTTGATACCACGGTGAGGCCAGGTAGGTCTATGATGCAAGGCAAAATTTACTAAATGCTAACTGTTCTTCCCCCCGTCCTGCTTTTTGAGGGGAAGAGGAGTAATTGCACTGTTTTAGTCTTTCATTATCACTTTTTTCATGGTTTAACTTCACCTTCTCACCTTCCTCCTCTCTCCTCTGTCAGTGGTGATGTGTCTGCCTCCTCCGGGCATTGCTAACGGGGAGCACAGCAGCCCTTCCTCGGACATGTTTGGTGTAGGAGCACTCGTGCACTACCGCTGCAAACCTGGTTTTGTCCTTATCGGCAACGAGTCTGTCCGCTGCATGCCCGATGGAGCCTGGAGCCGTCCCCTTCCTCGCTGCGAAGGTGTGTTCGTGCGCTTGTCGCTGGTTCTCCTCGCCTTGCTAAATATGCTAAGCATGTAGTGACATTTGGGTGAGGACTTGATGTGATTCAGCAAATTCTAAAGAAAGAATGAGGTCCCTGTGGCCAAATGCCCACCCCTATCCCACGCGAGCATCACAGCCTAAAGGCTTCTTTCTGCCCTCCCTGTCTGCAGCTGGCTGCGTGAGACCGGGAGTCGGGAACAGAGAGGCGATCGGATTGGAGTCTCTCTACAGGCCTGGAGACATCATCACGATTGAGTGCAATGCTGTCAATGTCCCCAGAGGCCCCCACAAGTCCCAGTGCCAGCCCGGGGGCACGTGGGATCCTCCACTGCCTGCCTGTAGCAGAGGTAAGCGCCTGCGCTCAGACGCCTCTCCTTGCTGACCCTGCCACTCTTCGTAGCATGCAGCAGGATATTCAGGGGCCAAGAGGAGTCCTGGCATCTAGTGTTTAGCTCTGAAGATCCTAATTTTTCCCATTCTTATCGCTGGTGTCTCAGTTTCTCAGGACAAACTCCTTAAAAGCGAGCTCAGTCCAGCTGTGCCAGACGTAAGGGACCCGTGCGGATGTTGCAGGAAGGTGCTCTTACAAGTGGGCAGCTCCTATTATACACACAAACCTATCTGATGCCTCAGGGAAGATGCTGCTGGGCAGTGTTCCCCCTGCGTAAGAAGAAACTCGTGTGACACCACACTTTGTAGATGTTTCGGGGTGAAGTGAGCACACGGGGCTGGGCAGGGCTGGCTCCGTGGGTTGGTGCCAGTGGTGCGGTGATGGGCGTGCAGCCATGCACGGGTGCTTGGAGCCTCTCCTCCTGCCTGTACGAGTTGTGTTTTAATCTGGGCTTCCCTCTCTTTAGTGAAACGCTGTTCCAAGCCTCCAGCTATCCCCCACGGGTGGCACAGTGGCCTGGCAAAAGCGGTTTTTGCTCCTGGAACATCTGTGAGCTACAGCTGTGAGCCTGGCTTCGCCCTCACTGGGATGGCATCCATTCATTGTACTGAGTCTGGAGCCTGGAGCCATCCTCCTCCAGTCTGTCAAGGTGTGTGTTTGTTGCAGAGAGCTAAGAAGAAAGGACCTTTAACACTTGGTGTGTGTTAGGGAAAGGTCTAAAGATTAAAAAAAAAATAATAATAGTTCTAAAATAAAGACTAAATAAAGACTAAATCTGAGTCCTTTACTAGTGAGTGGGTGATAAGATCAAGATAGTTTACACGCATTTCCAAAACCTGGTGGAGTTATAGCATTACAAAATCAGTTGCTGAGGCTAGGTAAAAAAAATTAAAAGGAAACAACCAAGGCTATAAAGGTACAGGGCCTTAGCTGGTCTCTGGAAGTCCACAAGGATTCCCATTTCAACACTATCATTTGTCTCTCCCTGACTTTCCAGCTGTGAAGTGTCCTCTTCCTCCAAATATCACCAACGGGAAGCTCGAAAGCAACATTTCCGACACTTTCCCCTACGGAGCATCTGTATCCTACAGCTGTAATGCTGGCTATTCGCTCGCTGGGAACGCTTTCATCAACTGCACGGCACTAGGGACCTGGAGCCAGCCTCCCCCTCGGTGTGAAGGTGTGTGTGAGCTTCGTCTGCTCGTGCTGCTTGGACGTTCTGGTGGGAGACGTCCCCAGAACTAGGCTGAGGAGCCATGTAGCCATGCTGACACACACGTTTTACTTTGGGAGATGAAATCTTCAGAGATACCCGGGCCAAAATCGAAGTGGTAAAACGTTCTGCAGCTGCTAACACCGAATTCCACCCCCTTATTTCACTTGGGAACCACTTCCACGTCAGAGCTAGTGATGTTAATTATCGATTTGCCCACTTTTGCTATCACTGGGAAGAATATGATATTGTTATAGAGAAGTAGGATGGGACCCAGCTTGTGTTAATAGCCAGAAGGATATGAGTGCAGTAAGGGCAATTCTGGGAGGCAGTGTTAATTCTCACATGTTCTGCATCTCTGCACATGTTGATGTGGGTGAGCTATTTATTAACTTTCCCCCTTTAAGAGCTTTTTTTCTCTTTGACAAGCAGAAACTTCCTTCCTCCCTTTCCCTTTCTGTGTCTCTCCCTCCCCATTATCACTAGAAGGAACAGAAGGAAGTGATTATGTCAGATGAATTTTCCCTGATGGACTACCTGTAAATTACATGTGAGCCTTTCTGTTCCTTTTCTGGAACATGCCCCTGTTCCTGTGACTTGGCACTTCTGTGCAGCATACAGTGAAGGTCGGTCATCAGGCAGACCTTGACTATCAGCTATTTCATGAATGTAACAAGATTCCTAGTGTGGGTGTCCCTGCACAGAAAAATGGGCATTCACTGGAATAAATTCACAGGGCGCTTCCTCAGTGGAGTTGCACCACAACAGTGACTCAGTTGAAACGCACTTGGGTAACAAAAGGAGGAAACAAACCAAATGCTTATGTAAATAAGTCAGTAGCTATTTAGAGAAAGCAGGCTCACGGAAAAAATTCTCCCTGTCATTTGACATTCTCATGGTTTTGAATTGTCCTTAGTAAGTATTACGCATGATGACAAATCTTACGAATGGTAAAAATAAGAAAGGCATAAAACAGAGGTCAAAATTTACATGTTGATGTTTCCCCTCTGGTCTCGGCTCTTCCTTAGGAGTAGGAGTTATTCAGACAGAATTCAAGAGCAATGCCTTAAATAACTCCATTGTACTTATAATATTTCCTGTTCCTACTCATTTAATGCCCTTTTTTGTTATTTCTAATTGCAGAGATCAGATGTGTATTCCCAGAAGTTCAAGGTGTTAAGAAAGCCACAAGTGGCAACACTTACCGATTTGGGACTAACATTACTCTTGAATGTGATGATGGTTACATGTTGGAAGGCATCAGTCAGATTCAGTGCCAAGAGGACTTCAGCTGGGACCCTCCTGTACCAGCCTGTAAATTAAGTAAGTGATACGTAAATGAAGCAGAGAATAAAAAGAAAAATGCAAGTGCATTTATGCAGCCTCTGTTCTATTCCTAAAAGCTTGCAATACTTGGCTACCAGTCAGGCAGACTGGACAAGGTCTAGATCAATTCATTTTTTGCAGTGTGTTCATGAACCCTGCAGGTGAGAATAGAAGGAAATTCCATGAGCTTTAGATTCCCCCTAACAACAGAAAGATGATTTCTAACAACGGTGTCATTCTTCTACCCTAACTGTCTGTGCGACCCGCTCCCAGGGCATCTTAGGTCTGTTTAAAGCCGATTTAACCAGGGAAATAGAAAACAGTAAGTAGCCATTTGTAGCAGGGCAGTTTCAAAACTCTGTTCCTCCACCTTTCTGCATCCTCTTCTCTGGGTAAGATTGTTATTATCGTCAATCTCCCTTTTAAAAATGCAAATGTCCTTCTGTATGAAAAAAGTATATTAATGTATGTTGTTGTTTTTTTTAAGAAATTCTGTATTGTAGGCCTTGGCAGCAAAAGCCATACATGTATTAATGAAGTGGTTAGCTACAGTTGAGAAACATTGCCTTTTATTTTTATTTTAGAATAGTTTACTGACTTTTGTTTCTCTCTTCCCTTCAGCTTCACGCAAGTCTGGTTCAGTAGGCCTAGGTAAGCAGCTCGGAAACATTTTTGTGGCCAGATCTCTAGCCTCAGGGGCACTATTTTCCTCTATGTACTTGAAGATATGCCTTGTTATGTCTGTTGTGCTGATATGTTTTAAAACATACAGTGAAAATAATACGTGCTCTTCCCTCTCAGGAGTCGCAGCTGCGGCAGTCCTGCTTCTCCTGGGTGCAGGCATTATCTGGAAAATTATTTCTAAGCAGAAGCAAGGGTAAGGCAGTCTGCTGGATCTTTCTTGCCCAGGTGTGACTCCTATGCAGTAAAAATGCTTAAATTTTGTGCCAGAGTGTGACTGGATCTTTTAATTTTGTGTCTTGAGCTCAGAGTTGCAAACTGTTCAATGCACACCAACCTGGAATCATGTGGTTGTTTCACTTCCAAAACTCTTCCTTAGGGGAAACCTGAGTGATCTTTACAAACTGACTTAGTTTACTGTGTCCTGTTCTTTTTCATGTAGCTTTTATCATACATATGAAAACTACAACTACAAAACCGCTCTGGACCAGATAACTGAAAAGAAATGCTCATGTCTCGCATAGCAGGTATGGATTTTTATTAATTACATGAAATATCAGTTACAGTTGCAAATTTAAGTTGTCCCAGAATAATCATTCAAGTAGAAAATTCTCTTCCCTGACTTCTGGTAAGATGCTTTCCTTTGCTGAATATATAAAAGAGACAGTGTTCTAAACATGCTGTTTCTTTAAACATGCTATTCTTGCTAACACCATGTAAAACGTATCTTAAATTTCACACATTTCCCCTGAAATCTGGAGAACTAAATCCAGATAATGTTCCAGACACTGTCCTTGATGTGTGCATTTCCTTTCCGTAATCCAAATAAATGGTGTTCATTGGTCAGGCTTTCAAGCTATGCCGTATGTCTTACAGAAACGTGCTTTTCTTTGTAAGTATTATAGGAAAGTTTGCTCTCTAAACAACTGCCATAACAGCACTAGAATAAGGAAAGGACTCTGAACTGGGCCTTTTGTCTTTTTTGTTTATTTATTTTGGCTTGTTTTTGCATTTACTACGATGCCAGTTTTATTTACAGGTGAGTCTATTTTCCATGCTGAATCTATTACAGATAATAATTAATATTCACTCTTAGTAGCAATCCGAATGCAATCATTTTGACTACAAAATGGCATCTGTAAACTTAGGTGTCTTTTTTTTTTTTTTTTCCTCCTTTTGTGAAGGCTGGTTTGCGGTGATTTCCTCTTTCAAACAAAGCATTACCCAGAAGGGTATGCCCTCCTCCTTTCCTGAGTGATGACATAATCTCTAGACATTAGTATAAAGCCAGGGAAAATCTAATTTTAACACCATTATGTTGTCTTCTTCCTAGACTGGCGATCTGTGCTGCCTCTAGTAAGGCACAGGAGACGTTCTTCCTCGAGCAGCAGCGGGTTGCACGGAAGCACTGCTCATGTCGAGACCGAAATTCTGTGTGGAAAAAGGCACTTTGCTGCAGAACCAACGCTCACGCTGCTCCTGCTCCCATTAACCACCCCAAGGGCCTAACGAAGCTCAAGCTGCGCACAGTACAGAAGCTCATTAGAGGGACTTCTCTCCCACACGGCACCTCACAAAGATTATTTCCTTCTCTATTCGCAAACCCTGAGCTAAGCAGGCTCCACAGAGGCGTTCCTGCAGCGTGGGGCCAGGATTTGTTGGCCCGCAGATCTCCTTTGTTAGCAGTAGCCGTGCCCATGCCTGCAGCACGGTTTGCTCTCTAATTTACACCAGGAACGCTCACGCGTGGCGTTCCTCTACAAACGCTTAACCTAATAAAACGTGAACATAAGACAAATGCTTTAGGTTTTGTCCCTCCTTTCGCCCCCCATCTCAACGGATCTCGGCTTATTAGTGTTTTAGTGTTCCCTTCTGTTAGATAAGCCCCACCCGCAGTTTATTTTTAACGGAAAAAAAAAAAAAATCCGTACACGGAAGCGTTTATTTTCACTTTGTTACTGAGCACGCTTTGAAGCCTTTCCTGAGGGGGAAGCGGGGCCCCCTCAGCCCGGGCAGCGGCGCCGCCCTTCCCAGGGAGGGCCGGGCCGGGCCGGGCCCCGCCATGGCGGCCGCCCCCTCCCGCCGCGCTGCGGGGACCGCGCAGGGCGCATGCGCCGCCAGCCCCGCGCTGCGTCTCCTGAGGCAGAGGCGCGGAGCGGGCGCTGCGGCCATGGGGACGGGGTCGGGGACCTGCCCGCCTGGCCTCGGGCTGCTGCTGGTCGTGGTGGTCGTGGTGCTGCTCGGCGAGGCGCGGGCGGAGGGTGAGGAACGGGCGTTTTGTCCCTCAGCCCTCTCCGTGAGGCGCCATGGAGGGGGAGCGGCCGCGCTGAGGGGAACGGGGGGGGGAGCTGAGGGGAACCGGGTGGGCGCTGAGGGGAACCGGGGGGGAACCCCGGGTGGGGTCCCGGGGGTCGTTCCTCGCCTCACAGGGCGAGGGGAGCTGAGGGGAGGGAGGGCTGGGGGCGGCGGGGGGCGAGAACCGGCTGCTAAGCGCAGCGTGGGGCCCCCTTGGTGCTGGTGGGAGCTGGCTCAGCCCCTGGGCTGGGGGTTACCTCACGGGGTGGGGGGGCGGTGGTTTTATTGTTTAACGCTATTTTATGGCGCGGTGGGTGAGTACAAAGGAGCACAAAGGGTTTTGTCCGAGGCGCTGCGGCAGCGGCCTTTTGTCCAGGGGAAGGGCAGCTGCCACCCTGCTGCTTTCCGCCCCTGCGGTTTCCCCACAGCCTCCCACGCGGGTGTTGTGCTCCCCGTGAGCACGCAGGGGGTTAAGTTTTCTGTATCTCACCGCAAGAATGAGGCAAACACAAAAAATAGCCGCTAGGAAGCAACGCGTTGCCTAGGCAGAACGCTAAAGAGCAAGGCGAGCAACAAATGGTGGATTAACCGGTGCTAGCGTGGAGTTGGGCGTTGGATGTGCTCTAAATACGAACTGAAAACCTGAAATCTCAATAAATAAGTAGTTCTGGCTTTTAAGAACGTTGTTGCTTTCATTTATTGATGCATCCTTAAACCTACCACAATAGCCTGCCCTCAGCTTGTCTCTTTCCTTGTTGATAAATCTAAGTGTTGCTTTTTCTTCCCTTGTGCTCTGGCAGAGGTGTGTTCGCCTCCGGAAAGACTGCAGTACGCGGAGCTGACGGAGAGTTTCAGCACAATGCAGAGCTTTCCCGTTGGAACCACAGTGACATACGTGTGTCGCCCCGGGTATATGAAAATCCCTGGGAAGTCGCTAGATCGAACGTGTGGTAAAGACTTAAGGTGGTCGCCAACAGAGGAATTCTGTACAGGTGACGTGTGCTTAAACTCTTGCTTTTCTTCTTTGTGATTTGATGATTTCAGTTGTTTTCAAGTGAGAATTAATATTTTTTACAATTTAAAAGGAAGCTTGAAAAATACTAGTGATTTTAAGGACAGCATACGACAAAGACTTAGTCATTGTATATAACTACAAGGATGTAGACTTATTTTTTTTCCCCTTTCTCCCCAGCGAGAAAATGTAGGCATCCAGGAGAACTGGAAAACGGTATTGTTCATGTGACAGATCTTACGTTTGGTTCACAAGCTAACTTTTCTTGTCACACAGGGTGAGTTTTTTGGTGAAGTTTTCATTTCTCTTTTTTTTTTTTTTTCCTGTTTAGACCAGGATTGAACCAAAACCGAACTTTCTTATGTAGGTTTCATTTCAGTTCTGACTTGAAATATCTCCAGATTTATACCTTGGGCAAATAAAATCACATCTAAACTTAATTCCCTGGCTTTACTTGCTGTTTGCATCAACCGAGGCTTAAGGTTTTTAGCGAATACTACGGTGTTAACCACTAACAACCTTTTTTAATGTTCCTGTGGCACAGGGAGCAAACATCCACTCATTGCGCTTTATTGAATAATAACCCACCTGTCTGCATATAGCAAATGAACTCAAAAGTGCTAACCTCTTACAAGGATTTTTTCTTCCTTTCCTTTTACAATTTATTTATTTAGTGTTAGTAACTTGAAGGTATTAGTATTAGAGGGTACATGGAAAGGTTTCCATCCGTTCCTGTAGTGACATCTCATTTGCTTCTCTCTCACTTTCAAAGTGGAGACTGTTAGCAAAATAGACTCTTTTAAGATACCATTTTCGTTACAACAGAAGTGTGGTATGTCACGTCCCCATAGTCAGAATTACGGAATTACGCAAGCAAAGTTTCTAGCTCCTTCCTTGAGAAATGAGGTTTCTTATGTTTTACCTCTTTTAAATGTTTTTACCTGTCTAGGTTCAGAATACATGGAAGTAGTGAAATTACCTGTGTAGTTAAAAATAAAGCTGTTGACTGGGATGGAGTTCTTCCTTTCTGTGAACGTAAGTAAATTAGGACCACATTTAAGTTTGTATTCAGATGGTGATAGCTTATTTTAAAGCACCTGTGCAGTACACTTTCATGTATAAGAAATAATGGTAACATAGATGATCAAGGTAACAAAATTCTGCCAGCTAAAATGTGTGATTTATTTCTAGGAGTTCCTTGTGAACCACCACCAAGTATAGCCAACGGGTACTACACCGAAGTACCTGAGTATGTTTATCAAACAACAGTAACCTATAGGTGCAATGATGCACCGAGAGGTGAAGATCCCTACTCGCTGGTTGGTACACCTTCTATTTTCTGCACGCTTGATGGAGACTTAAATGGAGTTTGGAGTGGACCACCTCCACAATGTAAAGGTTGTTAGCTCTAAAATATACTTCTTTATTGTAGCCTGTCAGACTCCAAAGCTTCAGTATCTGACCTTTTTTGGAATTGAGTGAGGAGGTGAATGTTTTTTCTTATAGAAAAGGAGGAACTTCTATCTTCTGCTATAAGTTGATGTAGTTCCGATGGAGGTTGGATAAACTACATTGATTGATTGATTATGACACAGAATGGCTTAGAACTTAAGATAAATTTTTGTTTTGTTTTGTTTTTAAAAAAAAGGGCAAACCCATCAGTTTGTATGCAATTGGTAGAAGTGACAAGGATAAAGTGAAGAAACTCAGACCATAAAGCCTGAGTATCTGATAAAAGAATGTGTAAAGAGCAAGAATGGTGAAGCTAGGTTAGGACTAGCTGTGACTTGTAAAGATACTGTTAACAAATGTTTCAGAACTGGGTTTCCTCTTTACTATTTCAGTGGTCAAATGTGAAAACCCAAAAGTTCCAAATGGAAAAAAAGTAAGTGGATTTGGACCTCTGTACAGCTACCAGCACTCCGTTACATTTGAATGTGATCCAGGCTATTTCATGATCGGACGGGATGTAATTACCTGTCAAGAAGATAACACCTGGCATCCTCCACAACCGACTTGTGAAAAAAGTAAGTCGTTACATAGACATAGCAATCCAACTTTTCTTGTAAGTTGAGAGTGTTGTAAGTCTTAGCTAAAATTTGAAGTCAGTATCCTGTAGTTGGAAATCATAAGCTGAGGAAGTTGACATTGAGCCTCCTCTATGGACGCTGTTTTAGGTGTTCACATGATTCTTAACAATTTTTGGGTGAGAATGAGTTGAATTGCAGATTTGCCTATAGAAGTTGCAGCATGGACTTACCCGTGATGCTACCACATAACTATAGCATCACGCTATTTGTTCAAGTGATTTCATACAGAAATACAGGAAGAGGTGTGTTTCCGAATCGTGATGGAAAATATGAGGGTTATGCACGATGAGGGAGTTCATAATATCCTAGAGTAATCAAAATCATCACGTCTGAATGTGTTCGCACCCAGCTCTTCAACTCTTGCTTTCCAGGCACCTTGTATAGCGTGCAGTATGTTGTTAGATTTTCGACAGGCAATTATTTTTAGGACTCATTTGCATGGGACATGGCAGAGGATTTTCTACAACCTTGCTCCTTTCTCTGTGCTAGAGAGAGGGGGAATGTTGCCACAGAGTACAGTGAGAGGATTTCCTACATGTATATTCTAGTAATGAGCTCTCAAGAACGAGAACCACTTTGGCAAAAGGTGCACTTGAGTGTTGTTTAATGAATGGGTCTGACAAGGCATCTGGGAATGATTCTTAGGAAAATAATTAACCAACAGATACGGATTTCTCAGCTGCTATATCATGATCATACTACCCTAACAAATACCTACAGTGATGTTTCATTAAGTCTTCTAAAGGAAAAATTTGCATTTAAAATTGTGAAGGTATGCTAGAAGTTTTAGCAATTCAGGTATACTGATTTATTTTTCTCATACAATGGCAATTCATATATACTGAGTGAGTTAATGAATTATAAAACATTTAAAGTGTGTTATCACTACGCTTTTAAATTTCAGTGCTAGCTCCTGCGTGTATTTCAGTATGAGTTACTAATTAATATTTGTATTAGTTACTGAAGATAGATGTGGTGCCCCAAAGATCTCACATGGACAAGTGATTCCGCTGCAGTCTGAATACAAACAAGGAGAGTCTGTTCAGTTAAGGTGCAATCTTCACTGTGCTTTTCCTGATGGTGCTGAAGAGATCACAGTAACGTGTGAAGGACAAAATACATGGAGCTCTGTACAAAACTGTGCATGTGAGTAGAATTCATAATTAGTAAAATCAAGGATGGACAAGTTCCAAATGTCTGATGTGACAGTGTGCAGCCCCTGAAAGTCAGGTACCTCTCAGCGTGCCCAGCTGGGCACAGCTGGGTTCTGTTAATAGGTGGTGAGTGTCCTGGGCTGTGATCTGAGCAGGTGAGGAGAGTTCTGTGCCTGTTTGGAGTCCTAGTTTAGTCTTAGCTTTGTGTATAGAAATTGACAAAATTCAAAAGTCTGCTTGAAAGGTCTTGAGTGGGAGTGTTTTCTGAAGATTCTTCCTTTGATGACAAACTTTATGCTCATTTCACTCTGCATCATGTGATCGCTCATGCTATAAACGGAGAGGTTCTTACTTGGATGCAGCAGTTTGTCCTGATGGAGTTGGGATGTGTATTTCTGTTAATGTGTCTGAAACGTGTCCATTAGCAAAAGTATCTACGGCTTACAGGAAGCAGGCAGCCTTTCCATGTAAAATGTCTTGAGGGTGACTGAGCTTCTTATATTTACACAACTGTAGAGGCTTCATGGGCTTTTTGTTGGCAACATCATTGATCTGTTCCATGTACCAGCTCTGTTCTTGAATTTTTAATTTTTTTTTTTTTTTTTTTTTTCAGGTAAGCCTGTACATCATGATTCCTCTCCAGTCATTAGTCATGGCAGAGTAATTTATGGACAAAAACCTGAGTATGCTGAAGGGGATTCTATTACAATTGAATGTTACGCAGGCTACACGTTACACGGTGCAGATCGTATTGTGTATATGGGAGAAGGCAAATGGAATCCTGAAGTACCAACTTGCCACTTAAGTAAGTATGAACTGCAAGAATTTCTCACAGGATAAAAGTATATGTAACAGAAAACTTACTTCTTGGGAACATACCTTTATATTCAGGAGAAGTCATTTAATGCAAACTTCCATCTTTATTTTGACGTAAGAAAACAAGGTTTTGGTAAAAGTCCATTTAAGAATAGGAATATTTTAAAATAAATAGAAGTTGCCATGTAAACAGACCTGCTGCAAGGCTTGTCTTGGCAAAAATGCTTGGCCTGTTTGAAATACCCTAATGAATATTTGTATAACATACATTTGTGTAACATCTTCAACAAGATGTGTTCCTCATAACACTCCTTTGTTTCGTTTTAGGTGCCTATGTTATCGCCATCATCTGTGGTAAGTGTCATTTAGAACCTGAACAATACATGATGTGAATTTTATTTTTTATGTGGAATTGATATTGTCATCTTCATCTGTGACTAGAGTAATGTTAAATGATTTTAAAGGTTTGGTTGTTTTAAAATTATTTTAGTGTTTAAAATTTTAGAAATGTCTTCTGAAGTTGCAGAATTCAAAAAAAGTTAAGGTTACTTAGCAATTATAAGTCAGTTTTTTGTACAATGTTTTTTCATATATGTAATTAGATTTCAAAGGCAGTGGTCCGCGACTTTGTCACTTTCATAAACTCTTCAACATTTGGGTGTACTGAAAGCATGAGCAGATAAATAACTGCCAATGAACTGAAGTGCTTACTCCATCTTTCTGTCCTTGTGCTTAGAAAAGTGGATAACAAACACATTTTTACAAATGTGGTTTTCTACCACTGATTCCTTGTAAACTGTATCTAAAAAGTAGAGTTAGGCTGTTGTGACAGGGCTGTTGTTTTAATGTTCCTGAACTGGTGGTGTTTTGCCATCTTGATGATCACTGTTCTTGAGCAGATCTACCTTGAAGAGTCTTGAGTAAAGCATCAAACACATGTGAAATAAACCATGAAAATTTAAGTGTTGTAAGAAGAGGGAGTTGTACAGGACTCTGGGTGAAGACAGTGCTAATTTTTGAGGCTGTATTTTTTTTTGTGAGTTAGTGACTGTCACTCTAAAGCTTTTTTTTTTTTTTTTTTCCTGAAGTGATTACAGTAGTTCTGGTGTCCCTGGCAGCCTTCTGGGTCTATAAGAAATGCTTTTCACAAGAAGGGTGAGTAAGCCTGCTTTTTTTTTTTTATTGCCAATTTCTGTGACTGAGCAAAAGCAATGCTAACATATATTTAAATTTCTTGAGCTTTATCTGCCTTTTCTGTTTCAAATGCCTAATGTTTATATGTAAGCTTAGCAGCTGATGGGAAGCTAAAGTGCCTAACAACATATTTGACTTTGTTTTTGTATCTTTTATTCAAATAAGCTGCTAATTAATGCTTGTGCTATTTTTAGGGAAGGAAAAACTGTGCTTGGGTTTATATTTAACATAGGTACACTTACCAAGAAAGTAATTTTGCATCTGCTTTAAAACATGCCACTTTCTCTTAAAAACAGTGGTAGTATTGGCTTGGGTGGGCTTCACCTGCTTTACTTTCTTGCCTGAGTAAGCATCTGGCATCACTAGAGAAGGTCTCCATAGGCTTTAAGAGCTAGAGGGGTTGAAATGAGCTTGGAAGCCTTGGAGGTGAGCTAAGGGGCTTCCTTGCTTCTACAGATGTATCAATGGTAGTGAGGGGACCTGGACAACCACTGTGTTTTGGATCAGAAACACCTTAAAATAACACAGACTTAATTACAATGAAAAAAAAAAGCACATGAAATTGACCTAAAATGGTCCTCCTGTACTGTTTGAAAAAGCAAATAGCTGGCTCTGCAACTGGAATGTATAATGTGTAGATCCACATTATCCTTCTGCAGCAGCAATGATTGGTATCCCTACATTACAGACTTGTAAAATCAACTGTAAAATATCAAATGCATAAATAGTAGTATTTTGTTTTTAGTGGAACGCAGGGCATTTTAAATTTCATCTTCAAAGCGGGTAGTTGTTAATGTATGCTTTTTCATAGCGGGTTGGCAGGAGATTTGAATGCCTCACTGTGCATTGCTTCTTGTAGTGATTTCTTATCTTACCTTCTTCAAAAAAAAGTGGAGGAATAGTTTGTAACAGGCAAAATACTGAAAATGCAGAGCAAGTTGGGTGGTACGCATACTATATGCATCTCATCTGAACTGACTTAAATTCCAACAGATCTTGTTAAAAGATTTTTGGGGTATGTGAGATGAAGGAAGGGATTCTTATAATAAAGCCCACCAGAGGAAATATTCCTGCAGTTTGTGTTCATAGTACAGTACACACAGTCCTACCTGGGAGACCCCTGAAGCTAGGTGACATCCAGCAAGGTTTTAGCCTTAGTGTCTTCTATGTAGGCAATGTGGTATCTTTACAAGGGCCGCAGTGGCCCTGTAAGCAGAGTGGCAGAGGCTGCGTACCTGCACACTGCTGAGCACTGCGGTGCTTTTGAGTACTTGCTTTTCACCACCCATGGCTCAGATAATTTGCAACCCGGATAGTCCGAGGGGGAGTTAAGAGTGTTAGGGCAGCACTTTGTGTTCTTCATGTGTGGAGAGACTTCTCAGTGTGGAGAACGAAGAAGGGATCATCAAAAATGAAAGAATGTTGTATTCTTGAAAATCCCACGCCATGAAACATCTTGCTACACCTAGTGCTTTCCTTAAGCTTCATCGCTGTGAGCGTCTATTAAATCGCATTCTTATCTGAAAGCCCAACCTGACCTTCTTTTACTAAGGTCTAGATCTCACTGTTTAGTTTCCTGGATTCCTGACGTAGTCGAGCCTTTCTGACCCATTGTGCTTCTAGTACCTCACACTGACTGGGTTTGTCTTCAAACTACAGCACAAATCTTTTCTCACCCTCTGTCGCTTGTATGTCCAGTCTGTCAGTTTTATAGGATATATTCAATTAGACCTTTTTCCCCTTCTGCTGTTCAGCTCCTATACAGTTGATGAGAATTGCAAGGAAACATGTATTTTAAAAACTAATGTGCCAGCTGAGATGGAAGAAACTGCACAAATGACTTAATTGAATCTTAAAAGGTATATGCTTTCCGTTTCATTTGGACATTTGCTTTAAGCTTAAGTGTCTTTTTTACAGTTTACTCAATTTCAGGGGAAGCATGGAATCCAGTACACCTCAGTTTCCTATAGGAAAGGTTATGCTTGTTTGTTCATTTTGTGAGAACAGGATGTGTTACCGGAAGAACTGTCATTCAGTGCCATAAATGGTAGCTTCCGCTGATCACGTATCACAAATCTTAATTTTGGGTTGGCTTCAAAGAATTAGTAATGTTTTTCTGTGTGATTGAAGCCGTGTACGGACTCAGTGGAACATTGTGCCTCTTTCAGTAATGTGAAATGGGCTACAACACTGCATTACTCTGTTAACTAATAGTGTAATTCCCTGTAATTAGAAGTCTGTTGGAACTGGAAACCACCTTTACCACAGCACACGGACACTGGAATTATAAAGACAGTGTGCATCCCTTCAGAGGAAACCAGACCATGTGCTTTTCAGAACTAGTGACTCATACATCTGCATTTTTAGCTTTCTTTACAAAAAGTGCAAGCAATCTTTTTAGACCTTTTATAAAAAGGCAGTTTCTCTTTTCAAATTTAGAGTTCTGGGGGCCTGAAAAGTGCCAAAATACAGTCGCTTGTTTGGAGTTGAGTTTTCTCTCATGTTTTAAACTAGCACTTAATCTTGTAGTCAGGTGCATTTGACGATGGCTGGAATTGCACTTGTCTGGAGTCCAAACGAGCTCTTTTAAAAATCTGACTCTTTAAACCTTGTTGCAGTAGGACAAATTTAAGACAGGAGAGATTAATTTGACTGGTATTTATTGGCATTTTGTCATTACTATATTAATGGCGAGAATTTGCTCTACAAATGGTTTTTATAAACTTGTGTCTTTGTGTTGATTTTTTTCCATTGCACAAATTCTGAGAAGGTAATGATTGAAAAAATGTGTTTTAACGTGAAGGTCTTCTCAAATGAATGGCCTTTTTAAGTTATTTTTTTAAAGACCAAGCGACTTTTGAGTATTTGTCATAAGTTTGAGATGGTGCACACAAATAAATACTATATTTACCTATGAAATAAGATGTACGTAATAGAGATGAGATTAGTTTTCTGGGTTAGTCGGCCTTCTTTTTGTAGAGAGAAAAAAGGAATCAAGTTCTTATTTCCGGTCTTCCCTTTTGTTCATGGCAATAGGAGAAATTAATGTTCTGCCATACCAGCTGGTATGTGTACACGCTGTTAGCTCCCAGGTTTTTCTTCCTGTATCTACAACTCCTTGGAGACCTCAAGCAATAGTGCAGAGGTTTGTTGCTTTTGGTTGAGTTTTGTTCTTTTTTTTTTTTCTTTTCTGTAAAAGAAGAGATGAGTTACTCAAGAATGTGAAAATACACGCATAGGGTATAAGTAGTTGTGGATGTGACTATAAATGTTAATCCTCATGTTTAAATATTGTATATTTGCTGTTAGCAGGCTACAGAATCAAAATTCTTACTAATACTTGGCTTCTGGTTATAAAATACGTACTAACCATCATACTGTGCATAAAATAGCATAAGGGTTGCATGTGACGCAGCTTCCAAATGAGTTAGGAGTCCTGTACCTGTTCTAAGCTCCTGATAACACTAGGGCATGGTCTCTTCATCGCTTGAAATGATCCAACTGGATCAAATGCTTTTCATTCAGGTCATTCTTAGTTGCCTAGTGGCTGAAAATGAAGCAAAAATCTCAGTTTGTCGGTTGCTGAGTAAAAAGAGGACAAATGATTTAGTTTTATGATTTTACGTGTTGATTTAATAAAACTAAGGCTGTGCTTTCAGAATAAATGTAACAACTATTTACATGTAAACTCTCTGATTTGCCTTGTTTTTTTGTTTGTAGGAAGAGTGACAGCACTGCATGTACTGCCAAATATACGAGCTGTAAAGCATGAATGACCCTTTCTGAGGGTGGGAGGGGAACTTGCAGTTGAATGTGCCTATCAGAAATGGAAAATGAGTGCATTAACTTCCTGCAGATAAATCTCTCTTGTACTGTTATATACTACTGATTAACTGTAGTAGGAGATCATTAATAGGATTTAAAAAAAAATCAGAATATCCATCCTTGCTGTCCTTTGTGGGTCACTCCTATCATCTTTTCTGTGCATGTGAAATGGACTTAAAGGCACCTCGTGTAGCATGCACCAGTGTCTGTGTCGGCGGGAGTGCTGCGAGCAGGACTGTCACAGTACCGGCTGCTGCTGCCCGCCGCCTGCAGTGCTTCTCTTTCCGTACGGAAGACTATGCAATGTTAGTTCTGCTCGCTAAAATTCTCATGTGCTTCTCATTCATTTTCACGGTCAAGGGGGGTATAAATGATGATTATTGTATTCTGAAATGTTTTAATTATTTCCTGAAGAGATAAGTACAATTTAAGGCTCTGTCCGCTTGAAATGATCAGTTTAGATCTTGTATATGCTATTTTTTTTTTGTTTGCCCAAGGTCGTTTCTGTATATCTAATGGATTAAAATGTGCCTTTGAATCGGTTTTATAGCTTTTCTATTGCCTTTTAAGAAGGAAAAAAGCCATTTGTATTCCTGGCTCCTTGGCTTAGTCCCAGAAACTCCATAATGGACTTGTTGCAATGGGAAACTGAAGGAAACTTGAATTCCATAGCGGAGCATCCCCTGATTTTGAATTCATTGGCCTGTTGACAGAAGGTGCCTAACCATAAACTGCTTTGAAATCTGTGGTAGCCATCCTCTAAGATCATTGTGATGCTTGATTTTTTTTTTTTAATTTTTATTTTTTTGATCTGTTTCTGAGATAATTATGTTGTTTCTTAGGATAGAAAGGGTGCCGTGTGGGTTTAGCTTCCTTGTTGGTTTTTTTTTTTAATTACTATTTATAATCATATATTCCATATAACAGCATTTCAAATCCCTGTAGACAGACTACTATGCTGAGTCGAGCTCTGTAATGCAGGTGGTGTGGATATCTGTTGAGACACGAGCCTGTCCCTGTCTGGCTCCCTTCCTTTTTCACAGTAAGGGAAGACCAAGCCACCTTAGTTGCAGGAGCGAAAGAACGGGTATGTTGGTGATGTGGGAAGACATGGTCTGTCTTTAGGTAGCCAGCCATGCTATGAAAGGGTTTGGTCGAGATGGTGACTCCAGGAGCTCCCATCACAGAATTTGCCTTGAACCGAGGCTCAGACACGCACTGCTGGCTGTTACTTTAAATGCCTACTGGCTATTTCAGATCATTATGAAAATCAAAAGCTAAATGAGGACAGGTTCTGGCTTTGTGAATCTATGGGAAAAAGAACCAGTTTTCCCAGGGGGGAAAAAAAAAAAAAAAAAAAAAAAAAAACAAATTGCCTCACTTCAGATGGCCGAGGCAGCATGAAACTGTTCTCGTCTGTGGTAGATTGACGCTGCTGTCCCCGGTGGTGAATGGATTGTCTCAACATCATCAAACTATTTAGGGTTTCTTAGGACTTTGGGTTGATCCCAGCAGTTGTATTGCTAGAGTTTGTAACAGTGTCGGGTTATTTAAAGAGGGCTTTTGGCTGCACTTGTTTGTAGTCGTTTGAATAGCTGATACCTAGCTTGATAATTGTTTGTAATTACTCTGATATTATAATATATTGGGAATTGAGCGTGCCGGTTGTTAGCCAGCTTCTGTATGGCATCTCCAATATTAAAATGCGCTGAAACGCACTTATCGCTAAAGTGAAATAACTGTAAAAGGTGGCTTTATATTTATATTTTCCCCAATGTAAAGACTAGTGATGGTTTGTAATATTGCAAATAAAAAAAAAATGTATTTTTAGCCGTGTTTGTCTTTCATTCATCATGTGGTACACAGCTGCTTTCCATTTTTCTAGAAGGTAATTTTTCATGTACCAAATTTGCAGTAGGTGGTAACTGTCGAGATGGAAGTTTGCACTTTGTATGGAAAACTACTTAAAACACCTGGATGCATAGTGTAGAGAATGTGTGTTAATTTCCTGAGCAGTTTGTAGTCTTTTGATCGTCTTTTGGAAGAGCAGAGGGTTTCCTAGAACCTCCAAAACCGAAGTGTTCACTTGTGAACCTCAATTTTTACCAAACTTGATGGAGAAGAGGCAGCTTATCGTGTGGCTGTTCTGATGTAACCCTGCGTCAGGAGCAAAGCCCGTGGAGGGCCCTGGCACTTCTGTCCAGGGGGTGATAGCTGTAATCTTTAGGGAAATATTGCTTGGGCGTTTTTATGTAAAATATTGAGTAGAATGTGATTATTTTTAGTTGTGTGAGGTTCACGCTTGAAATGAACTTCATTTTCTTTGCAAAGAAATGTGTCGTCAGCTGCCTTGTAAAGGCACAAACTTGCAGAGGATGGGCTAGAAAAACGATTTGCTCTAGCTTTTAATTTGTGCTTCTCCAGTTGGTACGGACTGCAAGCGATGACAGTACGTAGACTATACAGCTTTAGAAGCTATATATAAAGTTTGGGGATTCCTGTGAGCATGGGTAGGAGGATAGGCAGCTACTGGGCAATTTGACATCAATACTAGAAGTGATTTTGTCCTGATTGTCATGAATTCTCTATCACTTTCTAAAATGTGATTTGTTTTAGAATTGAACTGGCAATAGCAAGGCACGTTGCACTGTGAGCACGTGAACTTTGTGCTAACAAACAGGCTGGGTGTAACAAAGCCCTCGTGTTGCCATCTACTGGTAAATGCAGCTGTGCGTGGTGGTTGGTGGGCTTCTCGGGGCTACAGAATCGGTGTGAATGCCTCTGAGCGTGGTTCGAGCAGTGTGGTGGGTGTGACCCTGGGGACTGAAATACGTGAAGCGACTGGATCGGGTCCAACAGGGAAGCACGTAATCTGTCTACCTGAGACAGAGCCCAATACCAAGTAGCACACAATTTTATTTAAAAGAAAAGAAGTCTGAGTAAATAACAGGTTAAGGCAAACATAGCACAAGGAATATAGCTGGTCGCAAGGGCCCTGGCTTGCTTGAGTTGAAGAATCTTTGTTAGGTGTTTGAGCAGATGCTTCGCTTTCTCTTTAAGCACCCGTCCCAGTTGAACGGGATGCTGACTGTCCTCCTGTTGTGCGGGTGGTTCGGCCTGGAGGTGTAACTTCAGGTCAGAGAACAGAAGAGCATAACAGTCGTGTTTGTGAAGCACGAGCAGCCTTCGGATGGCGTTTATTTATAAGGACTCTGGGGGCGGGGGGAATGAAGTTTTCCATTATTGTTGCTTTTCCCCCTACATCATAACCGATTTCAAATGGTGCTAGACAAAAACTGAGACTCTGAACACCAAGAGAAATCGGTCAGCCTGTGTAAGAGACATTTTCCTGGCTCAGAGAAGAATCCTCTTGCAGATGACAGCTACGCGTTCTTTAAAGAAGACTATTCAGTGGTCTGATCAAGTGCTTCATCCACACAGCGAGCATCCTTTTGTGTATGTGAGCATGTTTGTGCAGGTGAGGTCAGGCAAAAATAGTTTAGCTTCAGTTTAGGGGTTTGGATGCAAAGGTATAGAAGTCTAACAAAACGTTACTGGAAGGCAACAATGGTAAACTTCCAAAAAATTAGGAAAAAGAGTGGATTGTGTGTGCATTGGTGTGACCAGCACGATTACTGAAGTCACGTTTGGTTTGTTAACTGCCGAGATCAAACTGTCAGAGTAATTTACATGTTGGGGTCCTAGCAACTGTACAGGGAAGGGGATGTGCTGCTTGCCTCTCGACAGGCAAGAAGCGCTGCGTTGGTTTCCATGCAACCTTCGGATGATTTTACTCTGGACAACTTTAACTCACAGCCATTGTTTATTAAGTAAAATACATTTAAAGGAAGACTTTGCTGCTGTGGCCCTAGCTTGAGAGGGTGCGTACAGTGATTGCATCGTGTCTAGAAGTCAGGTGATGTTACAAAATGGATGGGTGTCGAACAATTAATGATTGGAAAAGTGCTGTTTTAAGGAGTAAAGGCTGTCAGTGAAGTTAGCAGCTGCTTGATCTCCTCCCACGCTGTAATTCTTGCTCCTAGAACACTGATTTCAAATGGTGCTAGATACAAAGTGGGAAAATCTAAGCCACCATGTGAAACCAGCTTCCAGAGGAAGACAGATCCTGTGCATGGCTGCAGGTTGAAAGGGCAAATCCTCCATCTCCAGCGTACCTAGAGAAAAATTAATTGATTTCATTTTATTAGAAAGTGAGACAGTGAACTTCAGGATAGGTATTTTATTGACACATTTTTCGGCATTAGTTGAGGCTGATATAGGAGCAATGAGACATGATGAAGGAGCCTACTGCTGTAGCAGTGAGTGCAATTTCCTTTGGTAGCCAGGTAAAGCAAAGCTCTTAGCAGCTAGGGGCAAAAAAAGGGCTGACTTTGTAGTGCCGAGGATGCTACTGGTTTGGGAGGAGGAATAAAAAGTTTGTGTCGTACAGGAGCAATGTTTGATGCTATTGCACTCACAGCCAGGCTATAACCTCCATGCCATCAGAGAGGACAGGTAGATAAAGAGAAGTTGGGTGCTTTTGTGATAGGGAAAGGAAACTGACTGTCACGGTGGCACTTTGTCAGCTTCATCCCGTGGCTTGTAAGTAGCGTGCTTTTAATTAGCAAGGAGATGCAGATTTTTGTGAGGAGTTCCAAATCCCGTGAGCACGAAATAAGGTTTAATGAAAATAAATGACATGGAAACAACTTTGAGCTGTGGGCCAGAACGAAGCCTAAAAAGGGAGCAGTTGCAAATATAACTGCAACTGGTTCAACAAAAGTTGCCAGGGAGGTAGGAGAGTGTGAAAATGAGCGGCTGACGGTTATTGGGAAGGGAATAGGTGTGAGCAGCACCGTAGCACGGCGCAGCCGTGGTGGTTAACCTGCAGCGAGTGTGTGGGAGCATACGGGGGGTCTTCAGGCCTGTGAACAATACACACGCGTCATTTGGGAGCTCTCAGACCCTGGCCGCCGTGTGTGACCTGTGCTGATGCAGAAGCTGCTGCGACACGGAATGAAGTTGGGCAGGAGCGGAGTTGTGAGTTTTTACTTATCGATGCCCTGGGTTTTTGGCAACTCCTTGCATCGGTTTTGTAACCAGATCCAAGAATCTGCTTCAGTGCCTACATCTAATGCACACCCACGGACAGCAGAGGAAAGCTCAGGGAACACAGCGCGTCCTTCCAAGAAGGGGCGGGGGGAGAACTGCACTAGATTGCTGTCTGGGTATTTACTGGAGTTTCTAAATCCATTAACTAGGGCAGCAGGGTGAAAGAGAAGTGGAAAGCAGGTTCCCTCCCCAGTGTTCATCTTGCTGGCACAGTTATTTATGAGGCATCCTATATTATCAGCATAAAGATTTACTACTGAAAAGCCGGACTGAGAGTTACTGCTGGCTAGAGGTTCGCTGCGGCACAGATAAAGTACCCCAGCAGCATCCTTTGGAAACAGGCTCCAAGTGAGGGCTGCTTTGTATTTTTTCTTCTTCTTAGTATTAAGCACGTGCCTGAACAGTAAACAGGAATCTTTATATAAGGTTTTCAAGGAAGTTGCTGGGAATGTCAGGTGTGTTTGTGCTGCGGAAAATGCCATCTGCCCTGGAGGTGCAAGGCCTGGAGAGCCCCTGAGTGCCTCTGAGGAGCTGGGTCTGAGCACCTTCCCCTCCACCCTCCAGAGCACAGCAATCTTTCCAGAAATATCGTGCAGCAGTTGAAGACCAATGGCTCATTCATTATTTATAGTTTGATTAAAAACAGATTTCCTTTCAGCGTGATTAAGATGATGATGATGCCCCTCCTGCAGGCTACCTGCAGATCCTGCTCTGCCTCAGCAAGCTCCCCTGCCCTCCCAGCAGCCAGAAGGTGTCAGCCCTTGCTGCTGAACTGCAGCTACACCTCTCACGGGGGACACATCCCTGACAGCATATGCTCTTCTTTCCAAACCTAGTGGCATGCCGGGGCAGGCAGCGTGCAGAAGGAAGGAGAAAAAGAGAGCAGTTCAGGGCCACGTGATAGGCAGTGCTCGACTGGTAATGTGCATGCAGGGGAAAAAAATAAATAAACTGCTTGTCTCAAGCATTTGCTGCGTGTTGAACATATACCTGTGGGGACACACACGTGTGCAGAGACATCCTGTCAGCTACTGCTGGCCTTGCCAAATGTCCCGGGGTTTTTGCTAAGTAATAGCACGTGCAGCCCTATCACTCTGTTTTTTTCTCCTTTTCAGACACATTTTAGCAGCAGTACAGTTCTATAGCTTCTTTCTGAGGAGCATCTCAAAGCCTTTCATGGACTTCACACTGCTTTATGCCCTCTAGACAAGTCAAAAAAGGGAAGAAATCCCTGCCTCCCCCATGAAAGGGAGCCTCCTCCCTGGCTGCCGACCTTTAATCCAGTCTGCACGAACCAGACAAGCCCAGGTGCTGCAGACCTGGTTTTCAGAGCCCACAGCTTGTACATTAAGGCACTTTCTGGGGCTTCTACAGTGAGTTAAGCCCTCTGTGTGACCCTGTGAGCATCGTAATTTTTTTCTTCCATTTTGAAAAGCCGGAATGAAACTCGTGGTTCATCGGCCTCCGGTCTCCCCTGGAGGAAATGCTCCCATTTCGCATGCGGATCTGAGGCAGAGCGGCTCGATGCATCATCCCCCAGTCGAGGAATGAGTCAGACCAGGGCCAGGTGCAGGACAGAGGGGTGTGACAGTGCAAGTGGTGACCTGTAAGGGGAATTGAAGTGAGTGAACTTCTAAGGTTTCAAAAAAAAAAGCTTCCTCAGCTCAGGGGAGCGTGTAACTGCATCTGTTTGTTGTGCTGCTCTGTTACTGCGCGGAATTGCGTAGGTCAGGTATGGACAAATGTGCCCTGACTTGCAGCCTGAGCTCATCGCTGAGCAGTGCTTTCTGGAGCTGCAGCAGCGCTGACCGAGGCCGAGGAGAGGCAGGGTCACTGCTGCTGCTGCCTTCCTGGGTTTGGTGCTCGGGACTGCAGGGTGGCTCTGGAGATGCTACTGCTGTTGGGGGCAGCGCCAACACACGCGTCCCCTGGGAGCTTAGAGCACAACAGAGACTTTTTCTCTGTCGTTAGGAACAGAATAAAACCTCCAGATGACGTTCCTGAGCGAACGTGGTCTGTTCCTGTAATCTATTAATGCTACTGCAGCCACAGAATTGCAGTATAAACGGTAAAGTGAAAACCCAGGCCCTCTGGGTCTATGAACCTTACGCTGTCTGTGCCCCACCACCAACAGAAAAGAGCAGTTTGGTCCCTGGCCTACAGCGTGTTGGGGGTAGGAGCCTGTGGGGCCTTCGGGCACAGGCTGTGTGAGCCCTGCCTGCCTTTGGGGCACTGATTTCCAGTCCCATAATGGCGATGGCAGAGCGCTCATTGCATTTGTCTAACTGCAGAAGGGGACAACGAGCTGCCCATCGTCCTGATCCTTTTTTTTTTTTTTAATAGCCTGAGTGTTGGAGACTTTGGGGTAGGGGAAGGCCATTTTAATGCTTGCCTGTTTGACATACGTAGCTCTTTTCCGGATTATTTAGGGCAGGCCAGCTGACAGCAGCAGCAGTGATGGCCAAAGCGTGGTTTGTGATCAGGCCCGAGGGGTGCACCGCTGCCCTTCCTCTTTGCAGGGGCCCTCGCCGGGCTGTGCTCCCCCATGTGTGGCTGGGGTGAGCTTTGGAGCTGGCTCCCAGCAGGGTTTGGGGAGCACCTGGGTTCTCCTAACTGGTGCTGAGTGGTCAGTGTGGGCATCGCCCTGGTGCTTTGGTGCAGCTGATCTCAGTCTGAGGGCTGGGCCAGGCACACCGGCGGTCGGGGTGGGCTGTACCAGCCTTCATTTCATACTGATCTGCCTGTTCTGTGCTTCGGTCTAATGAAGGAAGCTTAAAAAAATGCAAGAAACCTTTAATTTGCAGATCTCTTGGAGCAACTTGTAGATTCTTAACAGTGCAATAGCACTAAGAGAGTTAGGATTTACTTGCAAGACTTTTTTTTTTTATCCCATAACTTCGTTTCAGGCTGTTAAGCGAAAGGTTGTACTTACTATTCTTTGGAATGACTTTCCCAGAAGCTAACCGAAGGGAACAGCTGTGGCTGGGTGACCATTCCAGGAGCACAAGCCATTAGGGCGACAGTTTCTAATCTGCTTCCTGTTTGCAAATCTGAAATTGCTTCGACTTGCCTGGAGCCAGGCAGTTTTTTTCCACCTTTGCTTTCATGAGAGTTCCTATGCAAAGCCACAGCCTGTTCGGAGGGCACGGGAAGTACTGAACCACTGAGCGCTATTGAGGATTTCAGATCTCACAAGGAACGATGAGGTGAAATTGGGCAAACTCCCCCAAGGGAAGGGAAGGCTGGCACCTCCGTGACCTGGGTCATGGGAGAGCAGTAGGAAAGTGCAGTGCTGAGAGCTCATCAGCTTTAGCTACACACGGCTTGTTTGAGCAGCACGTTACAGCACTAACTACCTTAAAATATTCCCCACCAAGGCAGCTGAAACCAGGAAAGTAATTTTCTGTTCCTAACTTCTGTACATAAGCATCACCTCGGAATATAAAGTATTGATTGCAGGTCTCGAACGGAGTCACAGGGAGGTTATTGTTGTGCTTTGTATAGGCAGTGCAGGAACATGGTGTTTCCCCACCACTGCAGTTCTAGGTAATGTCAAGGGAAGTCACGTTTCTCGTTGTCATTGAAAAGAGAAAACAGTGTCCTGTGCCAGTGAGGAGCATAAGGACGCGGATACTGCCAGATGTTTACAGAAGTGTAACCTGCCCTTAAACCTGACATTTGAAAGCGTGCTCGGTACCCACAGCAGAAGGCCCTGGCAAAAAAAGCTGGAGAAAAGCACGGACCCGGCTCCCCCAGCACCTGGGCTGTTTGGTTTGTGTCTGCTCCCACGATTTCCATCATCCTTCCTCTCACAGAAGCTTCGCTGTGTCTGGGAGCCCTCCTTGGTGTTTAGGAAGCGTTTGGGCTGTATGGCCAAATGCAAACCCCTCGGCTGCTGGTGGACACGCACTGCGCACCATTTGTACTGGGTAAAGATTGTTTGTGTGGGGAGCTGAAGAGATGTGCTTAACTCAGAAATAGCTCTCTTCCTTGGAAAGCTGAAGGTCTGAATCACACTGTGTTGGCTCAGTTTTTAGCAGACAAGCTATCACATATGCCTCCCTGTAGGCGAAGAGTCGTCACTGGCATCAGGATTAGCAGCCAGGTTCTTTTCCTTTGGAAACTAGAGAATAATGCCACCGGAGGCTGGAGCGGGCTTTGAGCACGGTCGGGGCAGGATTGCTGGGGAGGGGGCCGGCAAAATTGGCAGGGGGAAGGGTCCCCCTGCAGCCCTGCTGGGCCTCTGCTGGCTCTGCTGGAGCCCCGTGTTCCTCTCCTTGTAACAGGACCTGAGAACGTGCCCCTGAGCTGAACTTTGTTCCTGCAAAGGTGGCACAAAGTTATTTTGCCCTAGATCCTTGAGGTGTTGGCCGCGCGGTGCTGCCCGCAGCATACCCAGGTCTGGTGCTGCCCTGCACCCACTGAAAATGCTAGCAACGTGGACAGACAGAAACCCCTGAGAAAATGGGGAAATCTGGCAGGGAAAAAGGCAGCCGTGGAGCTGTGGTGCCTGAAACTAAAAGCACAGGAGAGACAGACACCGGGGAGCTCCGAGCAGCCTGCGGAGTCCAACTGATAAAGACTGCGGGAACAGAAATTCAGATATATGCAGATATGCAGAGACTTTTTTTTTTTTTTCTCGTCTGGAACATGGTGCGAGTTGATGCGTAGTCCTTAAAAATATGCTACTCCCAACTCCCAGCAGGCCAGAGGAAGCCTTTTCAAGCAAGTTTTTGTAGTTTGCTCAAGAAGCAAATTACAGATCTGAACTTTAAATGCTTCTGAGATCCAGGATTTTTCTGGATCTATACTTTCAGACTCGGTGTACCCCCTACCGCAGCAGCATTAATTTTCAAGCCTCACTTCCAGGTTCAGGGCTCTGGTACTGCCACTGTTTCAAGAACCAGGGAGCGGGAGTTCCAGGACCAAGTGGTCAGTGAGGAGGAGGCAGGGGAGTGACCTTGCAGCGAGCCTGTCCCTCGCCCGGAGCCGTGCCAGTATACACGGCGCGTGCCTCCCAGCGCTGCTGAAACCATTTTGTGAGATTCCCAGGTTGGCCATTTCTATGCCGGCTTTGCACCAAAACTTTTGAGTGCATGAGAACAGGGTAGGGAATTCCCTTCCTGTGCCATAACAAGGGCAGCTTTGTCACCTGGGCTGGGGACTCTCTGGATCTATGGGCAGGTCTATGGAGGGTATGGGCAGTTCGACTCGCTCTTGTATACAGCTCCCCGTTAGCATCGGCAATACCGATACTGAACTGATGCAGCTTAAAGCTCAGCCTCCCCCCCAGCCACACCCTTATTAAACTGTAAGAAAATGCCATGAACAAGTTTTAGAAAACATGCAAGGCAGCCGTGAATTTTCTGAGTAGGTCTGGAAGTGATTTGTAAGAGGAGTGAGGATGCAATACTTGGCATCTGGATGTTCTAGCGAATTTTCCCAAATAAGAAAAGAGAAACGTTTCCTCATAGACTGCAAGCTTTTCACAGCATCAGTAAAGCTCCTGACACAGAGCCCAGCGCTGTATTTGTATGACATGGAAATTAACAGCAGCAGCAGCAGCAGCACTGCAGGCTTAGAGTCTACTCTGCGTGCAACAAAATGGCTAGGGGTGCTGTCGCCTTCATCTGAATTCCTTCACCGATCGTGGGTGGTAAAATAGGTGGATGCCGAAATCCCTGCCACATCAGGTAGGGCTGCAAACTTTAACATCGGTATTAAATTAATGTTTCTAACCGTCTTCTTGCCTGTGCCCTGATCAGCTCAACTCCACAGAGCAGAGACAGGAACGAGCAGCAAAAACGGACTGCGTCACAGATGTAACATGACCATCGGCAAAACAAGTGCAGAAAGATATCATGGCTGTCTCATCGCCCCGACAGCTTTCTCTCGGTATCGCAGAAGAATAAGCTGGTAATGCTTTCCTGCTTTTAAATTTATGTCCTGAGCATTTGCAATTCTTAACTTTACCAAATTTTGCATCCTCGAACAGTCTAAACTCCCAGGAAAATTGCACGTATTTTGCCAGCAGACCCAAAGCACTAACGATCACTGCGTCACAATGCCGCACCAAGGCTGGGAGATAGAACAAACCCTACTTTACAAAGGAAGGGAACCAAAATACTGAGAAATGAATCAGCTTACACAATATCACACACACGAGTGTCAGAGGGAGTAAGAAATCATAGCTTTTCCAAGTCCTTTCGAGGCAACACACAGAAAAACATTATGGAACAGTTTGCCACGTAGACATCACATACAGTATCACATGCACAGAATCACTGCTGTCCTACAGAAATATGCCATGTCCCCTTCTTAGCCTTGTTTCTTGCAAGTCCCCCAGATTTACCTGCTGACAGTAACCTCAATTCCCAAATAATGACATTTACAGCTAAAGTTTAACATTGAAATACCTCTCATCTTTCGGTCTCCTTTTCCTGCCTGCGCTTAGTCACAATTAAACTATCACCGTGGCCAAACGATGGCAGCGAAAGGAGCAAAAATAAACACATCCCTACACCGAACACTGATACTCAAATTATGCATGTGCCTGGCTGCCAGTTGCACCTACGTCCAAAGGGCTGAGAATTGCCATTACGCAGCGCTACCTTTGCAAACTAACGGGGCCTCCACCACGCAGCTGTGGTGGGGAGGAACGCAAAGGGCTGTCCGCTCGGACCCGCTTAACCCTCCGCTCTCCCGGGAAAGCAAGCATTGTTTCTTAGGCCAGCTCCTGGCTGTGCACACTGACCTCCGCGGCTGCCTTGCCTTGCTCCTGTGTAACTGTGTCTTTCTGCCTGTCCGTCTTGCTGCAGGGACCACCGCTGTTGCTGCTATTCCCGTTGTTCCCCTGCTCTGCGGAACTGGCGCTGCAGGAGGCGAGGATGCTCCAAGGGAGCCAGCTACAGCCAGCGAGGGCTCTGAGTCAGGAGGGGTTGTGACGACTGCAGCAAGAGCCTGAAACTCCCCGCGGAATCCGGCAGGAAAGGAGGGGAAGCAAGGAAGGTAGAGATGGGAAAGAGGAAGGATCCGGGGAGTGGCACCTACTGTCTGTTTGCTTCTTCCCTCCCTGTTCCTGCCACCGCACTGCCGTTGGAAACGGTATCCTCCCCTCTAGGTTACTGCGCAAAGAAACGGTCGGGGATAAAACTGCAACGCGTACGGCCTTTATAGCAGCCAAAATTCGGTCGGGGCGGGTGTCCGTGTGTAAACACGGCCTCTCTCCCCTCTCCGCCTGCTGTTCACAGGACAGGCTCCTGCCGGAGTAACCGAGACACCCGCAGTTCGTTTGAGCTGGTTCTAAACCCAGTGGTTGTTGCTAAACAACCAGACCTGACGCCTGCGATGTCAGTGAGTGAGTAATATAGATTAAATGCTTATGCTAGCACGGCCTTAAACTTGTTTAAGCCTTGGTATGATGAAAGGCTGTGGAATAATGTTCCCTGCTATATGAGAAAGCAAAGTTACCACTCCACTGCATAACCGGGCGACTTCCTCAGCCAGAGGGACCAAGCTCAAAGCTGGTTGTGTCCTCAGAACTTCCAGGCACAGTTGCCCATCTTCATTGCTGGTCACTTAAGAAGAGAGGTGAAAAAATAGTATAGTAAATGGTTAAGAGAGAAAAATGTCCTCCTCCTCATCTTCATTTCCTCATCCTTTCTGGAGCCGCTGTCTGTCTGCGGTCTCCCGTCCCTCCTTCCCCAGCCTGTCCCAGTCGTCCTTTCTGCCTGCCTTCTTCCTAACGCTCTGGTTCCTTTTGCAGACCTTGCGGAGCCCCGGCTCGGGGCTGCCGGCAGCGCTCCCTCGCCTCGCCCACATCAACCAACTCCTGCCCGGGCAGCATGACGGCGTTTGGGCAGGAGCCTTCTCCGCTTCGTTAATCCCGCCACGCGATTGCCACATTCGGTCCCTGCCCCGAGCGGCTCACAGCGCGACCAACACTCAACTCCCACCGACAGAAGAGAGAGAACAGGAGAGAAAGGAGAAAAAAAAAAGCCCCAAACCCGAGCAAGTTCCCTTGGCCGAGGTTGGCAGCTCTGACACGTCATCGCCACAGCCGCGCAGCAAAGCGAAACCACACCGGCACCGGCATGGGGTGACGCGGGGCGTGTGGGCGGGCAGGGCCCCGTGCCTGGCCCCATACCTGCACCCATACCCGCACCTATACCTGCACCTATACCCGCACCTATCCCTCCACCTATACCTGCACCCGTACCCAGATCTATACCTGTACCTGTACCCAGACCCGCACCCATATCTGCACCCATTCCGCACCTATACCCACACCCATTCCCGCAGCCGTACCCGCACCCATACCCACACCTATGTTTGGAGCTATACCTGCACCCGTAGCCTCCCCCATACCCGCACCTATACTCACACCTATACTCACACCCATACCCTCACCCATACTCGCACTTAGATTCTCCCCCATACCCGCACCTATACTTGGACCTATACCCAGACCTATACCATACCCATGCTCGCACCCCCACCCGCACCCATACCCCTACCCTCACCCCTCCCTGCCCCTACACCCTCCCTATGCCCTCCCGCACCCTCCCGTGCCCCCCCCGTCCCCGCAGCCCCTCTCGCAGCCTCGCAGCCAGCATTCAGATTTGACACCCCGCTGCCGGCCAATCCGCGAGGGCTTTTCACCTGCCAGCCCTTCCCTCCGCCAATCGCGGGGCTCTCCTCGGCGCGCAGAGCCCTCCCCCGGCCAATGGGGAGCCGGCCCCGGCCCCCGGTTCATGATGCAGCAGTCCGGGGCAGGACGATCACATGCGGGCTGGGCGGCTGCCAGCACGGAGACACGGCGCGAGCAAGGTAAACAACTCCCCAACGCCAAAATGATGACATTCAATCCCCGAGCGCTGCCTTCCCGGCCCGGCTCAGCCCCTTAACCCCTTTCGTGGAAGCGTCTGGAAGGCAGCGCCTACCTGTGTGCCCCCCCCCCGGGGGCTGGGGGAAGCCGCCCGGCGTGCCCTGCAATGCTCACACTGCGTCAGCGCTCCCCGCTTGGCGAACTGCGCAGTGACACAGCCGCGAGCTGGGGAGCGCAGGGCGGCTGGTGGCTGTTAACCCCCGCGCCAAAGCCTCGCCGGCACGCCAGCCCTCGGGGAGACGGGAGGGAATAAAAAGCCCGAGCAGCGCAGGAACGCAGCAGTCTTTGCAAAGTTGTCATCTCTCCCCCACGACTACTTCCCTCCTCTGCATTACGGCAATGCCGGCAAGAGCGGCGTTAGTACAACCTGCGCCGTCGCTCCATTGAGAAAACAGCTCTGACGCAGAGCAGAGCAGTCGTACCCAGCCAAAATAATAATAAAGGCACTCGGGGAGCCGAAGTTAGGGACGAGGGGGGAAGGGGACACCCGGCAAACAATCACAAAACGCAGATGCAGCTCGAGCCCCATCCTGATCAAAGGGTACGTACGTGGGAAAGACGAACCGGACCGAAGAGCTCTGCCCGTGCACCATCTGCGCAGTCTTCAGCCCTCCGCTTGCTGTGTAGCGCCGCAGAATAGAAGGTTCCAGAAATTTCCTTTCCGTTAACCCTTTCGGTGTCTGCCCACTCTCCCTCCCCGTGGGATTAAGCGCGCCGGGTCTCCAGCATCGTCAACGGGCGAAGCCTCCTACGCCAACCGAGCCCAAATCTGCTTTCTAAATGACTCCGGATGGTGACAGGAGCCCAGTCCCTGGTGTTGGTGTTACTTCTCTTTCTTGAGCCCTTTCTCCCTCTCTGGCTGCCTCTCTCCCCTCTTGCTGCAGCAGGGCTGTTGCTGGTAGACCTATCGACGGAGCTTGCTCTCTCGCTCTCTCGCTGAGCTCTGTGACGCAGCTCTAAATTCTCCAGCCTGCTCCCTGTGTTATAACAGCGGAACTGCAGCCTTCCAGGGAGCCCGTGCCAGCAGTGCCAGGGCCAGGCACACCGAGGGGAGCGTCGCTCCTGGACTCTGCACCTTTTTTTTTTGGTAATTATTATGTTCCTCACCTCTGCTTCTGTGCTGCCTTCCGAGCCGCTCAGCCTCGCATCTCCTTCTCTGTTTCTGAGTCACGCTCACTAGGTTAACTCTTTTAGGATTGGTAGTCAGCAGGACAAATCTCGAACAAGCGCAGCTGAAACCACAGCCAACTTTGTGGTGGTTTCTGCTTTAAAAAACCCAAAGCAAATCATCTTGGCTCTAAAAAACAAAAACACACACACACACACACACACACGTTCCAGTAGAGAGTTAGTGCTTCGCAATTAACTGTTTCGGTGACAGGAACCACTGCCTCACCTCCTAAAATAAAGTGATCTAGGCCCAGATCCTGCAGGTACTCGGCCGGCAGTTGCCTGGTAGCACCACGCGACTTAAAAGGAGCTGCTCACACCAGGACACGCTTTTCTGGACCTAAAAGCACAAAACTGCTGTGGGATCCACACGCCCCTGCTCTGCTGGCCACAAGACATTGATCAGAATGTGGTTCGGCCGCTGGGCAGATGCATTGTGTCAGATAAGGTGCTGAAAGTGCTGGTAAGGTATAGGCTCCTCGTAATCTGGACGGTATTAATAAGTGTTATCACACACACAGATTCCAAACGCTCGGTGTAGGCAGGGGAACTAATAGCTGCGTTCTGGGAGTCGCCAGAATCCAATCATCAGCCACAGAAAGTTCCCCAGCAGCTCCGTATTTCAGCACAGCAGAGCCAGGCACACAGACGATGCCGCCGAGCCCCCTCCGCCTGCCCCTGCCCCTCAGGGCAATCCCTCGCATCGATCCGGGGCAGGCGACTGCAGCACGAGGCAGGGGAAGCTCCCGGAGCCTCGAAACCAGAAAATGTGGAGGAGGATCGGTGGTAGATGGAGCAGCTGGGAATCAAAGCACGGCTAATGGAAAGTCGGCGCTGTACGAGGGAGCTCATGCGTCAGCCTGCACGTACGGCACAGCGAGAGAGCCAGCAGGCCACCGAGAGACAGCATCAGGAGAGGGATCGCTCCACGGACGCATCTGCCATTTTAATTCTGGACTCCGGAGCTGGCTGGGAGCTTCGGGTGTTTCACTACAACCAAAGCTGAAGTAACCACTATTTTTTTCTCTTCACAGCGTCTGAAGAGCCTGAGCTATTTTGGGATTTGTCTGTACTACACTGAAAATGACACCTGTTACACGCAGACACAAATGAGGAGAATTGCAAGCTCCCGGTTTCTCAGATAGGATTCTACCGAAAAGAAAAAAAAATCGTATGAGCCAGGGATGTGGGAGAGCAGCGCAGGCTCTTAGCGGGGGTGAAGAGGCTGACCCTTGTGCATTGAGCAGTCAGACACGGATAGAAGAAAAGTAAACGGTTTGTTGTGTCTGATGCAAGAGGAAATCAGACCTCTGTGTGACCAAGAGAAGTAGTGCTCGAGCGACTCAGTGCCACAAGGCAGAGCTTCTTATGCAACCAAGCACATGGGACTTCGAGCCTCACATACATGTTCTGCAGCCAAAGCTGCAAGCATTAACTCTTTCAGTTAACGAAGGTAAAATTGTGAGAGTGCCACGGCTACTTAAATGAGTCACTCAGCAGCGGTGCTCTAAAGTAGGCCAGGGTTTGGGTGCGTTACGCAGCCTGCTGGTTTCACTTACCCCTCGGTTATCTCAGAGGCTCCACCACCACGCGGCATCGGAGCGGATTTTCCCCGTTCCCCGTGTGCCCCTCGCGTGCTGCTGCTTTCACCAGGGGACAGAGGCAGGACAGAGACAGGACAGGGCAGCGGCCACCCGGCTGGACCCCGCAGAGCGCTGAGGGCGGCCGTGAGCTGTGCTGGCAGCGAGCTGAAAGACGAGGAGCCTCGGAAGTGGGACACTCGGCTGGTGCTGTCAGCGCCCAGCGGCTGTGTCAGTCCCGGGGTATATGAAGAAAGTAAAACGGAGCTTTGATTTGTTTAAAACGCTGTATTTTGGGGTGTTTGCAGGGGAAAGGCAGTGTTTGTTTTATGGTTTACTTTTGTTTGGAAATTACCAGCCACGGAACATTTCTGTCTTTACCTGATCACAAGTATTTACTTTATGGCAGCACTTAAGCTCCCAAGAAGAATCAAAGCCACGCTGCCCTGGGAAGCACTCAGGGACGTAACTGAAAAAACAGAACATAATGGGAAGCTTCATCAGTCGGAACCGAATAGTGGGGCCCAGAAAAAATAAAGTCATCTGCTCACATAGTTGTATTTGTTAACCTTTGGTTAGAATTTGGCATTGTCTCTGAGCTGAAGCAAGCAAAGGGCTGAAATACAAACTACAATTCTGTGGTAGAAATCAGTGCTCCTGATTTAAGTGGAGCCTGTGTACGTATTTTGTTACTGTTTTTTTTTTTTTTTCACTATTTCCTTTCTTTTTTCCCCCTCCCCAAGCAGGAGGCAGAACTTTGGTTTTGGAAGAAGAAGAAATAAGCAAAGTCCCAGGCTAGCAAGCAAGCCTGGGAGATGAAAGTAGTCCGCAGGGGTGATGGGAGGTAGGGGAGAAGAGTCTCTGCACGCACACGGTTGTGTCAGTGTCCACTCTAAAGTGGGGTGGGTGTGTGGGGACCCCAGCAGCATGAAAGGGTCAGGAAGCAACACATCAGTGAACGGAGGAGCGCAGGCTTGCCGATGCTTGTATGCAAGCAGTAGGTAAATGTGCATCCTCGGTTCCCTGGCACCTACCCTGTTATTCTCTGCTGTCATGCTACAATGACCGTAATAGGGATAACACACCGAGTCTGGAGTTAACGAAAATCTAACACTCATGAACGTCATCTAATGCCTTGTGGTATTGTGGGTGATAAAATAACTCTGGCTGGCCACAGAAGAATCTCCTTGGTGTTTTTAGTGACGAATGAAGCCCCGGTGGTACTACACGGCCCTCTCGGCTTCCTGCTGGTGAAGTCTTGGCTCCGGCTCTGGTTTAAATGCCATCAGCCACACCTTCCTCCTGACTGCAGGAAACTGCGATTGTTAAAATCAGGGCATGTTCCTGTTTAACTAAAAGGCTGAGATCAAATAAGCCAAAGGCCTCGGCAATGCCAAACGAATTCCTGCCCAGGACTTTGCAAGTCTGCACAGCTGTGGATCTGCGTAACGCCCCGACCTCGATCGTGTAAGTGACATCTCAGCATGTCACCCTGGGGAGCAGCTGGTTATAAGCTGATGACGCAAAGACTCAGGCAAATGTGGACAGGTAAATGCCAAATTTACTGACTCGTATCACTTAGCACAAAGGTCTTCAGTTTACCAACCATTGTACTGAAAGCAAACCGGTACGTTTTTCATATACCTACATGGGATCCTGGCTACTTCGAAAGCTTCTTTTCCAAATGTGAAATTTGTCAAAGCTGCTGCTTCTTCTCAAAATGCTAAACCCTCAGCAAGACGATTTCCAACAAAAGTCCATTTCAGCACAGAATTCCCAGCCAGCTTGATTCAAGAAATACCCCCTTAAACAATACCACGATAGCTCATCTGCTGGGACTGCTTCCCCTAACCTTCACCAACCAGAGGGTGATTCATTAAAATTATTTTAATCTGCTTGTTGTAAGTCAGCCTTAAAACCATCAGCAATGACAAAACTGCTTAATTCTTTGCTGTAGTAAAACAATTCTCTAAGTTAACTGCAAGTGAAGTAACGTTAGTTGTTAGCCTAGGGAAACTGGCAAGTTTTTAAAGTTTGCTTATTTAAAATCAATACAATTTTGCATATGGGAAGGCTGAATTAACTACAGGTTTAATAATTTGACCCAGATTGTACGTGGAATAAAGCTGATACAGAAATTTGGGAATTCCTTGCTCCCAGATTTTACTCAAGCTGTGCCTCTTGCTTAATTACACTCCTTATTGCCCAGAAGGCCCCCAGTCAATTAGCGAGACTTAATCGCCATCTGAAAGAGGAGCTGCCGGAGCAGCGTGGCTTTGGGAGGAAATTGGTAGGAAACAATTATTTAGAGGAGGTACTTCTTTCATTTTTGGAAGAAAAGCAGAAATACATCTTTGAAGCCTTCCTAGACGCCGACAGACAAGCTGCAGTCCTGCAGCGCCGTCCCAGTGAGCCCCAAAACTTGCAGGATTTTGGGAAGCTGGCAGCATGCAGCTCCCTAACAAGGATGGTTTCTGCTAACGCAGCCACCACAGTTCACAAGGGAATATCCTCCACATGCACAGTGCATTGTCTTATGCTGTGACAATAATAGAAAAGCTACTGAGTCACAACAAACATTTAGGTTCAGTGTGTGTATATTTTTGTTTTCCTGAAAGGTTTATTGTTACCCAGACAAGTTTCATTAGTAATGCCAGGGAAATGGCTTCTGCGGTGGTTTCAGTAACTCCTCGCTTTGAGTGGCTCCAACACCCTCACCCTCACCCACGTCTCTGCCAGCCCAGCACATGCACACGCTGATCCTCTCGCTGTGGTCCCTGCCGGCAGGAGGAAGAAAGGGGAAGGCATAAAAATGGCAATAAAACCCCTTTCTGGAGCAGTTTTAAACTTGGTTCTGACCTGCTCAGGTGCGCCCAGCTGACTGCTCACAAGTTCCCTCTGCTCTCCCCCTGCTGCGGGGCCGTTCAGGTGCTGGGGTGGGTGCTCAGTCCCCAAGGGTGGCCCAGGGGAAGGAGCTGGCACTGAGATCAAAAACGAGAGGCGTGGATTAGTTCCCAACAACCGTCAGGGATGTACTGGTGTTGAGTAGTCGGATTTGCATAAAATACTTGCATGCTCTGTAGCAATCCAGCCCACACAAAAAGCAGGCACCGAAATGGAAACCTGCAGGTGAAAAACCTGGCTGCCCCTCCGGAGAGCTGCAGTCCTGGCATTTTCCCTGCGAAGTCTAAGAAAATCCCAGCTGGAAGAACCGAGCTCCTCTTCAGAGGGGTGGCACCACGTTAGCGTGCAAGCTGCTTCCAAGCAGAGCGTGTGCCCCACGCTGAAGCTGGGTTCAAGGAATTTGGCATCCTGACTCCAGCTCTGCCTTGTAGCCCTCCCAGGGAAGGGAGGCTGCTGAGGTCTGGGCAGGGGCGAGCGGGCAGGCTCCTGAGCTGCAGGTTGTGCTCGGTTCCAAAGCGAAGGAGCTGAGACAAAAGTAATTATTTCAGCTATTAGCTGCTAAGAATAGAGCCCGCGGGGGTGCTGTGCATGGCTGAGGTGCACTGACAGCACAGTTGGAGGTAGCAGGGATGGCGGTGGAAGCCCAGAAATAGCCGCTCAGCACTTTGAAGCTGCGTGAGTCACCAAAATACATGGTGGGGGGACAGGCAGGGGGGAGAGGAAATTACCCCCAGCCCGTACATGCGGAGCAGAACATGCCCCTGGGCTGAACGCTGGGTTTTCTGGGGGGAGAGCAGCGTTTCTGACCAAGGAGGGCATCCTCCTGCCCCAGCAGATGTCCAGCACGAGCCCACCCAAGGGGCAGCCCGGCCCTAGCCCTGTGTGGCCCCCCCAGGTCTCAGCCCCGTGCTCGGGCTCCGTCTCTCAGTGGTTCTCGAATATTTGCGAAAGCCAAACATTGCCGGGGAAGGGGTGGCGGGGCGGGGGAATGGAGTGATCTCGGTCCAGCTGTGTTTCATTGTGTTTTCCCAACTGCTAATCTCACTTAAAGTTCCCTTTACAAATACCTGATAAATGGTTAAACGCATGAACAGCAGGTATTTAAATACAGGACTGGTAAATGACCAGGTGCTGGGCTGGCGGCTCACACACACCTTTACCGTCGCGTCCCGGTGCTGCTCAGGACAAATCGTGGCAATACCACTTCGTGTTTTTCCTCAATATAGTTGTAAGAGGCAATTTTCCTTTCGTGCTGTTTGTGCAGCTCTGGGTACAACACATTCCTGATCTATGACTAGGATTCCAAACTGCATAGTAAAATGAATAATAATGATAGTAAAAGTTGTACAACTGTTTTTATGCGGCAATCTTTGTGTTGCTTTAGTGCTGGGTTTTCCCAGCCTTTGTACATGCAATTAAAAAAGAAAAAAAAAAATCTATTTTGTAAAAAACACCATACCCAACCCAAACCAGGACAAAACAACAACAACAAAAAACAAAACAAAACCCCACAATCTCAAATTTAAAAGATTTCTTTCGTATCAGTCCCGGGTGCAACTACAGAAAGTCAAGCTGGGCAGAATTAAACATCGCAGCTGGAGCACGGACAGGGCAGCAGACATGCTAAAAATAGATTAATCCTAATTACAGCCACACTTCTACTTTTTCAGGGTTTCCCGTTTCACATGGGGACACGAGGCTGTGAATGGACGGGGGGTCAGAGCCTGCTGCAGCAGGCGAGGGGCCAGGGTCGCACGGTGCCGGGTCGTGCCGGGCTCCAGCCAGGCGCCGTCCTTTGGGGGCAGCGGGTGTTGGTGGCAGCCCCCTCCTCACCCACCTCGGGCTGCCCCGGCTCGGGACGGGCTGACACGGTCTGGCCTCAGCCTCCTGCCCTGGCTCTCCGCAGTTGGCAAAAGCAGGAGAAACAGCCCAAGCAAACCGCTGGAAAATAGGGTCAGGTAACATGCGGGTTTGGGGTTGGAAATGTAAAAGATCACAGCCTGCCTGCAGGCTTCTTTTGCTGCCCGCAGCCCCCCGAGGATTATGCTCCTGGAACGGGTTGCACGGCGTGGTTAAAGCCCCGAGGAGGGTCCCTGGTGCCAGTGCATCCCATAGGACTCCAGAGGAATGTCCGTAAATCCCTGCTTGTTTATTTATGACAGCAGGCGTATAGAGAGCCGACCTACTACCTCATAAGCAGAATTACGAAATATTTAGATAAAAATACACATATTTAAGACTCTGCTTTCCAAACAACAGGAGTTCTTTTCTCACATAAACCCAATGAAACTATGGAAAACAACTATTTTCCCACCCTGAAGATGTCTGTTAATTACCAATTTAAATATTTAGCCAGAAAATGTATTGCTATAATTACGTAGTTTTATCAGAAAGCAGGACTTAATGCAGTAATCACAAGGTGAGCAGGAGGGATGCATTTGGGTCTGCACAGATCGCCGCTGTGGTGACAAACAGCCAGCAACTGGAAGCCCTTCTGGGCCACTAAAACAAGAGAAAACTTCATCAAACATTTCCTCAGGATCTAGGATTTACATAACTGAGAAACAAAGCTCCCACAACTACAGGGGAAACACCGAGGATTCCATTCAAAGCACCTAACTGAGCTTGTTTGGATGCCGTAGAAAAAATAGAGCAAGTCCTGACAAATTTTAGGATTCAGCCATCAAAGCGGGCAGGATCCGAGCGCTGTCAGCACCACGCCGAGGTCGGCCGGGCAGGCGGCACCAGGGCGGAGAGAAATTCTGGTGGGGAAGGAGGCAGGCATCTGTCTGGGAAAACCTCCCTTGTTTTGAGCATTGGTAAATACTATTTTTCTTAACAGCTTTTGAGAGATTTCATTATACATTTTTGGCATTCATCTCCCCATTGAAGCGAAGATCTGGGATTCAGGGCTGCTTTGTCACATTCTTTCATTAAATGGGAAATACCCTCTCCAGAACGGCCGTACCGCTGGGCTTAGGGCTGCTCACCTGGGCTGACAGAAATTCATCTGCACGTCCCTGGTTTGATTCTCACACAAGATGGCCACACGCATTGAGTCTGCCGTGTCCCGGCTGCCCTTGGAGCAGTTTTTGGCTGTTCTGCAGCCCAGGGCTGTCAGTCCTGCTGCCTCCTCCCAACTTGCTGAAGCTACGTCCTGGATACAGGAAAACCTCCTATTAAAAGTTTCACCAACCTTCATGACAAAGCAAAACTTTCCAGTTGGGAGAAAAAAAAAAAAGGGGGGGGGGGGACCTCTGATTAGGGACTTTTCCAGGCAGCTTTCTCAGCACCACTGTCCCTCACCTGAAGCAAGACCTCTGCCTCCTGCCCGTGCTTTGCAGGATACCCAAGCAGAAAGGCAGCTCGAGTGAAAAGCAGCCTGGTGGTCCCTTAGAGACCCACGGACACGAGGGCTCCTCTCACTGAATATGCCTGGAATGAAATTGTGATATATTCAGAGTGGTTTCATTCAGCTCAGCTGAATAAACCCTCACCATCACTAACCGGGGCGTTTTTGCCTTTCATGCTGGTTCTGATGCTGGCAAGTCCTGCCTGAGTTTTGTAGCTTCCTGCTGTCTCGTCCTTGAAACTGGGATTGTAAATTATTTTGGCTGGTGATAAACTGTCTTTGCTTGTACAGCACTGAGCCACTCTGGCCCCTGGGTCCCGGCTGAGGCTTCTCACCGCTTCTAAAAATAAGTAATTATAAGGTATTATCTCTTAAAAATACTTGTTAAAAAGAGGAAGCAAGAAGAGACTCATTTCCCATCTGTTCTCTCCCCAAACTACCAACACATTTTAAAAAATCTGCTTCTAAATTGTCTTTTTGGTCAGTTCTCTTCTGTAGCCGTTCTTAAAATAAGGGTGCACAACAGTTTAAAAGTTAGGATGGGTACTTTGCACTTAGAAAACAAGATTCATTTGGATACCACAATTAAGTTCTAAAATCCAAATTACCATTAACAGAATAAAAATAAATCACAAAAATATTTTTGTGCAAGAGCTGGTTATTTTTCCCAGCCCAGAACTATTTTGCAAACCACTCTTGATTAGAAGTTGAATTTTCTAATTTTTTCTTCCTAAGAAAAAAATAGATATAGTGTTTTTCAGTATATTTTCATTATTCTTATTTGACCAATTCTGATTAGTCATATCAGTCTGCCTGTAGATTTTCTTCCCTTTCCAAAACGTGATACCTTTGCTTTGAGTGCTTTGGATAATTCGTAAAGTAGAAAAAAAAAAAATTAAACATTACAAAACAAAACAGATGAAAACACTTTCAGCTTTGCTCATGTCCCTGCCAACTATTTTTCTTTTTAAAGAAAACAAAAAACAAACCAGCCCCTTCTCAGCCCGTACAGGACTGTATCATTTTACTGCTTTAAAGGGGAAAGCACGGCCGAGGATGAGCGCTCAGCCCGCTGGCAGCGCCAGCACCAACGGGACAGCAAGGACAGGGTTTAAGCCTCTGAGCCAGCCTCTAATGCTGTTTCTCCCCCCAAAAATAAAGCATTAAGAATATATTGTAACTAATATATTAAGTTTGAAGCCTTTTTTAAACAACTGTTTTGAACAGCACACCAAAGATCAACCATATTATTAAGAGATTAATAGCGTGAACACGATTTATTTGCCTGTTGGCTGTGCTGGACACAGGCCACCACTTTTTAATTTTAATTTTTTTCCCACACTGTCATTTTGTGTTCCTCACAACCAGGCCTGGAAAAGGAGGCATTTAATACTTCAAAAAGACAAGAGTAGTATTTCTAGCAGGCCTTTACCTCCTTCTCATTTATACCTGTGCTGAGCAGTTTCTCTCTTTGGAAGTCAGCAATAGCTCGGTGCACTTTAACACACCGAAACCAGCCTGGCAGAAACTCGCCTTGTGAGGCTTTTGTGCTGCCATCCACTGCCGCATTCTCTGAGCAGGTTACTGTGAAAGATAAATAGCCGAGTCCCGAAGTGATTTAATGGAGTTTCCAAAACCTTCTGTCAGTAAAAGCTCCGCTTGGTGTAGGAACTTTACACTTTTTTTTTTTTTTTTTAACTGTAACTCACTCCAGGCTTCATTTGCCCCTTTGATGGGTTTTTCTCCCACAGGAAGGTTTTTCACCAAGTTGTTGAGATGATTGTGTTCCAGGTACGCTCAGGGCTGCCAGAAGTGTTGCATCACTTGCGGGTCGGGCAGATCCCATGGGTTGCGTTGGCTCCATCCCTCTGGGGAAGGTGGGGACCATTTTCTGCACAGCATCACCTCGAGCTCTCCTGAGTCCAGCTGAAGCCATCTGCTTTGCCTCCAGCACACAGCTCATATCAGCAGTCACAAAAACACTGTCTTTCTGCACTACTAAAGCCGTTTCTAAATGCTGTATTTGTCCTGGGTTTTCTGCCCTAGGTTGTCGAAGCTTGCTACAGTGCTGAGGACCGGCAGATGCCCGTGGGCTGATAGTTTATGCTTCAGAGTTCAGCTGAAGGAACTCTATTTTGGAGGAATAGATGAGCTTTCTCTTTTCCCACAGCAATAGCAAACATTCCCCTCTGCTCTATGTGCTGTGGTTTCGAACATATCCAGCAGACTTGGACCCTGGCTCTCAACATACAGACCTTGGTGCTGCAGTGTGGACCTTCCTGCTCAGGTCCCCACGCTGCACTTGGAGGCCAGGGAGCCACCTGGGGGTCCCTTGGGAGCCCATAGCGGGTCACTTGTCCCTGGCCAGCTCCTCAATACAGGCCGATATGGGCCGGGAAGCCTGGGGGAGTTGCCGCAGGCTGCAGGCCAGAAGATGGCCGCCGCTCGGCCTCCGTCACCTCAGTGTGCCGTGAGGCGAGGGCTCGCCACGGCGTGAGGTGCACTTCATGCGCTGCTGTCCTGGGTTCACCCACAGCCCTATTTTCCACACGTAACCATGGTAACCCGAATTATCTTGCAGAGGTGTGCATTAGCCCTGTTTGCCGCAACCGCACATCGAAGCCCACCGCTGGGCACGCTCCGCTCACTGGTGGATGTGAGGTGCCTGAAGCCGTGCGGAATGGGAGGTCGCCTTTGCCATTACAACACGATCCCAGCGAGGGCAGAGCAGGAGGTGGAGAGAAGGAAGAGGAAGAGTAGGAATGCCAGAGCGGTTCAGGCACAATGCTGGCTCTCAGCAATATGATTAGTTACTTGGCAACGAGAGCAAGGTGTGTCAGAGGGGATGGGACACAAACACGCCAGCCCCAGCAACAGCTCCAGAAGAGAGGAAACTCACGGCCAGTACGGCTCGCCTGGTTTTGCCATGGAGCACATAAAAGGCAAGAATTAAGTAACACCTGGAAGCAACCTCCCACCGAGCACATTATAAAACAGCGTCAGGTCCCTTGCTGCCCATTCTCAGAAAATGTTTTTGAAGCAACAGCACTTGGTTCACCAGAAAGAAAGTTGCCTGTCCTGACCCTCTGCCTACACGGAGCCGTCTCACCCAGCTAGGGAGAGCACAGATGCCTCCATCGTTTAGGCTGTCCCGAGGGATTTCATGGTTGCCACAGCTCTGGAGGTGCTGCGGATCGGCTCGATCCTAACAAATGGCATTCCTCAAAAGAGGAAAAGGCCTCCAGATTTCCTGAGACCTAAATCATTGGAAAGCCTGCTGCATTGTACACAGAATTATCAGCCCCAAGAAGTTAAAAAGCAGAAGTCAAAACCAAAGAGAGACTTAAAAAGTTTTCCTCATAAATTCTTTTAAATCAAGATAAAGGGAAGAGACACACACGCGTCTTAAATAATGAAAAGAAAATGGATTCTAAAATTATTATTGAGTGGATTCTAACTCAGTAGTAATATTAGAAGAAAAGTCATTTCTGAGCAGTCAGGGACTGCTGAGCTGACAGGCTTACACTGCAACTGTCCTGGTTGCATTGAGGCACCAAGACTTGAATTCCAGTTTATTTTAAATTGAATATTTCACCTCACTCAAGAAGGAGGACAAAAAACACACCTATATTCTTTTGTAAACATATAAACATAGTTTCCATACTCGTTTCTTTGTTGCACAACAGTACTAGAAGGGTTGGTTTCATCTCTGAGGCAAAGGATTGCACAGAAAAGCAAAGGCTGCTGTAAATGAGCTATCGAGCATCACCTACACACCAGCAGAGCTGCCCAGGAGATGCGATGGGCACCCAGACCAGGCTATTAACTCCGAAGGACTGGCAGCCAAAGCAAGCAATGCCTGGGGAAACAGTGTGCTGGATGAGGCATGCAAGTGGCACGTCAGCATATGGTGGTAATTCTGCCTCCCAGTGAAAGGACACAAGGAAATTCTGCATGCTTCGGGGCAGCGAGGCAAGCTGTGACTCCAAGAACAGCATCTGCATTAACCTTGCTGCTCTGTTTTGATCATTTTCCTACAGTCCCCAAACGACCACAGCCTAGTAACAGAGCTTCTCTCCTTTTGGAAACACTGTCTCGCTTTACTGCCCACATCTGTAGGACAGTTAGCTTTCAAAGAGGTAAATCTACAGCAGGGTAAAAGGTCCAGGGTATTTATAAGAAGTCAAGGAGTCTGTGAAATGGAAGCTTGTGTGGGAAACTGTCTTCTGGCATTTAGCATACCCTGTTTCCATCAGTAATAAGTCTTGGGTGAGAAGAGGGAGATGCTGAAGGGGAATATAGGGAAACAGCTTGGATATGACAGGTGAAAATAAGGCCATCAGAGCTGCACATCAACGAGCCAAGAATGAGCGAGACCTAAGTCTCAGCCTTCCCTCTGACACACGCTCTTTCAACAGGGCTACCTGGGGGAGCCCTGGGCTCCCCGAGGGTTTGCTTTTCAGCTTCTAAGAGCCTCCCTCCTTAGCAATGCCCTCTCCGAGATGCAGCGAATGCTTTCTGCAATGTCAGCCTGGAGACCTGCGGCTGCCGTGCTGGAGCTGGGAGCTGGAGGCTTCCTCCAGCAGCTGGGAGGGGGCACATGGGCAAGGGCAGCAGCAGAAGGCACCCATTTTGCCCTGACTCCTGCGAGTGCGCATTTGCTTCTGCACAGCCTCACTACCAAACCCGCTGAAATCCAGGTTATATAATGCCACTGCTGCCTCGAAACAGGGAGGTTAAAATGAGGTCGTCCAAGATGAGAGCTGACTGTGGCCTGCAGCCGGCTCTGGAGGACGATCTGCTGCCTGGACCGGACCCTGGGCGGAGGGGAAAACCAAAATGCTGGGTGCTGGAGTGTGCATTAACACGCAGCCAGGATGCTGAAAGTCACTTGAGCATTCAGGGTGTGGAGAATGAGCTGGCAGCATTTGGAGATGGTACAAAACCAGCGGGGCTCATCCACAGTAAAACAGGGAGGAGTAAAGGAAGGATCTCACAATAGGCAGTGGGCTGGGGAAAAAAACAAACTGATTGACTTCAGAATTTGTAGGAATGCTCAAAGGGATAGGTTAAAAAATGTACCCCTAACTGAAGGCTTCCAAGTGTGATGTGGGAACGACGGTAGATAGGTAGATAAATGCTGTGCCTGCTGGCTTCCCGAGGTGCTCCCTGCCAGGCAGGGGAAAAGGCCAGCTCTTGGCATGATGGATTTGTGCAGCCCCGGCAGGGCAGGGCTAACTCTTGCCTTTGCATCATTCTGTTTACGTGACGAACTGTACTGAGCAGGCAGCGTGACAGTCCACGGTCACAGGGCACCGTGAAACTGCAGGACGCTGGATAAACACTCCAGAGAGCAGCTTTGTGTTGCATCCAGCCCCAGGTCTTACTCATTTCACAGTCCAGCGTAGCCAGCACCATTAAAACATTTTAAAGGGTGCAAGTTGTACTTTCTTTCCATCAACGTTGTACAACTGGTATGCTGTGGAAAAGCCACCACATGAAAGTGGACCCAGGTAAGAAAGCATAGGACCATAATAGAAATGTGAAGTCCTGCTTTAAAGGCAGATATTTATTTTCCAGAAAACTAGTGCAATTCCTACAGAACAAAGAACAAAAGCTTCCTTCTGTAAACCCATTTCACAGAGACCACGAGGTGGGGAAATCTATCACGCTTAGGTAACTGGTATTTGAAGGGAGCTACTTTGAGTAGCGCAGGGTTAGTGTGCCAGTGAGCTTCAGCACTGCACATTTAGTCGTTCAATGACTGGAGTCCCTAAAAACAACACACAGATGCCTTACAACTTTGGACCATTGCAAAGAAAAAGAGACAGAAGTCATGTTTCAAGGGCACGAAAGTTTGATTGAGAAAGACTTAGTGCCTTCTAATAGAAAGGAAAAAAAATACCTGTCTTCCATTTCCATGGTAACTCCTTCCTTCAAAGCACTTTTAAGTTGTTTCCTGTTCCTCTAGCTTCTTTGCAGGCTTTAGAACAGAACAGTCAAGGCTGGAGAGCTGGTAGCACACCTGCAGCAGGACGGCAGATGAGAAACTACATCTTCCTCTCTGACAGCACGTGATGAGCTGAGCTTCTGTCCCACCAGGGAGACATCTGTGTTACCATCGCTAAACTGAATGTTTACCGACTGCAGAAAAAAACAAACTACCTTTCTGCAGACAACAGCAAGAAGGGATCAGCACTGCTCCAGCCTCTCTCCTTGCAGGAGCTGGTGCATGTGAGTTACACAAGTTGCTTCTAGTAGAGGTCCCATCTCAGGAAGGAGTCCTGTGGTTATACTCCAAAGGACGCTGGTTTGTAAGGGTAATATTTTTATAGGCAACCATCCGTGTCAGCCTTTGCTGCTCTTAGCATCAGCACACCCTTCTGTGTTACTTGCCTTTTGTTTTTCAAAGGAGGTAGGCAGGCTGAGAACTCAGAAGGGCCAGCCAGGGCCATGCAGTCCTCTAAGCCCTGCTCCAGTCTGACAGCGATCCTAAGGCAAGGAATTATCTCGAGTAAAATACTCGCTCAAATGGACCATGAACACAGCTGCAGGATACTTTGCTAGCAGCTGATAATGTAGGTAAGAAGTGTTTTGTCAGATGGGCAGCGTATGAAAATAAGTCTGAGCAAAAGAAACTTAAGCCTCTTAAATATTAAAGTTCCAAAATTAAACCCTTGTTTATATAACGATTGGGTCACTGCAGCAGAACACGGGAGTTGGCAGCATTGTACCAAAAAAGGCACTGCGAAGCGCAGACCTTTCCACGGGGCACCGAGTCTCCTGCAGAAGCAGCCTCTGCGGTGGGGGATTTCTGCTCATTTCTGTCTCTCCTGGGCCCCCTGCCCCATTAATATCCACACCTGATCCACTCGCTCAGCCTGCACAGCGTGGTCTTATGCAGCAACCCCGTGAGCTCCAACGCCGGCCGGGCTCTGCGCAGGCAGGGAGCTGCTCCGGAGCCACCTCCAACACAAATCCAGCTGGTTTCGGCTGCCCTCCACCTCTGCAGGGCGGGGATCCAGGTCTTCTGGGTACCTGCAAACAAAGGGCTGCCTTGAGAATTAACCCTAAAACTGATCCTCATCCTTGCTGCTCATTAAAACCTCCACTGGGGTGAATGGGTTGGAAAAGCAGGCGTGCTGCTGCTAAAGGTGCTAAGTGCAGATCCTTCTCAGCGCCTTTCTCAAGTCTGTCCTGTTGCACTGTCCTCTTCTATCGAGCGGGTCAATTTGTAGACCACAAGTCCAATTTTGTGGATTTAAACAATGATGCAAGCTGTATTTTTTTTTCTTTTCAGAATAAGGAATGAAACTGGTAATGAAGTCTCTAGAAACACTCCAGAAAACAACGCAGTAATGTGAGAAATGCAGCTTGGCATAACTTTAGGAGAAAAAGTAGGCAGGAATCAAATACCTCTGCTGCTTTAGCTTGGCTAATTGCAAATGATACCACAACAAACTACAAGTAAGAAAAATATAGAAAATAACTTTATGAAGCTCTTCTATTGCAGAGTATCTTTAAAAAGCCTTCTAGAAAGCCCTTTATCATGTTACTAAGCACACCTTTATTTATTATTTTGTAAGAAAAAAGCACAGAAGAACTTAATCCAAACTAAATATTTAACCAAACAGCAATTAACTAACAATGATGAATGGTAAACAGTCCTAGTCCCAGGCTAAACCGGGACTTTAAAGCCTGTTTATCTGGGCTAAAGCTGCCCGAGGGAAAGGCAACTTTATTGAGTAAAGTTTGTCTCTGCCACCTCGCTATTAAAAGAGTCTACAAACAGAAACGACATCATACGTTCTGAAAAGAAAAAAAAAAAGAAAAAGAACATAACAACCCATTGCCTAGAACATACAATGCTTTATGGAACAATTATCCCTAAATAGAAAAGCAGAGAAAGCACGAAGCTGCAAAGCAGCCACTGTCAACCTCCGTGGCCTTCCGTTAAAGCAGAAATGAGCGAGAGACCCCCTCAAGCCCACCTCCTGCTCTCATTTAGCCCTGGCTGGACGGTCCCACTTATCTGCTAGGAAGGAGTGAGCCTGGGCAGAGTTGCCCGAGACTTTATCTGTGCAGGTCCACGTGTTTAAACGCAACAGAATTAGCTTTTATTATTATTATTATTATTATTATATATTGTTCTTATGCATATCTATTCTTCTTATATATATTATGTATACCTATTATTCTTATATATAATTGTTATTATTATATTAAATGCAAGATAATTAGCTTTTTATTACTATTCTTACATATATTTATTATTCTTATGCATACCTATTATTCTTATATATATTATGTGTATCTGTTATTATTATTGCTGTTATGGGATGGGATGGGACGTGCAGGGGGTGGGCTGGGATTGGATGTGCGCGGGCTGTGCACACCCGGGATGCTCCCGGGCTGTGCCGTGCCGCAGCCCCCCCCGCAGCCCCGTTCCCCCTCGTGTCCCCCCCTGCATCCCTCCCATATCCCCCCCACTCCCCCCCCCGGTACCTGCCTGGCTGCTCGCAGCATCCCCACGGCTCCGGGGGGGGGGGGGGGGAGACCAGCAGCGGCTGCCCCTGGCCGTGCAGGATTCAGCCGGAGCAGGAACGGAGGCGGGGGGGCGGTAGCGGGACCCCCCCTGGGGCCCCCGGTGCCCCCCCAACCCCGGCTCGATGCGGCCAAGGTGACCCCGCGCCGCCTGCAGCTCCCGGGAGGCGCCGGGCATCGGCCCCCCCCCGGGCCCGGCTGGATGGGGGGGCCGGGGGGGCCGTCGGACGGGCGGAGGCAGAGCTCCTCGCTGCCCGGGGTGCTCCTTCTCGGCCGCATTTTCCTATTCTTGCACATAGGACCCGGGGTGTCCTGGCCCAGGAATGCCTGAGAAAGCTTTAAAAATCCGGAACGGGAGAGGCAAACCTATTTTGGGATCTTCTTCAATAAATACGTTAAAAAAATAAAAATAAAATAAAAGAGCAGCAGGAGGAGGAATCCGTTTGTGAAGGTTGGTTTTGAAGCGCTGCTCGCTCTCTCCAGTTCTGCAGCTACTCCGTGTGTCACCGCGCGTCTCCGTGGCCACCTTCCAGCACCTCCACAGTCATTAGTGGGTATTATTCGCGCTCCCTCCTAGGAAGCAGGGGGATAATCATTCCCCATTTAACGGATGGGAAACTTGGCACAGCACAGATTAAGTGATTTGCTGACAGGCACATAAGAAAATTGCGCTAGTCAAGCATTCTCTCAATTATGCCATCCTTGTAACTGCATAATTTCCCTCTGCGATTCCAAACACGGAGCAAACTCCCCGTGTCGGGCTGCAGCTCTGCCTGCAAAGCGTGCGGCCAGCGTTAGCACCCACGCATTCACGGCAGGATGGGTTACACCACGCTGCATGCTCAGCACAGAATAGCAGTCTTGGTGGTCCCCCGGGCTGTGTCAAAGCATTTCAGGTCTGTCCCATGCAGGTGTGGAGCCAGGGGACCGAGGGATGCTCGGCTGCATGGGTGCTGCACAGCCCCCTGCCAATACTCATGGCTGGAGCCGAGCACTGCTTCACGCCTGGCAATTCACATGGAAGCACACGAGGGTCCCTCAGCTCCTTCCACAGCCCTGCAAAAATCCTATAGCCAGCCCAGAGGGGAGAACAAACCAGGATCCAGGATCCTTGGGGTTTGGGTGCTGCAGCCCCCACGCAGCGAGCCCCCGGTGTTCCCACCCGGCCTCCTGCAGCACCCGCTGCCGCCTGGGCCGCGGGCTCTTCGGGCTCCCCTGCCCTCGTTTGAATTGGCCCGGCCTGCCCGGCCTCGTAATCTGCTGCTAAGTGGGACTGCCGATGAACGGCGAGATAAATTTAGAAAGAAATCTTTGTGTGGGTCAGAGGAAAAACACCGCGGCCGCTGGAATCCGAGCTGTGGCGCTGCGGCCTGGTTCCCCTCGGTGCTCCTGCCTTCTGCCAGGGCTTCGTGCTGAGCTCCTTGATGGGGAAGCAGGAGGGCCCTCAGGGCTTTCAGGTTTTCCTAAACTCCTCTGGAGATGGCAAACCAAGGAGTCCTGCAGGTACAAATGATTACTTTTAATGCATATTTGTGGAGAAGGTTGAGAGGGCCAGAGAGCCGTGGGCTCCACGCTGCCCCAGCTCCAACCCTTCAGCCTCTTCCACAGCAAGTTTGCTTCCCCCGGGATTTGTTTATACACCACAGGAGGGAGGGCAGTTTTACTTAATTCCTCTCTCAGAAGCATCAGACTTCTGCCAGCCACGCCAGAGCAGCATTGTTCCTTCGGAATTGCTTCTGTTAATCTGTTAAATTGTTTTCAAACAAGAAAAAATAATGGAATTAGTGGTGCAAAATCCCCCGTGAAATCTGGAATCCAGTGCCACTTTCCTTACTGAAAGTCTGAACACCGTTCAAAACCATTTTATCATTTGCTCATAAATTATAGTGTACCAACACAAGGAAAGAAAAATAATTTTCTGAATGATTTTCCTTTAATAAGCTATTAGGACCTTGTACTGTTAATTAAACTATTAATTAGATGTCTTATCATTCCTAAACACGTTAACATGTTGCCAAAGCTGCAATGAGCCTCTAGGGCAGGCAAAAGATAAGAAAAGAAGGAAGATGCAAACATAAAAATTAAAAAAATGAAGAAATAATAATCACAATTAAAAGAACCAGAAATAGCAAATAAATAATGCAGGCTAAGTAAAGCATTGTTTAATTTACAGGAATAAAATAAAAAAAGTGCAACCTGAAAACAAACTTGCCTTGTAGAGGCCCTTGGGACAGCTTTTATGCAAGACAAAAGAAGCGTAGCTGTCTTCAGGCTGTTTGTTTTCTACAAGTAGAGTGAGAAGACAGAGCTAGGCTCCTTTTTCCCCAACAAAATAGCTTTCTATTAAAAAATAACAGATAAACTTTCAACATTTTTTTTCCAAGAAGCCCTGTCCCGTGCCCTGTTCTGTCCCTGCTTGGGGGGGTGATTCACGCCTTACACCGATCTGTGCTCAGCTGCGGCTCCGTGCTGGGGCTCACAGCAACAGTGTGCTAAAGTGGTTTTAAAGCCCAACTCTTCAGCGTTCGTCTTTGACAGTTTATCTCGAGGGACAGATAATCTCATTTATGTCTGCTACTACAAATCAAAACACCGGCAAATTAAATGGATCTGAAGGCTAAGATTAAAGCCTTAGAATTAAAACACCTGTGAGGCGTTTGCAACACCAATAGTTGTAAATATTATAATTATTTTTTTTCCTAGGGGATGGAAAAGCTCCACACAAACACTGCTCCTGAAGGTGAAGGCAGAGCTGCTGTCTCACCACACGCAGGTACTCATGGCACTACACAGCTCAACTGTGGTGCAACACAGGGCACCCAGGGGCTGCAGCGCCGTGCCCAGGGTTGGTCGGTCACAGGAGCCCCTACGTTCCTCAGCTGGCTCCTTGTTTTTTTCTGTCAGGCGCCTGGAGTTGGACCCAGGACATTTTGGGAAGCTGCCTGCATTTCTGCCTTCACGGCGCTGGGGCTGCAAAGCTCGCGGGGCCTGGCGACTGATGGAGCAGTGCCCGTCGCAGACCTCCCACACCACTCCTGCACAACACGGCTCGCAACAAGCAGGTGTAAAAATGCATCGATGGGGAATTCATTTTAGAAATTTCATCTCAGGTGTTCCCAGCTCCTAGAATATCAGCTTCAAAGCCTGTTGTACGTGTGTATTTCTTGCATGATTTCATATGCTACAGACACCTCTGGGGGGAATGTCCTGCACCCCAGGGCGCAGCAGACAGTGGAGCAGGAGTGGGAGCTGCTTCTGTCTGGGCGCCCACACCATTGCCCAAATACCAGCCCCATTCTGGAGCAAGGCGTTAAATGTTTTAGCAAAGCACAGCCAGCAGATAGCAGCATTGCTATACGTATGTATGTATATACCTCAGGCTGCTCCTGCTGCGGTTTCAAAGTCACGCAGGAACTTCAGTGATGGCCTGAGCCCTGGCTCCGCTCTGTGGTGGGCAGCCACACAGCAAGCATCCGATCTGGCTGCAGCATGTGCTGGGGCTTCAAACACTTACCTGTTAAAATTAATGAGGAATAGTACTTCTGCACCCTCTAAACTAAATTGCCGTGAACAGAGGAATGTGGTGCTTGGTGGGTGCTACAGGACAGCACCATGAGGACATGCTTGTGAGTGACAGATCCTGCCACTGAGGGGCCTTTGCCGCCAGAACAGGTCTTCCCCATGCTACATCAATGAAAAAGAAAGAAAGAACCAGCAGCAGAGAAAGGAAATGCTTTTCCCTGGCCTGGGACTTTCTGCTTTGCTGTGAAGGGTTTGCGGTGCTGATGGGCAGGAGTCTGCTCACCTGAGAGGGCTGTGCTGTTTTTACTGTGCTCGACCTGGAAGATATAGTTCATAACGCAATTACAGAATTACAGAATCATTTAGGTTGGAAAAGACCTCTAAGATCATCAAGTCCAACTGTTAAATTAAAGCTTGTTTGCTCTGATAAATTTGATTGCTTTCAGCAGTGCACAGAGCAAGCTATAAAGTTCTCAGTAGCACTTTACGGCCATTCCTATACAAAGGTGTTCCTTTACTCCTGAAAAAAGTCTGCGATTCCAGCCTCGGGAAGGACTTGGGGCTGCCTGGATGGGTGCCAGAGCCTCTGGTTCAGGCTGGGACACGGACATGACATTTAATGGCTGTGTCACTGCTGAGCCACCCATAAATGGGGCAGTATCTCCATCTATACTCAGCAGAAGTTCTGTGAGGCTTAAAGCACTTCAAAGCACCAGGACGGAGGTATTACATGTAGAATAAAACAAACAAAAAACTCAACTTGCACCCAGTTTTAAACGCTCCCTATGTTGCTGGCACTTGTTCATGTTGTTCATGTCACCCCAGCTGACACTGAAATGCAGCCACCATTAAGCTGCAACACGAGATATTTATATTTGTATTTAACACCTTGTATTTACATTTGCCACCCCTCTTTCCCAGAGGATGCTTTCATGCCGATTATTTTCAGCGGGGCACTTGATGCCGCTAGGAGAGCTCCCAGCAGCTACAGAGACCCTGCACACACCGGAGATGAGCAGGACAAGAGCATGAAGCAGGGACAGCCCTGAACCCTGCTCTCCGGTGGCCGAGCGAGGTGCTGGGGGAAGCCGAGGCAGATTTGGCGACCGCTAACAGAAGAAAAGCCGGCGGCAGCGCAGCAGCTGCACGGCCCTGCAAGGGCTGGCGGCGGGGCCGGCAAGGAAGGGATGCGAGGGGGTTGATAAGGAAGGAATAACAACAAGCCCTCGGTTTGGCCGGGGCTGAGCCCGCCTGTGTTTGCACATGGGCAGAAAGCTTCCTGAGCCGTTGTGCAGCCCTTTCCGCCGGGCTCGCTCCCTCGCTCCCTGCCCGGCCACGGCGCACTCAGCATTTCCTCCCATCAGGATGTTTTAGAGAATGCTTTTGTTTTGCCACATCAATTGACCGCGGTTTTATTGTCTCGGTTTGGCTGTCGGACATACCCTGAGCTGTGAAAAATGCACCTGACTTTTGATTAGATCTCTCACTTGTGATGCAGCAAATAGTGCTGATTAGATAAACAGCTGCCAAAAGGGAAAAGAAAAAAAAAAAAGCAACACAGCAACACATCTCACACACAAAAAGCGCACACCTACCCCCGTTCTGTGCTGCTGCAACAATGAAGCCTCCAGGAGAGCGTCCCCTGTGCTCTGCGGGGGTCGGGGCTCCCAGGAAAGGCATTTCATTTCCCCACAGCCCATCGCTGGGATGTTGAATGACCCTGGAGAGCCCTACCAGTAACTTTTGATGGCACCGCCTGCATAGCAATTAAAAGCATTTGGTGTAGAAAATGTGAGAAAAAAATGTGAGAAGGCACGGGAGCTGCAGGAAGAAGGGATTTAAGTGACCACCGTGCATGCCTTTTGCTGGGGCAGGGTGTGCAGGGACCCAGCCAGCTCCTCCTGCAGCCAGACACCGAGCATCAGACAGCAGCTCTCGGGGCTACAAAGAGCAATTCCAAGTAACAAAGCCTCCTAACTATATACTGAGAGAAAAAAAAATAAATAAAAATACCACTGCTTCTGTGGGACTTCTTCCCTCTCAGTGCACAGTGAGGAGCAAGTCTTTCTTCCTCCCCTGCTGGCAGAGCCAGGGCCAGGGGCTGAGCGCCTCTGTTTGCCCTGCTCTGTTTCTCTCCAGCCCTTGCAGGGCACCAGCAAACAAACCGAGCTGCTCAGCTCAACCGAGTCAAAGCTGCAGTGCTCCCAGGTCTGAGCTGGGATCATTAGACAAATCACCCACCACGCGTTAACTCAGGAA